CTAAGACCACGGAAGTCACCGCGATCGAATCAAATCAAGGACGACGAGAGCTGTCGTAAGATGGGAAGGAAGAAGGATAAGGAAGGATGGAAATAACTGGAAAAGGATGGTGAGGAGGGGAAGAGGAGGAATCAAGGCAAGTGGCCCAACCACTTTGGGACATGTGGTACAAAAGTACTGGAGACGTAGATAGAGAGGCTTGACTGATGTCATTACTTGGCTCACTAGGAGAGGATGGCGAAGGCAGCGGCAGGAGCTGGGAGTGTCAGAAGGCAGCAAGCAAGATGAGTTGGGTATGGTCTTAAACCGTTTATCAGTGCTGTAAATTGTTTTCAAGAGAGTTGTATCACACTTATGGGAGAGCTGTAGTAGTATTCGTTGGTTTGGAGTTGGTGGAGTATCTGGTTGTAGGTAGGGAATGGTCTTTCTTCGCTTTGGTACGATACAGTGTTGTCTTGGAGATGTTGGATGAGTTTTAGGCGAGTCATGCTTGCAGGGTATAGCCTCGTGGTGTAGAATATGAGTCCTTTGTGTTTAACCCATGGTGTTCCAGGTAATCGACGTGAGCTAAGTAGAGAAGGCGGTGGTGGAGTAGAGGAAGGTGGTGTTGCTTCGTTTTCAACTTCAGTAGACGAATTAGAAGATGTTTCTGGTGGTAAGGCTTCTGATTGGTTGGATTCAGTGAGAGGTGGTGGCGGTGGAGGCTTCTCATTGGTCGTTGTTGGATTGACGTCACTAGTTGGTGGTGTTGATGGAACTTCTGCAGAAGAGTTGGCGATTAAGTTTTTGGTGAATTTGAGAATTTCTTCAGAAGGTGGAGATGCTGGAAATGTAAATGAAGGCATGTTATTTAATGCAAATAACTCGTTGATGGTAGAGTTAAATGATCCAGGTACAGCCATGTTTTGCATATGAGCGTATAGTAGACAGTAGTGAATCTTCGTTACGTCACATGTTGGAGGAGTGATGGTAGTGGTGGTGGTGGAGACGGGCTGAGTAGATGCTTGAAGTAATTTTGTAGTGTCTGCTTGTATTTTTGCAATTGCTGCATACGTTGGAGTGTTGCTAGTAGGTTTTTTCTTTGCTGCATCTTGTGTTTTCTTCATAATATTCTTTCTTGTAGGACATTTTGCTGCCAGTGTATGGTGATCATTACTCTTGAAGTTTAAGCACGCTGGTTGTGTTGGAGCAGCAGCGGTGCAGGAACTGAAGGTGTGTCCCTCACTACCACATGTAGTGCAGAACTTCTTGTCTTTTACTGGACATGCTTTGGTGGTGTGATGGTATGAATAACAGTTCCAGCAATGTTGGATGTAGTGATATCTCTCTGCTTCAATGTAGGTAGGGCTGATGTAGTAGTAGTAGACAGCAAGACCTTCGTTCAGTGCAGTGGCAGCCATGTTCACGTCGGTGAAGGTGACCTTGATCATGGACGTTGCATTTGGGATTTTTGTAATGCTGTCAACAGTAGCCCAAGTATTTTGCGTCTCGATGGATGACTTGAGTTCAGCAGGTGTTTGAGACGTCAGAATCTTGTCCAGTTTTTTTAAGAATACTGATTTCCTTGCCCTGAGGGCAGGAGATGACGTAACAGTAAACCCTTATTGTACAAGCGAGCGGCCCATGTCCTTTCGCATGCTATTACATTACTTTTTAACAAGTCACTAGAAACTAGCACTTTCCCGACACTACTCAAGACAGCAAGGGTTACACCAATACATAAAGGTGGTGACCCTACAGATGTAAACAACTATAGGCCAATATCAAACTTGCCATTGCTATCCAAAATCTTTGAGAAACTCGTGCACAGGAGACTACATTCATTTATAACGTCACAAAGCATACTCAACCCCTGCCAATTTGGATTCAGGAAAAATAAAAGCACTAATGATGCAATTATAAAAATGCTAGACCTGCTTTACACAGCATTGGAAAATAAGGAATATCCACTAGGAATTTTTTATTGACCCAAGAAAAGCGTTTGACACAGTAGACCACGGCATCCTACTCCACAAACTTGACCACTATGGTATAAGAGGCCATGCGCTTGCATATTTTAAATCCTACCTTTCTAATAGGTATCAGTATGTCACCATTAAAGACACAGCCTCATCAATATGGCCACTTGATACTGGAGTTCCGCAGGGAAGTGTCCTTGGACCCCTGCTCTTCCTCATTTACATCAATGATCTTCCAAACATATCCCAACACCTGAAACCCATTCTCTTTGCTGACGACACGACTTATGTCATCTCCCACCCTAATCTTGCCACCCTCAACACCATTGTTAATGAGGAGCTGCTCAAAATATCGACTTGGATGACAGCCAATAAACTTACACTTAACACTGGCAAAACCTACTATATTATGTTTGGTAGCAGAGCAGGTGTTGCGCAACTTAACATTAAGATCGACAACACTCTAATTGCCGGACATAATGAGGGCAAATTCCTTGGCCTGTACCTCGACAACAACCTAAATTTCAGCACCCATATCCAACACACAACAAAAAAGTATCCAAAATGGTGGGGATCCTCTCCAAGATACGATACTACGTGCCGCAAACTGCCCTTCTCACACTATACCATTCACTTGTATATCCATACTTCACCTATGCTATCTGTGCTTGGGGTTCAACTGCAGCAACACACCTAAATATAATAACAACCCAACAAAAAGCCGAAGTAAGAATAATCACTAAATCCCATCCCTGGCAACATGCCCCCCACTCTTCATAGATCTAAACTTACTCCCTGTTCCACACTTACTACTGTGCAATCTATATCTACAGGACCTTAAATTCCAATATTAACCTTGGCCTAAAAGGCTTTTTTGATAGTTGTGACAAGATCCACAGGCATAACACCAGACACAAACATCTCTGACATTCCCCGTGTTCGACTAAACCTTTACAAAAATTCAATGTATTTCAAAGGACCTAAAATCTGGAACACCCTACCTGAAAACTCTAGAACTGCAGACACATTCATCACTTTCAAAACTACAGTTAGAAAACATCTTATCTCCCTGATACACCCCGACAACTAACTACATGATAACCACCTGGTGGTTCACAATTACACTCACCCACTGACTGTAAACCCAGAAATACTAATCTTAATCTTAAAATAATAAATCCTAACTAGTCATAAGTTTGCCTATGATACTCCAATATAGACACTTTGTATTGTGCCAAAACAAAAGCATTCACATTGCTAAACTCTCAAATTATGATGGTCACTTAGCCTTAATACTATAATCTGTAAGGATTTAATTATTATTTTTTATCATCACAATGGCCGATTCCCACCAAGGCAGGGTGGCCCGAAAAAGAAAAACTTTCACCATCATTCACTCCATCACTGTCTTGCCAGAAGGGTGCTTTACACTACAGTTTTTAAACTGCAACATTAACACCCCTCCTTCAGAGTGCAGGCACTGTACTTCCCATCTCCAGGACTCAAGTCCGGCCTGCCGGTTTCCCTGAACCCCTTCATAAATGTTACTTTGCTCACACTCCAACAGCACGTCAAGTATTAAAAACCATTTGTCTCCATTCACTCCTATCAAACACACTCACGCATGCCTACTGGAAGTCCAAGCCCCTCGCACACAAAACCTCCTTTAATCTAAGTCTGCCCGAAATGCCTAGCCATGCTAGGTGTCCTAGTGGCCCCCCTCTGTAATTAGTATTTTATAACATGTAAATCACACAATACCCAAAACCTGTAAACCCCACATTGTATCCCTTATAGAGAATAAAAATTTAATTGAATTTGACACGCTGTTGGAGTGCGAGGAAGGTAATGTGAAGAAATTCAGGGAAAACTGGTTAGCCAGACTTGATTTCTGGAGGTGGGGAAATATAGTGACTGCACTCTGAAGGAGAGGTGGGGATGTTGCAGTTTGGAGGATCATCTGAACTGTGATGCTGCCACTCTTCTGGCAAGACAGATTGAATAAGGGACAGTGAAAGTGTTTTCTTCATTGGGTCACCCTACATCAGTGGGAGACAGTTGGAGTATTAAACAAGGAAAACTTGTCTTGTTCAGTGTTTCAGCCATTTCACAGGTTAACTATAAAGTGTTTCATTTAAATTACAGGTGCTCCTTGATTTACGATGATGATATGTTCCGACAAACTCGTCCTATTTCCACAATTACTCCATGAACTCTACCCTTACGCTTATAGAACACCCATATCTTTAGCAACACCCTTACTACTACAGTGGACCCCCGGTTAACGATATTTTTTCACTCCAGAAGTATGTTCAGGTGCCAGTACTGACCGAATTTGTTCCCATAAGGAATATTGTGAAGTAGATTAGTACATTTCACAGCCCCAAACATACACGTACAAACGCACTTACATAAATACACTTACATAATTGGTCGCATTCGGAGGTGATCGTTATGCGGGGGTCCACTGTACTTGCTTCCTCTCCTAAACACCTGTTGGCTTAAATCTGTTATGAATATATGTTAAATAAATAAGTAATAAATAATTAGTTGCTGAATAAGTAAATAAACAAATTATTGTAACTAAATACCAGTATTAAAAAGTAAATGAATGAATACAAGTTACGGACTTGCTGCCTTCATGCTGGGTAATTATCTTGAGCAATTGAGAGAATTACCCAAAGTACAGTGGACCCCCGGATAACGATATTTTTTCATTCCAGAAGTATGTTCAGGTGCCAGTACTGACCGAATTTGTTCCCATAAGGAATATTGTGAAGTAGATTAGTCCATTTCAGACCCCCAAACATACACGTACAAACGCACTTACATAAATACACTTACATAACTGGTCGCATTGGGAGGTGATCGTTAAGCGGGGGTCCACTGTATTTGCTTTTGCGCCATTGCAAATTTGAAATATCATACATCAAGGAACGCCTGTATTACAATATATTTAATATTCTTATTACTGTGTTTATATCGCAGTCACAAAAATTAATTTTTATAGAAGATTGTTAAAAATAATTAAACTTCATGCAGGGCATGTTGGACTTCGACTTCGTGTGTTCACGCTCTGAGCCATCAGTAGCAGCCATGGTGTACCCTTTTACTGGTGATCATAAGCAGAAGTTCTATTGGGGACACAAAGAAATACTTGTGCCAGGTCAGCGTTTTTGAAATTTGATCTGTTTTTAAATGGTATTTTGCAATTCTTAAGATTTTCTGTATACTGTATTCTTGATGGTAATTCATTGTATTCACTCACCAGAAAGCTGCCATCTTTGGAATCTGGAGCATGTAAGATCATGTGAATTTTAAGAATGATTAATGAAAGCCATTAAGATTCTTTTTAAGCTAATTATCATAATTGAAGAATGGGCACATTAATCTTGCTCATTGATCTTACTCCTTTCTGTACAGCTTTTGTTATGCCATTAATAGTATTTCTTTTTAGTAATATGTTGTATTTTCAAGCACTTTTAGGAAATTTTAACTTTTGTTATACTCAACAGAAAGATTTTTAATTGGCCAGTAACTGTGATTTGATAACAAGTCTTCAAAGTGTATGCAAATTGAAAGTGCCTTTAATATTGTTAAATTACAAATTTTTTTTCAGTGTACAAGAGTATGGCAGATGCTATGAAAAAGCATTCAGATGCAGATGTTCTCATAAATTTTGCATCCTTGCGTTCTGCATTTGACTCAACTGTAGAAACTCTGGCTTTCCCACAAGTGAGTATAAACTGCAATGAAATTATATTTTGAAATAAAATATTGGCCTGTATGTCAGAGCTGCTCATTTGCTCAGAATTACTAAACACCTCAAATGATGTAGTTGAAGTTTTGGCAGTAAAGATTGAAAACTAAAACTTTATCATTGTGGTTGTGTACAAGCCTCCTGATGCAGCTTCCCAACAGTTCCAGGAACAAAACTGACCACTGTCTGGAAAATCTCCCAACTCCCGCCCCAAACACCTTGCTGCTGGGTGATTTCGACTTGACACCTAAAATGGAGGAAGGTAGCAAGTAATGTTTTAGCAGATATAACCCTAGGAGGCAGCTCAGATGAAAATTCACACATGAGCTATTAAATCTCTGCAAGAAATTCACCTTAAGCTGGCAAATAGTGGAGCCAACAAGACTGGAAAATACATGTGGCCTCATCTTCACTAATAATAATGATCTGATATGAAATATAACAGTGTCAAAGACAATATACTCAGATCATAACATGATAGAAGTAGACATGTATGCACAGGGATCCTGATCAGTGTATGGTGATCAGTTATGAAGGTGCCTTCCCCAAATTCAACTTCAGTAACAAAAACATAGCGAGATCATATGAACCACATCCTGAATGAAACAAACAATACAGATCTGATCCTTTGACTAGAAAGAATTAACTCTGTGGCACTTGAAGTATGCTGAAGGCACATTTCTTTAAGAAAAAAGAGAAGATGTAAACTAGAAAGAGAGACACTATACAGGTGAAAGCGAAGAATCACAAAGCTGCTGAAAGGGGCCAATACATCTGAAATACGACAGGAGGCACTGGTCAGAGAAATAGCAAATATCGAACTTAAGCTTAAGGAATCATACAGGAGATAAGGAACACCGAAAGAACTTAAAGCCATAAATGAAACTCAAAATACTTCTTTTCTTGTGCCAAATCTAGGGCAAAAACATCTAGTATTGGACCCCTGGTTAGACAAGATGGGACTTACACAGATGACAGCAAAGAAATGAGAGAGATACTCAAGTCCCAACATGACTCAGCATTTAGTGAGATGTTAACCAGACTAAGAGTCGACAATATAAATGAAGTTTTTATGACCGAGGCTCAAAATTTGGTTAATTAAAAAAATCTGATATCATCATAACACCACAAGACTTTGAAAAAGCAATAAATGACATGCTCATGCACTCTGCCCCAGGCCCAGACTAGTGGAACTTTGTGTTCATCAAGAACTGCAAGAGGCCTCTCATATTTTTTGGAGAGGAAGCATAGACACGGGTCATCCCACAGTCATTAAAAACAGCAGACGTAGTCCCCCTCCACAAAGGTGGCAGTGAAGTAATTGCAAAGAATTACAAACCAATAGCACTAATGTTCCACATAAAAATCTTTGAAAGGGTTATAAGAAGCAAGATCACCACCCATTTACTCATCAGTTATACAACCCAGGGCAGCATGGGTTTAGAGCTGGTCGCTCCTGCCTATCGCAGCTACTGAATCACTACGGCATGGTCTTGGATATTCTGGAGGACAAACAAAATACAGATGTAGCATACAGACTTTGCGAAAGCCTTCGACAAGTGCGATCATGGTGTAGCAGTGCACAAAATGCACTATTACACCATAATCGTTGATAGATGAATCTATAACTTCTTAACAAAGAGTAGATGGATCTATAACTTGGTAGATGGATCTGTAACTTAACAAATAGAACACAGAGTAATAGTAAACAGTAAAATCAGAGGCAGCTACAGTGAAGAGCTCTGTTCTACAAAGTAGAGCACTCCCATCCTGTTCCTCATCCTCATATCTGACATTGACAGAGGTGTAAGCCACAGCACCATGTCTTCTTTTGCTGATGACACCTGAATTTTCGTGACAGTGTCATCCATTGAAGACACTGAGTGTCCAAACAGACATCAACCAAATCATTAAATGGACTGCAGAAGAAATAAGAAGTTCAATGAAGACAAATTTCAATTACTCCACTATGGAAAACTCGAGGAAATTAAAACTGTATTCGAGTCTAAGACAAGTTCCAACCACACAGTGGAGCAAAAAACTAATGTGAAGGACCTGGGAGTGATAGTGTCAGAGGATCTCACTTTCAAAGATCACAATGTAACTAGTACATCTGCTAGGAAAATGATAGGATGGATAATGAGAACCTTCAAAACTAGGGATGCCAAGCCCATGATTGTCTTCAATCCCTTAAAGTCCCTTGATTTGTATCCCCTAGAGGGACTAGTCCCAGATTTGCGCATGAAAATCACTCCCTTTGAAAGCAAAAGACTTGGCAGATGCAACTTTCCCCCCCCATTGAAAAACAGGGATGCCATAAGTAAGCTAGGAGACAACAAAGTAAGTGTTAGAGGACCAAGACAGTTTAAGTGCTTACCAGCATACATAAGGGGTATTACCAGTAGACCCCTGGCTGTCTTCAAGAAAGCACTGGACAGACATCTAAAGTCTGTACCAGACCAGCCAGGCTGTGGTTCGTATGTCTGTTTGTGTGGCCAGCAGTAACAGCCTGATTGATCAGGCCTTGATCCACCATGAGGCCTGGTCACAGACCCAGCCATGGGGGCATTAACCCCCAAAAACCCCCTCCAGGTATACTCCAGGAGTAAACTATATTATTTATTTATTTATTATCACACTGGCCGATTCCCACCAAGGCAGGGTGGCCCGAAAAAGAAAAACTTTCACCATCATTCACTCCATCACTGTCTTGCCAGAAGGGTGCTTTACACTACAGTTTTTAAACTGCAACATTAACACCCCTCCTTCAGAGTGCAGGCACTGTACTTCCCATCTCCAGGACTCAAGTCCGGCCTGCCGGTTTCCCTGAACCCCTTCATAAATGTTACTTTGCTCACACTCCAACAGCACGTCAAGTATTAAAAACCATTTGTCTCCATTCACTCCTATCAAACACGCTCATGCATACCTGCTGGAAGTCCAAGCCCCTCGCACACAAAACCTCCTTTACCCCCTCTCTCCAACCTTTCCTAGGCCGACCCCTACCCCGCCTTCCTTCCACTACAGACTGATACACTCTTGAAGTCATTCTGTTTCGCTCCATTCTCTCTACATGTCCGAACCACCTCAACAACCCTTCCTCAGCCCTGTGGACAACAGTTTTGGTAATCCCGCACCTCCTCCTAACTTCCAAACTACGAATTCTCTGCATTATATTCACACCACACATTGCCCTCAGACATGACATCTCCACTGCCTCCAGTCTTCTCCTCGCTGCAACATTCATCACCCATGCTTCACACCCATATAAGAGCGTTGGTAAAACTATACTCTCATACATTCCCCTCTTTGCCTCCAAGGACAAAGTTCTTTGTCTCCACAGACTCCTAAGTGCACCACTCACTCTTTTCCCCTCATCAATTCTATGATTCACCTCATCTTTCATAGACCCATCCGCTGACACGTCCACTCCCAAATATCTGAATACATTCACCTCCTCCATACTCTCTCCCTCCAATCTGATATTCAATCTTTCATCACCTAATCTTTTTGTTATCCTCATAACCTTACTCTTTCCAGTATTCACCTTTAATTTTCTTCTTTTGCACACCCTACCAAATTCATCCACCAATCTCTGCAACTTCTCTTCAGAATCTCCCAAGAGCACAGTGTCATCAGCAAAGAGCAGCTGTGACAACTCCCACTTTGTGTGTGATTCTTTATCTTTTAACTCCACGCCTCTTGTCAAGACCCTCGCATTTACTTCTCTTACAACCCCATCTATAAATATATTAAACATCCACGGTGACATCACACATCCTTGTCTAAGGCCTACTTGTTACTGGGAAATAATTTCCCTCTTTCCTACATACTCTAACTTGAGCCTCACTATCCTCGTAAAAACTCTTCACTGCTTTCAGTAACCTACCTCCTACACCATATACTTGCAACATCTGCCACATTGCCCCCCTATCCACCCTGTCATACGCCTTTTCCAAATCCATAAATGCCACAAAGACCTCTTTAGCCTTATCTAAATACTGTTCACTTATATGTTTCACTGTGAACACCTGGTCCACACACCCCCTACCTTTCCTAAAGCCTCCTTGTTCATCTGCTATCCTATTCTCCGTCTTACTCTTAATTCTTTCAATAATAACTCTACCATACACTTTACCAGGTATACTCAGCAGACTTATCCCCCTATAATTTTTGCACTCTCTTTTATCCCCTTTGCCTTTATACAAAGGAACTATGCATGCTCTCTGCCAATCCCTAGATACCTTACCCTCTTCCATACATTTATTAAATAATTGCACCAACCACTCCAAAACTATATCCCCACCTGCTTTTAACATTTCTATCTTTATCCCATCAATCCCGGCTGCCTTACCCCCTTTCATTTTACCTACTGCCTCACGAACTTCCCCCACACTCACAACTGGCTCTTCCTCACTCCTACAAGATGTTATTTCCTCCTTGCCCTATACACGAAATCAGAGCTTCCCTATCTTCATCAACATTTAACAATTCCTCAAAATATTCCCTCCATCTTCCCAATACCTCTAACTCTCCATTTAATAACTCTCCTCTCCTATTTTTAACTGACAAATCCATTTGTTCTCTAGGCTTTCTTAACTTGTTAATCTCACTCCAAAACTTTTTCTTATTTTCAACAAAATTTGTTGATAACATCTCACCCACTCTCTCATTTGCTCTCTTTTTACATTGCTTCACCACTCTCTTAACCTCTCTCTTTTTCTCCATATACTCTTCCCTTCTTGCATCACTTCTACTTTGTAAAAACTTCTCATATGCTAACTTTTTCTCCCTTACTACTCTCTTTACATCATCATTCCACCAATCGCTCCTCTTCCCTCCCGCACCCACTTTCCTGTAACCACAAACTTCTGCTGAACACTCTAACACTACATTTTTAAACCTACCCCATACCTCTTCGACCCCCTTGCCTATGCTCTCATTAGCCCATCTATCCTCCAATAGCTGTTTATATCTTACCCTAACTGCCTCCTCTTTTAGTTTATAAACCTTCACCTCTCTCTTCCCTGATGCTTCTATTCTCCTTGTATCCCATCTACCTTTTACTCTCAGTGTAGCTACAACTAGAAAGTGATCTGATATATCTGTGGCCCCTCTATAAACATGTACATCCTGAAGTCTACTCAACAGTCTTTTATCTACCAATACATAATCCAACAAACTACTGTCATTTTGCCCTACATCATATCTTGTATACTTATTTATCCTCTTTTTCTTAAAATATGTATTACCTATAACTAAACCCCTTTCTATACAAAGTTCAATCAAAGGGCTCCCATTATCATTTACACCTGGCACCCCAAACTTACCTACCACACCCTCTCTAAAAGTTTCTCCTACTTTAGCATTCAGGTCCCCTACCACAATTAATCTCTCACTTGGTTCAAAGGCTCCTATACATTCACTTAACATCTCCCAAAATCTATCTCTCTCCTCTGCATTCCTCTCTTCTCCAGGTGCATACACGCTTATTATGACCCACTTCTCGCATCCAACCTTTACTTTAATCCACATAATTCTTGAATTTACACATTCATATTCTCTTTTCTCCTTCCATAACTGATCATTTAACATTACTGCTACCCCTTCCTTTGCTCTAACTCTCTCAGATACTCCAGATTTAATCCCATTTATTTCCCCCCACTGAAACTCTCCTACCCCCTTCAGCTTTGTTTCGCTTAGGGCCAGGACATCCAACTTCTTTTCATTCATAACATCAGCAATCATCTGTTTCTTGTCATCCGCACTACATCCACGCACATTTAAGCATCCCAGTTTTATAAAGTTTTTCTTCTCTTTTTTAGTAAGTGTTTACAGGAGAAGGGGTTACTAGCCCATTGCTCCCGGCATTTTAGTCGCCTCATACGACACGCATGGCTTACGGAGGAAAGATTCTTTTCCACTTCCCCATGGACAATAGAAGAAATAAAGAAGAACAAGAGCTATTTAGAAAAAGGAGAAAAACCTAGATGTATGTATATATATATATGCATGTGCGTATATAAACTATATTAATTGATCCATATAATACATAGCCAATTACTGTAATTAGGAATGATTAAAGTTAATACTGTAGTTAAAGAAAGCAGGAGATTGTTAGTGATGTATGTTTAGTTTTTTATATCAGTTTTATTTCAATGGATAAAATGTCAGTAAATTATAAATAACTTTTTAAAGATATTTTATATGAATTATCATCATCTGAAGTGATTGATGTTTTTCGTAAAATAATTTTTGAGTTTAAATACTTCAGTATCTAAAGTTTTGGTATTAAACTTATATTAGCTGTTTCATCACTTACTGGAATTACCCTATTCCTTAAATGCCTTCTTTGCCTTCAGATCCGCACCATTGCTATCATTGCTGAAGGAATACCGGAAAATCTAACTAGAATCCTGATAAGGAAGGCTAATGAAAAGGGAGTGTCTATAATTGGGCCAGCAACTGTGGGTGGTGTAAAACCAGGATGCTTCAAGATTGGCAATACCGGAGGCATGATGGATAACATTCTTCACTCCAAACTCTACCGACCTGGAAGGTCTGTTTTGTTGATAGGAAATTATTTAGAGTTTGGAAGTAAATTTTGTCATATACTACTATTAAATACTATATTATCCACTTCAAAACAATCTTAAGTGTGCTATCATGTTTTCACCTTCCCCCATCCCTTCCCCTTACTCCCATGATAAATCATCTGCTTGGTTTTCTAACTTTCATAATATATGATAATATAAAAATTTACATTTTGATTCTTGACGAATCAAAATTGCTTGGTTAAAGATCGTGCTTTTGATAAAATGTAGAACTGCTTAGTGTGATCATTATCTTGAGATATGATGCATTTTCTGGAATGGATTAATATCTTAAGGGACCACTTAAAGATATAGTAGAAATACTAGGAATTAAAGAAAATATTTTTCTTGTCTGAACCACTCTTGGTAGTGGCTGAGGAAATCCCTGAGCAAGTAAGAAATATTGGAAACTGCCTAGGAAATAGTGTGTATAATATATAATATAGAGCAGAGGTTAAGAGAGTGGTGAAGCAATGTAAAAAGAGAGCAAATGAGAGAGTGGGTGAGATGTTATCAACAAATTTTGTTGAAAATGAGAAAAAGTTTTGGAGTGAGATTAACAAGTTAAGGAAGCCTAGAGAAATGGATTTGTCAGTTAAAAATAGGAGAGGAGAGTTATTAAATGGAGAGTTAGAGGTATTGGGAAGATGGAGGGAATATTTTGAGGAATTGTTAAATGTTGATGAAGATAGGGAAGCTGTGATTTCGTGTATAGGGCAAGGAGGAATAACATCTTGTAGGAGTGAGGAAGAGCCAGTTTTGAGTGTGGGGGAAGTTCGTGAGGCAGTAGGTAAAATGAAAGGGGGTAAGGCAGCTGGGATTGATGGGATAAAGATAGAAATGTTAAAAGCAGGTGGGGATATAGTTTTGGAGTGGTTGGTGCAATTATTTAATAAATGTATGGAAGAGGGTAAGGTACCTAGGGACTGGCAGAGAGCATGCATAGTTCCTTTGTATAAAGGCAAAGGGGACAAAAGAGAGTGCAAAAATTATAGGGGGATAAGTCTGTTGGGTATACCTGGTAAAGTGTATGGTAGTTATTATTGAAAGAATTAAAAGTAAGACTGAGAATAGGATAGCAGATGAACAAGGCAGCTTTAGGAAAGGTAGGGGGTGTGTGGACCAGGTGTTTACAGTGAAACATATAAGTGAACAGTATTTAGATAAGGCTAAAGAGGTCTTTGTGGCATTTATGGATTTGGAAAAGGCGTATGACAGGGTGGATAGGGGGGCAATGTGGCAGATGTTGCAGGTGTATGGTGTAGGAGGTAGGTTACTGAAAGCAGTGAAGAGTTTTTACGAGGATAGTGAGGCTCAAGTTAGAGTACATAGGAAAGAGGGAAATTATTTCCCAGTAAAAGTAGGCCTTAGACAAGGATGTGTGATGTCACCGTGGTTGTTTAATATATTATAGATGGGGGTGTAAGAGAAGTAAATGCGAGGGTCTTGACAAGAGGCGTGGAGTTACAAGATAAAGAATCACACATAAAGTGGGAGTTGTCACAGTTGCTCTTTGCTGATGACTCTGTGCTCTTGGGAGATTCTGAAGAGAAGTTGCAGAGATTGGTGGATGAATTTGGTAGGGTGTGCAAAAGAAGAAAATTAAAAGTGAATACACGAAAGAGTAAGGTTATGAGGATAACAAATATTAGGTGATGAAAGATTGGATATCAGATTGGAGGGAGAGAGTATGGAGGAGGTGAATGTATTCAGATATTTGGGAGTGGACGTGTCAGCGGATGGGTCTATGAAGGATGAGGTGAATCATAGAATTGATGAGGGGAAAAGGGTGAGTGGTGCACTTAGGAGTCTGTGGAGACAAAGAACTTTGTCCTTGGAGGCAAAGAGGGGAATGTATGAGAGTATAGTTTTACCAACACTCTTATATGGGTGTGAAGCATGGGTGATGAATGTTGCAGCGAGGAGAAGGCTGGAGGCAGTGGAGATGTCATGTCTGAGGGCAATGTGTGGTGTGAATATAATGCAGAGAATTCGTAGTTTGGAAGTTAGGAGGAGGTGCGGGATTACCAAAACTGTTGTCCAGAGGGCTGAGGAAGGGTTGTTGAGGTGGTTCGGACATGTAGAGAGAATGGAGCGAAACAGAATGACTTCAAGAGTGTATCAGTCTGTAGAGGAAGGAAGGCGGGATAGGGTCGGCCTAGGAAAGGTTGGAGGGAGGGGGTAAAGGAGGTTTTGTGTGCGAGGGGCTTGGACTTCCAGCAGGCGTGTGCGAGCGTGTTTGATAGGAGTGAATGGAGACGAATGGTTTTTAATACTTGACGTGCTGTTGGAGTGTGAGCAAAGTGACATTTATGAAGGGGTTCAGGGAAACCGGCAGGCCGGACTTGAGTCCTGGAGATGGGAAGTACAGTGCCTGCACTCTGAAGGAGGGGTGTTAATGTTGCAGTTTAAAAACTGTAGTGTAAAGCACCCTTCTGGCAAGACAGTGATGGAGTGAATGATGGTGAAAGTTTTTCTTTTTCGGGCCACCCTGCCTTGGTGGGAATCGGCTAGTGTGATAATAAAAATAATAAAAATAATAAAATAATAGAGCAGGATGTGAGTGTGGGGGAGGTGCATGAGGCATTATGTAGAATGAAAGGGGGTAAAGCAGCTGGAACTGACGGGATCATGACAAATATTAAAAGCAGGGGGGGACATAGTGTTGGAGTGGTTGGTATTTTTGTTTAATAAATGCATGAAAGAGGTGAAGGTACCTAGGGATTGGCGGAGAGCGTGTATAGTCCCTTTATATAAAGTGAAGGGGGACAAAAGAGATTGTAAAAATTATAAAGGAATAAGTTTACCGAGTATACCAGGAAAAGTGTACGGTAGGGTTATTATTGAAAGAATTAGGGGTAAGACAGAATGTAGAATTGCGGATGAGCAAGGAGGTTTTAGAATAGGTAGGGGATGTGTAGATTAAGTGTTTACATTGAAGCATATATGTGAGCAGTATTTAGATAAAGGTAGGGACGTTTTTATTGCATTTATGGATTTAGAAAAGGCATATGATAGTGGAGCAATATGGCAGATGTTGCAAGTACGTATATGGAATAGGTGGTAAGTTACTAAATGCTGTAAAGAGTTTTTATGAGGATAGTGAGGGTCAGGTTAGGATGTGTAGAAGAGAGGGAGACTACTTCCCGGTAAAAGTAGGTCTTGGACAGGGATGTGTAATGTCACAATGGTTGTTTAATATATTTATAGATGGGGTTGTAAAAGAAGTAAATGCTAGAGTGTTCGGGAGAGTTGTGGGATTAAATTATGGGGAATTAAATACAAAATGGGGAAGTGACAGTTACTTTTTGCTGATGATACTGTGCTTATGGGAGATTCTAAAGGAAAATTGCAAAGGTTAGTGGACAAATTTGGGAATGTGTGTAAAGGTAGAAAGTTGAAAGTGAATATAGAAAAGAGTAAGGTGATGAGAGTATCAAATGATTCAGATAAAGAAAAATTGGATATCAAATTAGGGAGGAGGAGTATGGAAGAAGTGAATGTTTTCAGATATTTGGGAGTTGAAGTGTCAACGGATGGATTTATGAAGGATGAGGTTGATCATAGAATTGATGAAGGAAAAAAGGTGAGTGGTGCATTGAGGTATATGTGGAGGCAAAAAATGTTATCTATGGAGGCAAAGAAGGGAATGTATGAAAGTATAGTAGTACCAACGCTCTTATATGGGTGTGAAGCTTGGGTTGTGAATGCTGCAGCGAGGAGGCAGTTGGAGGCAGTGGAGATGTCCTGTTTGAGAGCAATGTGTGGTGTGAATATTATGCAGAAAATTCAGAGTGTGGAAATTAGGAGGTGTGGAGTTAATAAAAGTATTAGTCAGAGGGCTGAAGAGGGTTTGTTGAGGTGGTTTGGTCATTTAGAGAGAATGGATCAAAGTAGAATGACATGGAGAGCATATAAATCTGTAGGGGAAGGAAGGCAGGGTAGAGGTCGTCCTCAAAAAGGTTGGAGGGAGGGGGTAAAGGAGGTGTTGTGGGCAAGGGGTTTGGACTTCTAGCAAGCATGCGTGAGCGTGTTAGATAGGAGTGAATGGAGACAAATGGTATTTGGGACCTGAAGATCTGTTGGAGTGTGAGCAGGGTAATATTTAGTGAAGGGATTCAGGGAAACCGGTTATTTTATATTACTGGACTTAAGTCCTGGAAATGGAAAGTACAATGCATGCACTTTAAAGGAGGGGTTTGGGATATTGGCAGTTTGGAGAGATACATTGTGTATTTTTATATGCATATACTTCTAAGCTGTTGTATTCTAGGCACCTCTGCAAAAGCAGTGATTATGTGTGAGTGAGGTGAAAATGTTGAATGATGATGAAGGTATTTTCTTTTTGGGGATTTTCTTTCTCTTTGGGTCACCCCGCCTCGGTGGGAGACAGCCGACTTGTTGAGAAAAAAAAAAATATTCTCATAAGTTATGTCAACCATGCAACTTTAAAGTAAAAGTTCTACCAGGCACGTTCATTATGTACTCACCTGTCTGTTGGTCTTGGGGAGAAATAACCTGGCTGATCAAGTAGTTATGGCCAGACTGATATTAAAAGAAATTTTAAACTAGTCACAAGTGTGTGTGGGACCTCAATAAACCACAGACTTGGTCCCCTGTACCCTCCTATGTGCTGGTGAGGGACTCTTGATTTAAGGAAATGGAATTATACTCCACTTGGACCAAATTTGATTGCCTTCCATTCCTCAGGCTCTATAAGACTTCTACGGGTTTAGTGCTTCCCTTTGATTTTTTTTTTTAGCACTGGTTATCTCCCACTAAGGTAGGGTGACCCCAAAAAGAAGAAACACTTTAACCATTATTCACTCCAAAACTGTTTTGCCAGAAGTGTGCCAATACCACAGTTCAAATGCCCCTCTAAACTTCAGTATGCCCACCCCTCCTTAAGAGTGCAGGCAGTGTACAGTAGTACCTCAGTACTCACTTAATTCGTTCCAGAAGGCTGTTCGAGTGCCGATCTGTTTGAGTACTGAACAAAATTTTCCCATAAGGAATAATTAATAATAATTTTTCATCTCTATTGTGACTCTAACCAGTTTTATTTTTGGTTGGCTGTTATTTATACAAATAATATAAAAAAACACCAAAAAATGTGAAGAAGCACGAAATAGTTTACAATGAAGTTTAGCAGAGTTTTGATCTGAGCGACAGCTGTGGGGAGGCTGACTTGCATTGTTTGGTCGATTGTCGAGCACACTGTTGACTACGTACTGAGTACAGTAGTACCGAGGTACTACTGTACTTCTCATTTCCAGGACTCAAGGTGCTCTAACTGGTTTCCATGAATTCCTTCACAGATGTTACCTTACATTCCAACAGCTCGTCAAGTCATAAAAATCTCTTGCCTCCATTCACTCCTATCTAACTCTCTCTCATTTGTCTGTTGTATGTCAGTCCCTTGCATTCATAACTTAAATGTACTAATAATAATTTGTCCTCAATGTGGGTACATCATAATGCAGTTATCATTTGCAGTGTTGCTTATGTGTCACGATCTGGTGGCATGTCCAATGAGCTCAACAATATCATATCTCATAACACTGATGGTGTCTATGAAGGTGTGGCTATTGGCGGTGATCGCTATCCTGGAACCACCTTCATGGATCATCTTCTTCGCTATCATGACAACCCTGAGGTAGGTTGAAGTACTCTATGCAGTAATATTTAATTTAAAATATAAAGCTCTTGACAATCACTTTAAACAGTATGATAGTGGAGTACAGTATCACAAGTATCAGTGATATGAGTGAAAGTATTACTTAGATATTTTTGTTTTTGGGACAGGTGAAGATGCTTGTTCTCCTTGGTGAGGTGGGTGGTATTGAAGAATATGAGGTGTGCCAGGCATTGAAGGAGGAACGTATTGTCAAACCCCTTGTTGCTTGGTGCATTGGAACATGTGCTGGTAAGTTTACAATATGTTTTATATAATGATTTTTGGAAGAACGTGAAGTTGTCTCTGATTTAATTTCCCCCCCCCCCAACGTACCAGCCATATCCCACTGAGGTGGGGTGGCCCAAAAGGAAAAACAAAAGTTTCTTCTTTTAAATTTAGTAATATATACAGGAGAAGGGGTTACTAACCCCTTGCCTCCGGCATTTTAGTCGCGTATTGCGACATTCATGGCTTATGGAGGAAGAATTCTGTTCCACTTCCCCATGGAGAAAAAAGTTTTGTATGTTAATCAAATATGAATACATTTCAGACAAATTGTTATAGTAATACATTTCAGTACTTCATAAACTATGCTAATCATTTACTCAGTATGGCGTACAGTACGTGTGAATACCTGTTTATTGCATTTTTATATAATAAATTTTTGCAGTGTTAGGTTAGGTGATACTCCACATACATGATTTGGTCATTTTCTCTGTGAACATTAGTGACTTGGCACTTACCTTGTAATTAAAGCATGGTAAACCACAAATTGGTAGTATTTCTTATACCTATGTAAAATAACATTAAAATTAAAGCCTGTATTATGATTATCCTATTTTCTTGGTTTCTCATTATTTAAAAAGCTATGATAGGAAATTGTTATATATTCCTCTGTTTAACCACATCCCCTCAGGGTAGGTGTTTTGATGCCAGTGAGGCATCTCATGATCCAAGGAAGTGGATTCATCTTTTCTTGGATTGGACTTGGTTGCCTCCCATTCACTGTACAATCTTAATAATTTTTTTTCACATTCTATAGTCTTCCTATTTCTTCTGGCTTTTAACCTTATCTACACTCAGTTATATTACATCTTTCAAATCAGTAGGAAAGAGGTCACTCATGGTAAATTTTATTGTTATTTCAGGTATGTTTACTTCTGAGGTCCAGTTTGGTCATGCTGGTGCATGTGCTAATGCTGACAGTGAGACAGCCATAGCTAAGAACAAGGCCCTGTCTGATTGTGGTGCACATGTTCCACCCAGCTTTGATGAACTTGGTGAGGTAAGTATAGACCATTGAATTTCCTCTGGACTAATTGGGGCAGAATTCCATTTGTTCTGGCAAATAATTTCTGTAATTTGTGCCAAAATTAACTTTTATCAGTATAAGTGATAAGTACACAAATTTGTGCGTACTTTGGCATCAAAATATGGTACCTTGTTAAAAAATAAATCTTGTATAATAAGAGATGTCACTCTCATTTCCTTGTATTTTCAGATTCTATACATTATACTGAATTCCTCTTGGAGTGATTGCATAATTCATCATCTATTTGCAGTTAGAAAATTAGATCTGTGCTTTTGGTGTACTTTATTGGTTTCACACATTGCCCGTGGTTGTAGCACAGACCACCACCTGTCTCTTGGATCATACTGTAGCTGTCTACTAAACTTAGTGTCCTGTACTGCATACCTTCTTACTTTGAGATTGTGAACTTTAGTTTTAACCCAGTGTCATTTATTGATACCCCCTAGCTTTCATAATTTTTTGTATCTCTGTATTTTTAGTTTATTCAAACCTTTTTGCAGAATTTTACTGTTTTGATTTCTGACATTGCATAAAATTTGTTCAAAACCTTCAACTGCAGTCCCTGCATAATGAAGGATCTGTTGACCAAAACTTGCTTTAATGAAGGTGTGAAATTAGGAAGCAGAATGTGTTTCATAGTGATAAGTTGGGTTACACTTTTCTTGATAATGTATATCATTGCAGGAGATCAAGAGAGTGTATCAGGGTCTGCTACAAGAGGGTATTATTGTACCTAAGGAAGAAGTTCCTCCCCCAACTGTGCCAATGGACTTCAACTGGGCCAGAGTGAGTTCTGGCTTAAATGAAGTTACTGATAATTAATGTATAGTATGATCTTTGATATTGTTCCATCAGTGTAATACGTTTGGTTATCACTTTAGAGGGAAGTGCTTAAATGTACACTGAAGCAGAATTATAACAGGTTGTTGAACTTTACAGAACCTTGAGAGATATGTCCAAATTATTTGCAGCTAATTGATCTGAATTTATAATAAATTAAATACTGAAAGAAAAGAACTCAGAATTTCTTTTACTTGACAATAAAATTATGAAAACGAGTTTAACTTGTAAAACCATTTTGAAGACTAGTAACTTGATGACTAGGTAACTGTGGTCACTAATGGAAATGCCACATTTAGAAGAAATAAAGGAATTACCATTTCTTGCAGTTTTGGTCTTCTGTGGTTATACAGTAATTGTGCACTATTAACATATGGTAATGCTTATTCTGTGTAATATTTGCACAACCTCCTTTCTGCAGCCAATAAAAAGGCCATATTTTATGTAATAAATCTTACAGGAACTGGGTTTAATTCGTAAACCAGCTTCCTTCATGACCTCTATCAGTGATGAACGAGGACAAGAGCTGATGTATGCTGGCATGCCTATATCTGCTGTCTTGGAGCAAGGTCAGTGTGTGTAATATGGAAAAAACTCATAACAAGAAAGAGATTTTTTTTTTGTCTTATTTTAACCCTATATTCATGTATGGGGTAGCTATTACATTCACATGTTGGAAAGTTTCTTCTTTATTTAAAAAGTAATTATACTTTTGGAGCATCAGAAACAATATACAGCCTCTCCTCGCTTAATGATGGAGTTGTGTTCCTAATACTACATCGATCAACGAATTTGTCGCTAAACGAGGAGCATACTATAATGGTAGTGGGTTTGTCAACCATCTTTGATATTGCTTTAATGCCACCCTTGCACCATTTATAACATTATTAGTGTATTTTTAAATGTTTATACAGTAGTGTACTGTACAGTGGTCCCTCGCTTTTCGTAGTTCTCAGCAATCGTAAATTTCGCCAATCATAGGGGTATTTTCGTATAAACATGGACTCGCTTTTCATAAGTTGAGTCGCGAATAGTAGTTCGTCTGGGACGCGTACGCACGGTGTGAGCCGGGGAGGCCTCCCTACCCAGGCAGTCTGGCATTGTTTACCAGTGAGTGAAGGTCCCCTCAAGTGCTCCTACGAAATATTTCATAATATTCCACTCATTTTAGTGCTTGCAAGTACTAAATAAGCTACCATGGCTCCAAAGAAAGCTCCTAGTGCCAAGCCTGTGGTAAAGAAGGTGAGAAATATGTACAATGACAAAGTCTTCGGCCATTTTAGGGAAGTGTTAAAGAGACGCCAGAAACAGAGCTCTCTCCACAGTTACTTTGCAAGACAGGACTAGAGTGACTCTCAAGGTGGTCCTAGTGGCATTAAGAAACAGAGAAGAGAAGCAACTCCAGAGAAGCAATTGGTACCTGAGGTGTTGCTGGAAGGGGATTCTCCTTCCAAACTGTAAACAATCCAACCTCTCTCCTCCTCCAGTCTCCCATACACTAAGAAGAATCTCCAATAAAGGTAAGTGTTATGCTGTTAATGTTTCATTCATCATTTCCCATTGTATTGTTTATGTACTACATGTATATTTCACGTAAAAAATTTTTTTGTTTTAATACTTATGGGTGTCAGGAACGGATTAATTGTATTTACATTATTTCTTATGGGGAAAATTGATTCGCAAATCGTAAATTTCGTTTATAGTAGCTCCTCCAGGAACGGATTAATTACGAAAAACGAGGGACCACTGTATATTGTAACAAACAGAATAGAGGAAATCAGTTCTTATATACATTACAGTGGAACCTCGGTTTTTGGTTGCCCTGGTTTTTGTAGAATTCAGTTTTCAACGACTTTTTCTGTCAAAAATTTTTCTCAGTTTTCATTCATCACCCTGGTTTTCATTGGTCCACTGTACCGAACGTATCCACCTGCTCGCACCCACACAAAGCATCCCATGCATTCTGAGTTGGTCTGACTTTGTTTCTCATTGAGTGAGCATTACCCTGTGCATTCATCCAAGACATTTCATAATAATCCATTGTTTTTTGTGCTTGTTTATAGAGTGTGAATGCTAAATAAGCCACCACGGGGCCAAAGAAAGTTCTGATTGCCAGCCCTTTGATAAAGAAGGCGAGAAATTGTGGCCAGAATGTGTCCAAGAGAAGGATTTAGAAAGGTTTTAGGCTGACCCTGACAACCCTATGCCTGTTGTGGAATCTGTTGTTTCTTTGGGGAAATCCATGGGGTTGGATGTGAGTGGCCAGGATATGGAAGAGTTAGTGGACAACCACAGGGAAGAGCTAACCACTGAAGAGCTGCAACACCTTCAACTGGAACAGCAACAGATCGCAGCTGAGGAAATTGCTTCAGAGGAAGAGGAAGAGAGAGGGAAGAATGTGCCTTATTCAGTGACTAAGGACATGTGTGCGAAGTGGAGTGAGTTGCAAAGTTTTGTGGAGAAATATCACCCTAACAAAGCTGTTGCAAGCAGTGTCTGCAATGTGTTCAGTGACAGTGTCTTGTCCCATTTTAGCCAAATCTTAGAGATGCCAGAAACAGACCTCTCTGGACAGATTTTTTGTGCGACAGGGATCCAGTGCTAGTAAAAGACAAAGAAGGGAAGTAACCCCGGATAGGGACTTGATACCTGAAGTCCTTATGGAGGGGGATTCCCCTTCCTTCCAATAACCTCTCCCCTCCTCGCATCTTCCATACACCAACAAGTCTTCAGTAAAGGTAAAAGTGATATTAAATGTTCATTTATCCATTTTATTAGCCCTTTATGTTTACTTCTCATTGTTTTCTGTATGTAAAACTATAGTTATTCTCTCTAAAATGTATTTTTTGTTAATACTTTTGGTTGTATGGAACATTTTAATTGGATTTACATTATTTTGTATGGGAAATATTGCTTCGGTTTTTGTTGAATTCGGTTTTCGTCACACTTTCTGGAACGAATTAATGACGAAAACTAAGGTTCCACTGTATTTAGGTAAGCATACTGGTCAGAAAGCCTGTCGTAAGTCTGAGCCATCAGTAAATAAGTACGTTGCTAAGTGAGGAGAGCCTGTAGATACAGAAAGATAAGGAAACCTTGGATACCTGTGTGTGGTCTTCAAGTACTTCCTTTTTGCCTGGTTAATCAGCATTTCTGTGAATTTATTGCACTCCATAGCTACCAACATTTCCATTAATATTCAGCCACCATCAGGATTTTTTTTTTTTTTTTTTTTTTTTAACAAGTCGGCCGTCTCCCACTGAGGCAGGGTGACCCAAAAAGAAAGAAAATCCCCAAAAAGAAAATACTTTTATCATTCAACACTTTCACCTCATTCACACATAATCACTGTTTTTGCAGAGGTGCTCAGAACACAACAGTTTAGAAGCATATACGTATAAAGATGCACGACATATCCCTTCAAACAGCTAATATCCCAAACCCCTTTTTTAGAGTGCAGGCATTGTACTTCCCATTTCCAGGACTCATGTCCGGCTATACTATAAAAATAACCGGTTTCCCTGAATCCCATCACTAAATATTACCCTGCTCACACTCCAACAGATCGTCAGGTCCCAAATACCATTCGTCTCCATTCACTCCTATCGAACGTGCTCACGCACGCCTGCTGGAAGTCCAAGCCCCTCGCCCACAAAACCTCCCATACCCCTTCTTTCCAACCTTTTCGAGGACGACCCCTACCCCTCCTTCCTTCCCCTATAGATTTATATTCTTTCCATGTCATTCTACTTTGATTCATTCTCTCTAAATAACCAAACCACCTCAACAACCCCTCTTCAGCCCTCTGACTAATACTTTTATTAACTCCACACCTTCTCCTAATTTCCACACACCGAATTTTCTGCATAATATGTACACCACACATTGCCCTTAGACAGGACATCTCCACTGCCTCCTTGCTGCTGCATTCACAACCCAAGCTTCACACCCATATAAGAGTGTTGGTACTACTATACTTTCATACATTCCATTCTTTGCCTCCGTAGATAACATTTTTTTGTCTCCATATATACCTCAATGCACCACTCACCTTTTTTCCCTCATCAATTCTATGATTAACCTCATCCTTCATAAATCCATCCGCTGACACGTCAACTCCCAAGTATCTGAAAACATTCATGTCTTCCATACTCCTCCTCCCCAATTTGATATCCAGTTTTTCTTTATCTAAATCATTTGATACCCTCATCACCTTACTCTTTTCTATGTTCACTTTCAACTTTCTACCTTTACACACACTCCCAAACTCATCTACTAACCTTTGCAATTTTTCTTTAGAATCTCCCATAAGTACAGTATCATCAGCAAAAAGCAACTGTGTCAGTTCCCATTTTGTATTTAATTTGCCATAATTTAATCCCACCCCTCTCCTGAACACCCTAGCATTTACTTATTTTACAACCCCATCTATAAATATATTAAACAACCATGGTGACATTACACATCCCTGTCTAAGACCTACTTTTACTGGGAAGTAGTCTCCCTCTCTTCTACACACCCTAACCTGAGCCTCACTATGCTCATAAAAACTCTTTACAGCATTTAGTAACTTACCACCTATTCCATATACTTGCAACATCTGCCACATTGCTCTTTTTTTTTTTTCCCCTATCCACTATATCATATGCCTTTTCTAGATCCATAAATGCAATAAAAACTTCCCTACCTTTATCTAATTACTGTTCACATATGTGCTTCAATGTAAACACTTGATCTACACATCCCCTACCCACTCTAAAACCTCCTTGCTCATCCGCAATCCTACATTCTGTCTTACTTCTAATTCTTTCAATTATAACCCTACTATACACTTTTCATGGTATACTCAGTAAACTTATTCCTCTATAATTTTTACAATCTATTTTGTCCCCCTTCCCTTTATATAAAGGGGCTATACATGCTCTCTGCCAATCCCTAGGTACCTTCCCCTCTTTTATACATTTATTAAACAAAAATACCAACCACTCCAACACTATATCCTCCCTGCTTTTAAAATTTCATGATAGTGCCTCTCCCACTCTATCATCTGCTCTCCTTTTGCACTCTCTCACCACTCTCTTCACCTTTCTTTTGCTTTCCATATACTCTACTCTTCTTATAACACTACTGCTTTGTAAAAGCCTCTCATAAGCTAACTTTTTCTCTTTTATCACACCCTTTACTTCTTCATTCCACCAATTACTCCTCTTTCCTCCTGCACCCACCCTTCTATAACCACAAACTTCTGCCCCACATTCTAATACTGCATTTTTAAAACTATTCCAACCCTCTTCAACCCCCCCCCCCCACTACTCAAACTTGCACCTACCCACCTTTCTGCCAATAGTTGCTTATATCTCACCCGAACTTCCTCCTCCCTTAGTTTATTCACTTTCACCTCCCTCTTGCTTGTTGCCATTTTCCTCTTTTCCCATCTACCTCTTACTCTAACTGTAGCTACAACTAAATAATGATCCGATATATCAGTTGCCCCTCTATAAACATGTACATCCTGGAGCCTACCCATCAACCTTTTACCAACCAATACATAATCTAACAAACTACTTTCATTACGTGCTATATCATACCTTGTATATTTATTTATCCTCTTCTTCATAAAACATGTATTACTTATTACCAAACCTCTTTCTACACATAGCTCAATTAAAGGCTCCCCATTTTCATTTACCCCTGGCACCCCAAATTTACCTACTACTCCCTCCACAAAGTTTTTGCCCACTTCAGCATTGAAATCCCCAACCACAAGTACTCTCACACTTGGTTCAAAACTCCCCATGCATTCACTCAACATTTCCCAAAATCTCTCTCTCTCCTCTACACTTCTCTCTTCTCCAGGTGCATATACACTTACTATAACCCACTTTTTACATGCAACCTTTATTTTACTCCACATAATCATTGAATTAATACATTTATATTCCCTCTTTTCCTGCCATAACTTATCCTTCAACATTATTGCTACTCCTTCTTTAGCTCTCTCTATTTGAAACCCCTGACCTAATCCCATTTATTCCTCTCCACTGAAACTCTCCCACCCCCTTCAGCTTTGTTTCACTTAAAGCCAGGACATCCAGCTTCTTCTCATTCATAACATCCACAATCATCTCTTTCTTATCATTTGCACAACATCCACGCACATTCAGACTTCCCACTTTGACAGTTTTCTTCTTATTCTTTTTAGTAATTATTACAGGAAAAGGGGTTACTAGCCCATTGTTGCCGGCATTTAATTGACTTTTACAACACGCATGGCTTACGGAGGAAAGATTCTTATTCCACTTCCCTATGGATATAAAAGGAAAAGTAATAAGATCAAGAACTATTAAGATAAAATCAAAGAAAACTCAGATGAGTGTGTATAAATGAACATGTACATGTATGTGTAGTGTGACCTAAGTGTAAGTAGAAGTAGCAAGACATACCTGTAATCTTGCATATTTATGAGACAGACAAGACACCAGCAATCCTACCATCATGTAAAGGAATTACAGGCTTTCATTTCACACTCGCTTGGCAGGACGTTAGTACCCCCCTGGGTGGTTGCTGTCTACGAACCTACTACCTCAAATTTTTTTATGGTAATGCCCAGGGTTTATTACCTGGACCTCAGCAATGAGAGTCGCTACTCTCACTGCTGGGCAATGGCGACCAGTGTTTTATCAGAAAAAAAATGTAACTATAAAGGTATACTATTGACAGTAATGAAAAAAAGGCACAGGTACAAGGCAAGCTTTTTATTGTAGCAATACTCTTCTCATATATTGAAAATACAGCATTTCCTTACTTAGCAATGTACTTGTTTACTGACCACACGAATTTACGACCAGCTCTCCAACCACTATGCAAACTTAAGTAATGTATATTAGAGCTGATTTCCTCTTCTGTTTATTACAGTATACAGTACACTACTGTATAAACACTTAAAAATATACTAGAGATGTTATAAATGGTACAAGGGTGACTATAAAATTAACTAAAGATGGTTGACACAAACCCACTACCAGTATAGTATGCTTCTCCCTTAACGACCAATTCGCTTACTGGCCTACTCTTAGAACGGAACCCATCGTTAAGTGAGGAGGGCTGTACAACTTACTTTTTCAAAAAGATGCAAACAAATTAAAAAAAAAAAACACAAATACAGCAATAAGGAAGAGTATATCTTTAGTTCATTATAGCTCAGGTGATTACTAAAACAACAAAAGCCTGATATTAGAAAATAAAGTGAAGCAAAGCAAACTACAAAGTTGACAAGTAAGAGAGAGTTAGTTGTATGTATGGTATTTTTTTTTAACACAATGGCAGTGTCCCACCAAGTAAGAAGGTGACTCAGCAAAAAAAAAAAAAAAAAAAAAAAAAAAGTCTCCACCATTCATGCAATTGATTCTTGTCAGAAATGTTCTGATATCACAGTTCAGATGACCCCTCTGCACTGCAACATCCTCACCCTTCCTTGAGAGGGCAGGTACTGTACTACCAACCTCCAGGACTCTAGTCCAGCTAACTATTTTTCCATGAAGTTCCTTCATGTTGTTCAAAATAATTAACGATAGCCTAAAAGGAACCTAGAAATGACAAAAAATAGGCAGGTAGTGTTTATATTAACTGCATACTTTATTGAAGTTTAAGAAATAAGATTAGTCACATAATTTTATCAATAGGTCTTGGAATTGGTGGGACTCTGTCACTGCTTTGGTTTCAACGACGTCTTCCTCCTTATGCAACTACTTTCCTGGAAATGTGTTTGATGGTGACTGCTGACCATGGTCCAGCAGTCTCTGGTGCACACAATACTATTGTTTGCACTCGAGCTGGAAAAGATTTGGTGTCCTCACTGGTATCTGGACTGTTGACTATTGTAAGTACTGCATGAGACAATTTAGAAAACAGTGAAATTAGTGCTTTTGGTCTGTTGTAATATTCTTAAATTTTTTTTTGTACGTGGTTTTTATTTCAAAAGGATTCAAGAGTTCAAGAAATTACATATAAAGTACTGAATGAAATAAAGAATATAGAGCAAGTATTACTCAGTAATATACCAAACTTGTATACGTATTTATACTTTTGCATTTCTCATTTTTTAAGGGGGATCGCTTTGGTGGCGCTTTGGATGGTGCAGCTCGTCAGTTCAGTGAAGCCTTTGATAAAGGCCTGCTACCAATGGAATTTGTCAATGACATGCGTAAGAAAGGACAGCTCATCATGGGAATTGGCCACAGAGTCAAGTCGGTAATTGCTTAGTAGTTGTTCGCTTTTTGTTACTGTACAGCACTTCAGAAATACCTCTACCCTCTGCTGCAGCCAACAGTAGATCAAGAGGCCATCTAGATTGTCTGCTATAAATAAAATACCTGTAGTGAGGAAAGAACCCAGCAATGGAGTTAGGAGATTTAATGTATAGGGCCACCATTCTCAAATGCTTAACCCACAGTCTTATGTCTAGCAGGTAGGTCTGTCAAAGTTGTCTGCAATACACCCACACTAATAAAACTGCATCATTGAAGTGATATGAAATAAATTTCATAATAATCATTTTAAATAAGTGAATAATCTAGTTGAAATACCTACTATAGATAAAAAAAAAATCTGCATATGTGCTGTACCATCATCAGGAATTAGAGTACAGTGGACCCCCGCATAACAATCGCCTCCCAATGCGACCAATTATGTAAGTGTATTTATGTAAGTGCATTTGTACGTGTATGTTTGAGGGTCTGAAATGGACTAATCTATTCACAATATTCCTTATGGGAACAAATTCGGTCAGTACTGGCACCTGAACATACTTCTGGAATGAAAAAATATCGTTAACCGGGGGTCCACTGTACTGTGAACCTTTGATTTAATGTACTAATAGTGGGAGGGGGTGTAGGTTAAAGCTGATTGTTTGTGACATCTGAATTATGAAAGGCTTTTTCCACGAAAATAAATAATGAACAGTTTTTTGAGTTTGACTACATCCATTAAATCTGAAAACAAATATACCCAGCAGACTGTAGCAGTAATGGATAATTATGGATAAATTTGTTGGGAGTGGGCCAAGACTGAAAAGAAAAAAAATGCTGTAATGTATAACTCTAGTATTGTAAGTTTTTTTTTTTTTCCAGCTGAATAATCCTGATAAAAGAGTGGAAATCATCAAAAAATTTGTGAAGACAGAATTCCCTACAACTCCTCTTCTAGACTATGCATTGGAAGTTGAAAAAATTACTACCAGCAAGAAACCAAATCTCATCTTGAATGTAGATGGTGTAATAGGAGTTGCTTTTGTGGATCTCTTGCGTAACTCTGGGTCTTTCACACCGTAAGTTTGTTTTCTGAAACATGCTTGTACTTATCTTTCATCATTAACGATGCAGTATTTATTATCTACAGTATATGTAATAAATTTACTGATAAATATGCCTCAAGACAATGATAGTTATTGAAGAATGTACCTTAGGGTGAGCAATTTTAATGCTTAATATAAATAGTGGCTATATTGTTAATGTATGTCCTTCTTTCCATATTTCAAGTTACTACCACTTTTGCTTTTTATATCAGCTTGTTCCAGGCTTCTGTTTTTTTTCTTGATGGCTATCTCCCACTAAGGCAGGTTGACTGTCACTACATCTAGTACAGTACATCTTTCTCATATTTTTCTTATAAAAATTGTCTGGCATTTGAATCTCACTAGTAAACAAGGGCAGTTGGAGTGCTTATTAAATTTTTAATTGTGATTTTTATTTTGCCACTTTTCTTTTAACCCCTTGACTGTCGCAACCCCCAATCCTGAGGCGTCTCCTGGTGTCGCAAAATTTAAAAAAAAAAAACGAAAAAAAAAAATATTTTTTCTTATGAAATGATAGAGAATCTTTTCCCGATTGTAATGACACCAAAAAAACGAAATTTGATGGAAAACTGACGGAATTATGCTCTCGCGAAGTTAGCGACCTCGGCGATATTTACAAATCGGCGATTTCGCCCACTTTGAGCCCTATTTTCGGCTAATTCTGTTCCAGTCAACCAAACTCATAGCTATTTCTTTAGAACTCCATTTTTTCTATCAATTGAGTACAAGAAACTGCCCATTTACCGACTTCAACTACCCAATAATGTTGTCAGAAATTTGCAATTTGGCCAATTTCACAAAAATTAAAAAATATGACAATTTCAAAATAAGGTCCAGAATGAACAATGCAGACATTCCTGGCTCTAAAATAACATTTTCTTTGTTCATCAGTCATGTCTCCAGGCCCCTCTGATATTACTCTTGCTTTCTATTTTGAATTTTTATTCAAACAAAAAATAGAAGACTTACTATTATGCAGACTACTTCAATACTGTAATAATTGTATAAATAACATCAACCCATTCATGACTGCATATTAGAATGGGTAGTTGGACATTTATTGGACAATGACATCATTTGTTTACTTTTGAACATTGGCAAAAATCAAACATTTCCCCTACTTTGAGCTCCATTTCCAGGTTCTTTTTATAGTAAAATCAATCAAAATCACCTCTATTTCTATAATATGTTTTCCATTCTATCAAATGAGACCAAGAAAACGAGAATACAACCATAAATACTATACGAAAATAGACCACAAATTCGGCATTTTAATTAAAAAAAAAATGGTCGGACTTTTTTTTTTCTCATTATGCACTGTGTGCTCCAGGATTTTTTTTTATATGGTGCACACTGACCACACAGACCCATTCTCTCACATGTGGGCCTACCAGCTTTCTCCTGCTTGATTTGAAGCTGCTAGAATTTATGAGTATACGTCAAACACGGTACCTCATAAGACGTATATATACGGCCGTGACAGTCAAAGGGTTAATTTTGGATTATTCCCTTGTACTTTGATTATCCATCTTCTCTGTATTAGTCCTGTTTCACAAGAATACAGCTAAAATCTTGGCTAATCAACAACTGTGCATTTAACTTTTTAGGTTTGCAGAGGGCATGCTCCACCTCTTGATCATTCCTTTTGATAACCTAAGGTAAATTGAACCTCATCACCTCATTTTTGAGCCCCTATATTGGGTTTTGGTCCACTTTGTTCAGTTCATTCCATTTCTACTGCCCTTACATTAAGTGTTTTTTAATATCCTTTTGACTCGTTTGTAATTTCCAGCCATACCCCCTTGTTCTAGGAACATCTCTGGTGAAAAGCCTGTACTGTACTTGTCTAAGCTGTCTGTGCCCTGTACAGTTTTGTAAGTCATAATAATACCTTCTAGCTCTTTGCTCCTAGTTCTCTCATTCTTTCTTCATAGTTCTTCTTTTAACAAACTTGCTGTATCTCACAAAGGCAGGGTGGCCCAAAAAGAAAAATGAAAGTTTACCTTTTTAAATTTATTAATATATATACAGGAGAAAGGGTTACTAACCCTTTGCTCCTGGCATTTTAGTTGCCTCATATGGCTTACAGAGGAAGAATTCTGTTCCATTTTCCCATGGAGATAAGAGGAAATAAAGAACAAGAACTATTAAGAAAATAGAAGAAAACCCAGTGTGTATATATATGCTTGTATACGCATGGCAGTGTGACCTATGTAAGTAGAAGTAGCAAGACATATGTACCTGAAATCTTGCATGTTAATGAAACAAAAAGATACCAACAATCTTACCATCATGCAAAACAATTTACAGATTTCTGTTGCTGTAAAACAATTTACAAGTTTCTGGTTGCTGTCTACCATCCTACTACCTACATTCATCATATTTCATTTTATTTATACAGTGGACACCCGCCTTACGATGGTATCGCGATACGTTAAATCCGCCATACGATACATTTGATTGCAAAAATTTTGCCTCGCTTCATGCTGAAAAACTCGCCTCGCGCGATTCATCTGGGACACATCCCACATGTGGCCTCAGCACCAGTGTTTACAAGCCAGCCAGTGCGGTCGCATCCACGCATACATTCGGTACATTTCACCTTATCCCAGTGCTTTTTGTGCTTGTAACTGCAAAATAAGTCACCATGGGCCCCAAGAAAGATTCTAGTGCCAACCCTGTGGTAAAAAGGGTGAGAATTAGTATGGAAATAAAGAAAGATTTTGAAGGCTTTGGGGCTAACCCTGAGAAGCCTATGCCAGTTGTGGAATCCATTGTGCCTGCTTCAAAGATTAAGGAAATGTGTGCAAAGTGGGTTGAACTGCAAACCTTTATGGACGAAAAGCACCCTAACACAGCTATTGCAAGCCGTGCTGGTGACTATTACAATGACAATGTTGTGGCCCATTTTAGGCAAATCTTAAAGGAACAGGAGGGACAGAGCTCTATGGACAGATTTGTTGTGCGACAGAGGTCCAGTGACTCTCAAGCTGGTCCTAGTGGCATTAAAAGAAGGGAAGTAACCCCAGAAAAGGACTTGCTACCTCAAGTCCTAAACAATAACTTCCACACTCTCCCCTCCTCCCATCCCATCAATCATCATCAGATCTTCAATAAAGGTAAGTGTCATGTATTCTATTCTTAGTAGAGTAGTAATTGTGCATGTCTTCTTCAGTTTGTGTGTATTAAAATTAATATTTCGTGTGGCAAAAATTTTTTTTTAATACTTTGGGGTGTCTTGCACGGATTAATTTGATTTCCATTACATTTTCTTATGGGAAAATTAATTCGCCTTACGATAATTTCGGCTTACGATGAGCTCTCAGGAACAGATTAATATTGTAAGGCAGGGGTCCACTGCATTTTCATCAATTCTGGCACAAGTCTTCTTGCACTTTAGTTCTTTTTTGAGTATCACTATGCTTAATAGGTGAGGGTTTCAATACCACTGCATACTCAAGAATAGGTTGAATGTATGAGGTAAAGATTGTTTTGAAGTGTCTTTTGTCTAGGCTTCTGGTTACCATTCTTAGGTTTGCAAGCTTAGCCTGTGCTGATGGTAGTCTTATTTTTGCTCTTCAGTGGACATATTTGTGGTAGCGATTATTCCAGGATCTTAACTATTCTTAACTATTTCTGTGTTCGGTGACTTTCTAGTTACCCATATTTTATCTTTTTCTACTTTGCATAGGGTAAAAGACACAGTGATTCTAGTTCATTCTTTCCTTTTATCAGTTGTTTTAACATGGTACCTCATGAAGTTTCCCATTGCTGCTTTCATCAGTTTTTCTTTTCATGTAATTAAGACTTAGTTGTCTTTAAATCTTCTTTTTTTTTTTTTTTTTAACTGGCCATTTCCCACCGAGGCAGGGTGATCAGAAAAACACTTTCTACCATCATTCACACTATCACTGTCTTTGAAGAGGCTTGCAGATATGACAGTTTACGTGTCACTGAAGTGATTTTTCCTTCAATCAGTAGCTTTATTTTTTCCTGTTTACTCCCTGCTGCTGCCTCCAGAATCTGAATTATTGTTCTGTCATTCCCTCCATATTCTTGTCTTGGGTTGTGTGGATAATTATATTTATGGGTATAGTGTTTTCCTATAAAGGTCATACAGCACCTGAGGACAGGAGAGGTGGGGTAATCAGGGTTGATCTTAGGAAGGAGAAGGCAGATACTGGTGTTAGCCTTGCTTCCTTTTATTTCCACTGTTCCTGCAGTTGTCTCTGAAGTCCTCACCCCTTCTGAACTCGGCATATCTTAATCATTAGTGGGTGGGTATTTTGTATGAAGTTATTTCAGTGGAAGAGTGTGTGATAGAAAAATGATAATGAACGTACAATACCCTGAAAGCATTTATCTTTTACAGAGAAGAATCTGAGGAATACATTAATATTGGCACCATCAACGGACTGTTTGTTCTTGGTCGCTCAATGGGTTTCATTGGTGAGTTAAATAAATCTAATGGGGCTTATATATTTTTCAGAAGCTGAAGAAAATAAGTTTTTATTAATAAGAGATCATTTACAAATATAATTAATTGAAGTTAAAGTATTTTTGAATTGGTAACTTATTTTATTGAAGTTGTATAAATCTGCATGAACAATCCTATTTGAATTTCTTGAAAGAATTGGTTGAAATAATAATGTCTGCTCCCCCCCTCTCTTCTCTCTCTCCTCTCCCTCTCTCTCTCTCTCTCTCTCTCTCTCTCTCTCTCTCTCTCTCTTTTTTCTCTTTTTCTCTTTTTCTCTTTTTTTTTTTTTTTTTCTTTTTCTCTTTTCCGTTTTTCTCTTGTTTCTTTTCTCTTTTTCTTTCCTTTTTCTCTTTATCTTTTTCTTTTTCTCTTTCTCTTTTTATCTTTTTTTTTGCACAGTCTACAAGCTGTTACCTACATCCTAGCTTCATTTGAACATTTTTATGGTTATGAGACTACAAGTATGGAACTAGGTGTAAGTCTGAGCTCATTTGCAGCATTTTTCATTTTGATCAGTGAACTGAGCTTTATCTCGTTGCAGCATTCATTATGCAACTGACTAATGTTGACTTCATCTGTACGAGTCATCCTTATGTATGATCTCAGATGGGGATGTGATGTTCGTGGAGAAGTGGAGAGGTACAGCCAGAGTGAGTTGCTGCTTTCTGCCCGTCTTGTGGCATAAAAGCTTGTTTCACGCTGTCCTCGAAGTGGATCCAAGTGTGGTATTTTGACAATATTGGCCCTTGTACATAACAGTAAGGCCACCCACATCCCATCATATGTTGAAGGCTCTGCTGAAATGACAGATCTATCCAGGATGGGTCCAGGCGAGAGATGAGACGTCTTGCTCTGTTCTCTACTCTGTCAAGCAGTCGCAGATGAGAGGGGGGGCAGGCAAACCAAGAAAGTGGAGCATACTCAAGGTGTGAGCGTACTTGTGCCTCGTACAGGATCTTGCAGCCCCTACTGTCAAGCAGATGCGAGATACGGCGAAGTGCTGTAAGCTTCCTGGCTGCCTTGTTTGCAAGATTTACAACATGGTTCTTCATGGTTAGTTTGGAGTCAAATTTCACCCCAAGGATATCAACTTCTTCTCCAGGTGCCAACATCCTCCCATTCATCCTTACTACTGCACCAGCATTACCATCATGGTGCCTAGAGACGATCATCATTTGCGTTTTCTCAGGTGCAAATGTTACTTGCCATCTATTTCCCCAAGCTGATATAGCTCTCAGCTGGTGATTGATGTAGCTTAGAGCAGCTGGCATTTCTTCTCTTGGATAAGTGAATGTCAGTGTACAGTCGTCTGCATATGCATGTGATTCTGGGATGAGATGAAGAAGGTCGTTGAAGTAGACCCCAAAAAGAAAATACTTTCATCATTCATCACTTTCACCTCACTCATACATAATCAGGGTTTATACAGAGACACCCAGATACAACAGTTTAGAAGCATATCTAAAGATATATAACATCTCGCCAAACTGCCAATATCCAAAACCCCTCTTTTAAAGTGCAGGCATTGTACTTCCCTTTTCCAGTACTCAAGTCCGGCTATATAAAAATAACTGGTTTCTCTGAATCCCTTCACTAAATATTACTCTGCTCACACCCCAACAACTTGTCAGGTCCCAAAAACCATTCACTACTATCTAACACGCTCACACACGCTTGCTGGAAGTCCAAGCCTCTCACCCACCAAAACTCCTTTACCCCCTCCCTCCAATCTTTTCGAGAATGACCCCTACCCCACTTTCCTTCCTCTGCAGACTTGTACACTCTCCATGTCATTCTACTTTGATCCATTCTCTCAAAATGACTCAGCGCTGTATAGCCCTTGTGGCTTAGCGCTTCTTTTTTATTATAATAATAATAATCTCAAAATGACCAAACCACCTTAACAACCCCTCTTCAGCCCTCTGACTAATACTTTTATTAACTCCACACCTCCTAATTTCCAAACTCTGAATTCTCTGCATAATATTTACATCACATATTGCCCTTAGACAGGACATCTCTATTGCCACCAACTGCCTCCTTGCTGCAGCATTTACAACCCAAGCTTCAAACCCATATAAGAGTTGGTATCATTATACTTTCATACATTGCCTTCTTTGCCTCCATCGATAACATTTTTTTTTTGTCTCCACATATACCTCAATGCACCACTCATCTTTTTTCCTTCATCAATTATATGGTTAACCTCATCCTTCATAAACCCTTCCGCTGACACATCAACTCCCAAATATCTGAAAACATTCTCTTCTTCCATACTCCCACTCTCTAATGTGATACCTAATTTTTCTTTATCTAAATCATTTGATACCCTCATCACCTTACTCTTATCAACTTTCTACCTTTACACACCCTCCCAACCTTGTCCACTAACTTTTACAACTTTAGAATCAACCTTAAACACAGTATCATCAGCAAAATGTAACTGTCAACTCCCATTATGTATTTGATTCCCCATAATTTAATCCCACCCCTCTCCCCATCTATAAATATATTAAACAACCATGGTGACATTACTCATCCCTGTCTAAGACCTACTGTTACCGGGAAGTAATCTCTCTCTTCTACACACCCTGACCTGAGCCTCACTATCCTCATAAAAACTCTTTACAGCATTTAGTAACTTAGTACCTATTCCATATACTTGCAACATCTGCCACATTGCTCTACTATCCACTCTATGATATGCCTTTTCTAAATCCATAAATGCAATGAAAACTTCTCTACCTTTATCTAAATACTGTTCACATATGTTCTTCAGTGTAAACAATTGATCTACACATCCCCTACCCACTCGAAAGCCTCCTTGCTCATCCGCAATCCTACTCTCTGTCATGCCTCTAATTCTTTCAGTAATAATCCTACCATACACTTTTCCTGGTAAACTCAGTACACTTATTCCCCTACATTTTTACAATGTCTCTAGTCCCCCTTCCCTTTATATAAAGGAACTATACATGCTCTCTGCCAGTCCCTAGGTACCTTCCCCTCTTTCATACCTTTATTAAACAAAAATACTAACCACTCCAACACTATATCCCCCCCATCCCTGCTTTTATCATTTCTGTCATGATCCCATTGGTTCCACACATTTCCCACACACGTCCTGCACTTCTTTACTCCTATAAGATGTTATACCTCCCTGGCAAGTGCATGAAATTAACGCCTCCCTTTCTTCATCGACATTTTAAAAGTTCCTCAAAATATTCCTGCCATCTACCCAATACCTCCAGCTCCCCATCTACTAACTCCCCTACTCTGTTTTTAACTGACAAATCCATTCATTCCCTAGGCTTTCTTAACTTGTTTATCTCACTCCAAAATTTTTTCTTGTTTTCATTAAAATTTTTTGACAGTGCCTCTCCCACTCTATCATCTGCTCTCCGTTTACACTCGCCATACTCTTCACCTTTCTTTTACTCTCCATATACTCTGCTCTTCTTATAACACTTCTGTTTTGTAAAAACCTCTCATAAGCTACCTTTTTCTCTTTTATCACACCCTTTACTTCATTAAACCAATCACTCCTCTTACCTTCTGCACCCATCCTCCTGTAGCCACAAACTTCCCCACAATCTAATACTGCATTTTTAAAACTATTCCAACCCTCTTCAACCCTCCCACTACTCATACTTGCACTAGCCCACCTTTCTGCTAATAGTTGCTTATATCTCACCCTAACTTCCTCCTCCCTTAGTTTATACACTTTCACCTCTCTCTTACTTGTTGTTGCCATTTTCCTTTTATCCCATCTACCTCTTACTCAACTGTAGCTACAACTAAATAATGATCCAGTATATCAGTTGCCCCTCTATAAACATGTACATCCTGAAGCCTGCCCATCAACCTTTTATCCAATACATAATCTAACAAACTACTTTCATTATGTGTTATATCATACCTTGTATACTTATCCTCTTTTTCATAAAATATGTATTACTTATTACCAAAGCTCTTTCTACACATAGCTCAGTTAAAGGCTCCCCATTTTCATTTACCCCTGGCACCCCAAATTTACCTACTCCCTCCACAACATTTTTACCAGCATTGAAATCCCCAACCATAAGTACTCTCACACTTGGTTCAAAACTCCACATGCACTCACTAAACATTTCCCAAGATTTCTCTTTCCTCTACACTTCTCTCTTCTCCAGGTGCATAAATGCTTACTATAACCCACTTTTCACGTCCAATCCTTATTGTATTCCACATAATCCTTGAATTAATACATTTATATTCCCGCTTTTCCTGCCATAACTTATCCTTCAACATTATTGGTACTCCATCTTTAGCTCTAACACTATTTGAAACCCCTGACCTAATCCCATTTATTTCTCCCCACTGAAACTCCCCTCCCCCTTCAGCTTTGTTTCACTTAAATCCAGGACATCCAGCTTCTTCTGATTTATAACATCCACAATCATCTCTTTCTTATCATTTGCACAACATTCACGCACATTCAAACATCCCACTTAATAATCCCAATAAGCGAGTGTATCTGCTGCAAATTCATATAGAATAAAATAGATACAGCATGTTCAGTAGTTATTATGAAAGAGAGAGAGAGAGGTAGAGGTAGAGAGAGGTAGGGAGAGAGAGGTAGAGAGAGAGAGATACAGATACAGCATGTTCAGTAGTTATTATGAAAGAGAGAGAGAGAGAAAGAGACAGAGAGAGAGTTAGAGGTAGAGAGAGAGAGGGTTTGAGGTAGAGAGAGAGAGGTAGAGGTAGAGAGGAGGGTAGAGGTAGAGAGAGGGGTAGAGGAGAGAGAGGAGAGTAGAGAGAGAGAGAGGTAGAGGTAGAGAGAGAGAGAGAGGTAGAGAGAGGAAGGTAGAGGTAGAGAAAGAGAGAGAGGTAGAAGGTAGAGAGAGAGGTAGAGGTAGAGAGAGAGGTAGAGGGTAGAGAGAGAGAGAGGTAGAGAGAGGAGAGGTAGAGAGAGAAAGAGGTAGAGAGAGAGAGGTAGAGAGGAGAGGTAGAGAGAGAGAGGAAGAGGTAGAGAGAGAAAGTAGAGGTAGAGAGAGAAGGTAGAGGTAGAGAGAGAAAGGTAGAGGTAGAGAGAGAAAGGGAGAGAGAGAAGAGGTAGAGGTAGAGAGAGAAAGGTAGAGAAGAGAGAGTAGAGAGATACAGGGTCAGCATGTTCAGTAGTATTATGAAAGAGAGAGGTAGAGAGAGAGAGAGGTAGAGGGAGAGAGAGGTAGAGGTAGAGAGAGAGGTAGAGGTAGAGAGAGAGGGTAAGAGAAGAGTAGAGGTAGAGAGAGGTAGAGGTAGAGAGAGGTAATGAGAAAGGAGAGGTAGAGGAGAGAGGGGAGGTAGAGGTGAGGTAGAGAGAGGGTAGAGGGTAAAAGAGAGGTAGAGGTAGAGAGAGGTAGAGGTAGAGAGAGAGAGGTAGAGGGAGAGGAGAGGTAAGAGAGAGGGGGGTAGAGAGAGAGAGAGGTAGAGGAGAGAGGGCAGAGTACAGGTAGTTCAGTAGTTATTATGAAGAGAGGGTAGAGAGAGAGAGGTGAGAGAGGTAGAGGAGAGGAGGTAGGAGAGAGAGCGTCAGTGTTCAGTAGTTTAGAAAGGAAGGTAGTAGAGGTAGAGAGAGAGAGAGAGGTAGAGGTAGAGACATCCTATTGGGGCAAGTGTTCCACAAGGAAGCGTGCTGGGTCCATTGTTATGGAATGTCTACTTCAATGACCTCCTTCATCTCATCCCAGAATTACATGCATATGCAGACGACTGTACACTGACATTCACTTATCCAAGAGAAGAAATGCCAGCTGCTCTAAGCTACATCAATCACCAGCTGAGAGCTATATCAGCTTGGGGAAATAGATGGCAAGTAACATTTGCACCTGAGAAAACGCAAATGATGATCGTCTCTAGGCACCATGATGGTAATGCTGGTGCAGTAGTAAGGATGAATGGGAGGGTGTTGGCACCTGGAGAAGTTGATATCCTTGGGGTGAAATTTGACTCCAAACTAACCATGAAGAACCATGTTGTAAATCTTGCAAACAAGGCAGCCAGGAAGCTTACAGCACTTCGCCGTATCTCGCATCTGCTTGACAGTAGGGGTTGCAAGATCCTGTACAAGGCACAAGTACGCTCACACCTTGAGTATGCTCCACTTTCTTGGTTTGCCTGCTCCCCCTCTCATCTGCGACTGCTTGACAGAGTAGAGAACAGAGCAAGACGTCTCATCTCTCGCCTGGACCCATCCTAGATAGATCTGTCATTTCAGCAGAGCCTTCAACATATGAGGGATGTGGGTGGCCTTACTGTTATGTACAAGGCCAATATTGTCAAAATACCACACTTGGATCCACTTCGAGGACAGCGTGAAACAAGCTTTTATGCCACAAGACTGGCAGAAAGCAGCAACTTCACTCTGGCTGTACCCTTCTCCAGAACATCACTCCATCTGAGATCATACATACCCAGGATGACTTGAGTATGGAACACATTCGTACAGCATAATGTCAACAAGATAAAGTCAGTTGATCAAATGAAAATGCTGGCCCACAGATGGCTCCAACTTCATCCTGTTCCCTACTTGTATGTCTCATAACAATAAAAATGCTTTCAAATGAGCTGATGTAGGTAACAGCTCTTAGCTTGCCAATTAAGTTTGGAATCCTTAATCTGTAAATAGCTTGTCAATAAAGCTAGGGATCCTTAACCTTGTCAAACCCTGTGTATAAAAAAAAAAAAAATAGGTAGAGAGAGAGGGGGGCACGGATAAATAGACACGCATGATATTTATTGATAATTCTTATCAACAGGTCATTACTTGGATCAGAAGCGTCTGAAGCAGGGATTGTACCGTCACCCATGGGATGATATCTCCTACGTAATGCCAGAACACTATGCTTCCTAAATTATCTTCACAAATTTGAAAATTGCAAAAAAACTTTCCCTTCTCTGGGTTGAAGTTTTCTTTGAAAAAGCTATACTTGATGTACAGTGTATCAGTTTTTTATTATTAAAGCATACGTAGTATATGTACTGTATATCGTAAAACAACTTTAAAAGCCAAACCAAATTCCAGTACATGTATTGTGTAAGTTTGGCAACTTTATTCTTCCTGCATACCAGTAATGGTTCTACACCTTGTATATGGAGATCTAAGAACTTTACTGATTTTAATTGGGTTGATAAGTAATGTCTTCTTTTTTTATGTTATCTAGAATATTTTATGTACAGTCAGTTAAGAAATTAAAAGCTGCACAAATGGATACAGTATTTCTAGTTATAAATATTGAAGTTCCAAATGTTAGAGTAATTGGTAGCTCATTATTTTTTATTAGTTTTTCTGTAAATAATTGACTGAGACTTTGATACCCTTTGATTTTTTGTATTTTAAATAATTGTTTTTTAGCTATTTTTAAAGGTATTTTTGATACGATTTATCAAGAACTTGTTATTAAGGAATATTGGTTATTGATGTTCAGTTATGAGTACTGTTAACATGTGGCTCCTCTAATTTTGTTTCATGAAATTTTCATGTTTTTAATTTCATGGATAACAGTACTTTAATTAAAGGCAAGAAATCCTATGAGGTATAGATTCAATTCAGCTGAAGGAAGAAAAAATGAAAGACAATATATTAATGTTTACATTTTAGTACAGTAGCGTTGTTGCTGAAAAGTGACGCTGAAAACCTTAGGTAGTACTGTATTATGTTTTAATATTTTAAGTCGTAGAGATTGTACAATTTGATTTTAAACTTAGTATAAGCACGTTGGGATTGTACTGTCATTGTACATCAGTATTAAGGTGATATGTCTGTGAACAGTGTGTAATGCTTGCTCCTGAGTTTTTTAATGTCAAAACTTAGTATATGTTGCTTCCTTATTTTACCTATTAACACTTGTATCAACATTACACTATAATTGATGAAGCAAAGTCTTGAAGATGTTTGGATTTTCATTGACTTTATGCTGATCTGAATTAAGCAGCATTACCTCAGTATATGTTCACAACTTTCTTTCGTTGAATCCCAAGTTAATTGATGTTGCACATACTAGTTAGGTCTGCACTCAAATCCCTCCAGTCAGTGCTTTAAACAAAGTATTATTTTGTCTACAAAGACATCTGTCTTTATTAGTGTAAGAATGTCATCGAGATGAAATTTTAAATTGTTTCAAATAATTTTTCTTTGCTGTATTTATGAAATTGTTGTCAGCCTTAAAACGAGCGTTATTCTTTTTTTGTACATTTTAGCATAATTGGAAAAACTGTCTTTTACACTTTTCAGCAAGTGATGAGCTTTGCACATTAATTTATTAATACACATATCAGTAAGATTAATTCATTCACTGTGGCATGTTATAACTAATGGACTTCTGAAAAACAAATTTTAAATTTGAATTTTTAATTTTAATTTGTAATTAGTGAAGTAAATTTTCATTGCGTAACAACTTGTACTTGATTGGAGGTACGGTTGTTTATGCATTTATTGGCCTTAGTATATAATGTGATTGTACTAAAACAGCCTATAGAAGTCTCACATTTGTGGTAAACATCATAAGAGATTCAAAAGATATTTTCTAGATGATTGCCTTATTTTCATGTGTAAAGGAATTTACACAAAACCAATCTATTGTAAAAGTGATTATTATTATTAGAGTCTAGCTACAGGAGGTCATATAATATTTAATGGTGGGTGGTTTAAGATTGTCAGCATAAGTTTTTTGTCTAATTTCCCAGTCCTGCTTTAGTGTAAATGTAAAAAATAAAAATTGGTGTTGGATTAAAGTCTTAAGTTTTATATTGACATTTTATCTTAAATACATTCCATATGTATATTGGTGTTATGGTTGTGCTGGAATTAATGTAATGTCAGGCAAAATAAAAAAAATTTAGTTTTGTAGGAATTCATGGTTTATTCTAACCTTACTTTACCACCAAAACATTGTAGCCTATAGTAAGAACTGAAATGAAATGAACTGCCCTTTTCAAATTTAAAGTTTGCATTGATACTCCCTAAACATTTTTATTTTCTAAATTTAGTATGTGTACTGCCTGCTGTTGTGATATATTCATCTTGACAAGCATTTTATATCCAATTTAATCATTCCTATATTCATAGACAAGTGTAAAAGACCAGATAACTAAGAAGGAATGACAAAGTCTGTGAAGTGTTGATCAAACGATCTGAAGAAGTCTTCTCAGTGGAAACAGACAATACCAGAAAGACTAGGGGACAGAGTACATCAACAGGTACTGAACAACATTAAACATGAGGGAAGGTAAAGAAAATGCTGATGGATCTGAATACATAATAGGCAGTGGGACCTGACAAGGTTTCACCATAGATTCTACGAGAGGGAGCAGAACTACTACTAGAACCGCTAGCTAGGATCTACAGGAAGTTAATGGACAGTTGCCAGATATCTGGAAGACAGCACATGTAGTCCTTATATTTAAGAAAAGAGCCAGAAAGCATTGACTTAGACCAGTTTCTATGACATTGTTTCTACCTCTCTTCAAGTAGTAGAACACTAGGAGAGAAGTAATTTCATAACTAACATGGGTTCAGAGATGGCAAAGTGAGAGAAGAAATGGTGGATTGAATTATCTTAGGCTGGGGCAAAAACTCAAAGTACCTCTCCGGGTAAACAGGCAGGAATAACGGAATATGCTCGAGTAGACTGCTATCTTCCCAGAAGTGTATTGACATCACAATTCAGATTATCATCCAACTGAAATATATTCCTCCAGAGTACAGGCACTGCCCTTCCCACCTCTGACTCGATTTCAGTTACCTTGGATCCCTTCATGAATGGTACCTTGCTCACACTCCAACAGTAGGTTTGTTAAATACTACTATCCATTCACTCCTAAAACTTTCACAAGCCTGCTGGATACTCGAGCCCCTTAACCCTTTCAGGGTCCAGACGCCTGTTCTAAGAATTTCTCTCAGGGCCCAAGAATTTAAAAAAAAAAAAAATCTTGTCAAGTGATAATCTTTTTTCCAACGGTCATGAAACCAAAAGTGCAAAATTTGATGGAAAACTTACGGAATTATGCTCTTGTCAAGTTAGCTGTCTGCGATATGCAACTGCAATTTTGCCCAATTTGAGTCCTATTTTAAGTCAATTCCATTGTTCCAATCAATCAAACTTGTAGGCATTTCACTAGTATTTCTTCCATTCTATCAACCGAGTACAAAAAAAACTGTCCATTTAACTATTTCAACTACCCAATAAAATAATCTAATTGGTAATCTGGCCAATTTCACACAAAAAATTGCCAATTTAAAAATAGAATAAAATAAACAATGCATACATTTCTTGCCCTAAAACATTTCCTCTGTTCATTAGTTATGCCCTCAGGCCTTTCCTATATTGCAAATACTTTCCATTTTGAACTTTTATTCACAAAAAAAAATATAACAAAAAGAAGCGCTAAACCACAAGAGCTATACAGCGCTGCGGGGGTAGGGAAGGAAGCAAGCAAGGGTATTGGGCGGCAGAAGGGGGGAGGGATGATAGTAGGTTAGAGAACAGCGAGGCAGGGGATAGTGCGGGGGTAGAGGGCAGCAAGAGATTGAGGTAGAAAGGGCTGAAGGTATCATCAGAGTTTGTGAAGTAAGTCGGTTGTCAAAAAGTCAGAGTGTGTCCGGATTAAAGGTGGGTCCATCAGCGAGAAGGGAAGGTAAAGAGAGCAGCGAAGCGAAGACGATGTTGGAGGTATATTCTGCGTGCTCGTTGATAAAGTGGGCAGTCTAATAGGATGTGGCTAACCGATAATGGAACCTGACAATTCTCAGAGAGAGGAGCAGGGCGCCTCTCCATGAGATAACCATGAGTAAGACGAGTATGGCCAATGCGAAGACGGGATAGAGTAGTCTCCCAACCTCGACACTGGTGACAAGAAGACGGCCAGTAACCTATACTCGGTTTAATAGATTGAAGTTTGTTACCGAGCAGAGTAGACCAACGTTGTTGCCAACGGCTATTGCAGCAAAATAGTCCGTAAATGGAACGCCTCTATATGAAACTGGTAGGTCATGTACTGCTGACCGCGCAGCAGTGTCTGCCTGTTCATTGCCCTGTACGTCAACATGACCAGGGACCCAACAAAAAACGATATCTTTATGCTTGGAAGAGATGCGGCGTAGCCAAAGTTGGATACGGAGGACCAAGGGGTGAGGTGTATCAAATTTCTGTATAGCCTGTAAGGCACTAAGGGAGTCTGAGACAACCACAAATGATGACACAGGCATAGATGCAATACGGATAAGTGCTGCAAGAATGGCATACAATTCAGCAGTAAAGATACTAGCCGAAGATAGTAAATGCCCTTGTATAACGCTGTCTGGAAACACTGCTGCAAATCCTACGCCGTCAGAAGACTTAGAGCCATCTGTGTACACTGCAATGGCATGAGAATGAGAGTGGAAGTGGTCAAGAAAAAGAGTGGGAAGCTACCGTAGACAGTTGGGCTTTCGAGCAAGGGAGTGAGAAAGAACAGACTCAAACAGCTGGAACTTCCCAGGGATGGTAGGGAAAAGTGAGATGCTACATGAACATAGAAAGGTGGTAAATGAAGAGAAGACAAGAGCAAATGTAGGCAAAGGGAGAAGGGACGGAGCAAACAGGGGCAGCGAACAAATAATGTCTACTAATATTGGTGACCATTCTATAAATGGAAGGATTGCAGAGATCATGAGAGCGTACATAGTAGCGAAGGCAATGGGCATCATGGCGATCGAATAAGGATGGAACATTCGCTTCTGCATAGAGGGGCTCAACAGGGGAAGAGCGAAAAGCACCAAGGCATAAATGTAATCCTTGGTGATGAATGGGGTTAAGGCTAGAGAGAGTAGCAGGAGAGGCCGCTGAATAGATCTGGTCACCATAATCAAGTTTCGATAAAATGAGGGCAGAATGTAGGCGAAGGAGAGTTCGACGATCAGCTCCCCGTGAAAGTTGAGCAAGGGTTTTAAGAAGGTTCAGCCGGCTGTGACAAGTTGCCTTCAGAGAGGTAATGCGAGGTTTCCAGGATAACTTACGGTCAAAGAGGAGGCCTAGAAACCTGACTGTATCACATTCAGGGATACAGGAGCCATAGAGGTACAAAGGATGATTGAAGATGACAGAGCGTCTAGTGAAAGTAATTTGGTGAGTTTTGGTACTGGAAAATTTAAACCCATGTGTGGTGGCCCAATTGGAAACACGGTCGACTGCATGTTGGAGAGAAGCTGTAATGAGGCGACAGTCAGCGCCTGCACATGCAATAGCAAAGTCATCAACATAGGGTGATGACCAAATATTGGATGGAAGACTAGAGGCCAAATCATTTATAGCAAGGAGGAAAAGTGTGCTCAGAACACATCCCTGGGGGACACCTTCATCTTGGATAAAGTCCAGGGAGAGCACATTATTAACCCGAACACGGAAATGCCTGTCAGTTAAAAAGTTCTTAAGGAAGGATGGTAGATTGCCTTGAAGGCCTAAGGAGTGGGCTTGGGCCAAAATATTATACCTCCAAGTTGTGTCATATGCCTTCTCAAGGTCAAAAAATATGGCAATAACTGAGTGGTTATTCGCAAAGGCATTACGAACATACATACCTAAGCATAGTAAGGGGTCTATGGTAGAACAGCCCTTACAAAAGCCATATTGACGAGTGGAGAGACTGTTGTGTGTCTCTAAATACCACACTAAATGTCTATTTACCAGGCGTTCCATCACTGCAAACTGCACTGGTAAGAACAATGGGACAATAGTGGGAGGCTTCATGTCCCGTAGTACCCGGTTTGCGGAAAGGGAGAACAATGGCAGATTTCCACAGCTGTGGAAGAACTCCCTGTGACCAAATAAGATTGAAAAGGCATAATAGGACTGCAAAGGCTCACTGATGTAAATGTTGTAGCATACGAATATGAATGTCGTCGGGCCCAGCTGCCGATGATCGGTAAGCTAAGAGTGTTGCCTCCAGTTCCTGAAGTGTAAAAGGCACATTATACTGTTCTTCTCTGAGAGAAGAAAAGTCCAAGGGTGCTAACTCTCTGGCAGACTTTGAGGAAAGAAACGAGGGGCATAAATGGATCCCCTGAGAAATACGGACCAGATGATTGCCAATTTCATTGGCAACATCCAGTGGGTTTGCTATATCAACACCGGCAACCTGCAGAACAGGAGCCGGGTCAGGAGAATATTTACCACTCAGTTTTCGTACTTTTTTCCAGACTGCACTCATAGAGGAAGCAGAGGTGATGGTGGAGACATAATCTCGCCAGCAAGTGCATACATAAAAAAAAAAAAAAAAAAAGATTTACCTGCATGCAGATTACTGTGCTGTAATAACTATAAATAGTGTTGGCACATTCACGAACACGTATTAGACTGACCAGTTGGATGCGTACTGGATGAGCGATGTAATTTGTGTCGTCTGGAATATGCAAAATTCAAACATTTCTGCTACATTGAGCTCAATTTCAAGCTACTTTGTTCTAAAACAAAACAGGGAATACACTGCAAGGTCGCTATTTTAGACCAATTCATGATTATTTTTTCTCATGTACTGCGTAGGGGCAGGATTTTTTTTTTATATGGTGCACACTTGTTGCACAGACCCATTCTCTCATAACTAGGCCCAAATTTACCACTCACTCCTTATCTGAGAGAGCTGAGATCACTTAGTTCTATGGCACAAACCCTGAGCTCAAACCCGTAGTACTATGGCACAAACCTCAGTGGTTAAACTCAAAGCCTCCGTTACCTTTTCCTTCCCAACCATCCCTGGGATAACTCCCTCCTACCTCCATTCCAGATTTATACACCAATTCTACAGGCACATCCACTTGAATGCACTGAGTAGAAAGAGAACATGGCCAGTCAGGTCCAATTCACATATTGTATGCGAATCAAATGAGTGAGTAGCCTGCAAATGTTCAGTTGCAGCTAAACTGAGCGATACTGATTTTTTTTTATTTAACACATCGGCCATTTCCCACCAAGGTAGGGTGGCCCAAAAAAGAAAAACATTATCATTCACTCCATCACTGTCTTGCCAGAGGTGTGCTTACACTACAGTTATAAAACTACAACATTAACACCCCTCCTTCAGAGTGCAGGCACTGTACTTCCCTTCTCTAGGACTCGAGTCTGGCCTGCCGGTTTCCCTGAATCCCTTCACATTACCTTGCTCACGCTCTAACAGCATGTAAAGTCCTAAAAACCATTTGTCTTCATTCGCTCTTATCTAACACGCTCACGCATGCTTGCTGGAAGTCCAAGCACACAAAACCTCCTTTACCTCCCTCGAACCTTTACTAGGCTGACCCCTACCCCACCTTCCCTCCACTACAGATTTATACAAAGTCATTCTATTTTGTTCCATTCTCTCTACATGTCTGAACCACCTCAGCAACCCCTCCTCAGCCCTCTGGATAAAAGTTTTGGTAATCCCACACCTCCTAATTTCCAAACTACGAATTTTCTGCATCGTATTCACACCACACATTGCCCTCGGACACGACATCTCCACTGCCTCCAGCCTTCTCCTTGTTGCAACATTCACCACCCATGCTTCACACCCAAATAAGAGTGTTGGTATAACTATACTCTCATACATTCCCCTCTTTGTTTCCATGGACAAAGTTCTTTGTCTATGGAAGATCTAAACTGACAAGGGTCATGTAGTGCTGTGGGGCAGAAAATAGTACTGGGTCTATAAACAGCTAGTTAAGAAGGGGATCAGAGGTGAAGGAAGAAAAGGGCTGGAAGGGACGCTAAAGGCTATATGTCAGTTTGTGTAGTAAAGCAGGTGCTGACGAGTCAAAAAGTGAGCGCAAGTCGAAATCAGGGCCGTCAGCAAGGAGAGAAGATAAAGCAAGAGTGGTGGTGATGGTGGAGGTAAATTCTGTGAGCTCACTGGTAAACTGGACAATCCACAAGAAAGTGACAAACTGAAACAGGGACCCGACAAACCTCACAGAGAGGAACAGGATGTTGCTCCATGAGATATCCATGGGTAAGACAAGTATGGCCAATGCAGAGATGGGATGTTCAGAAAGTTTAATTCTAACAACCACAGAATTGACTCGGAAAAACTAAACCATGAGCTATCAGACATATCCTGGGAATCAGACATGAGCACCCTAAATCCCCACCAGTGCCTAGAGAAGCAGAATATAATTATAATAATTGGGGAGTGCTAAAGCTGTAGGATTATACAGTGCATGTGGGGGGAGGGGGATGGAGGGTATTCAGGCTTAATTCAGGGAACTGGAGAACAGATCCAATTCCCTAGATCAAGAGCACCTCACCAGCATCAAGGAACCTCCCTTGAGGGGAGAGAAGCTGAATACAGAAGCATACAAGGTATGTATGAAGCATGTACCATTGAAGAAACCCAGAAGATCAGATGTAGAAAGTGTGTGTGTAGGAGACGGTACAGAGAAAACAAGTTACTGAATTGCTTAAAAAAACAAATATGTCACAACAGAGGAAAGATAGACTTAGCCGAGAGATCACTGAATTAGAGCAAAAACATAGGATGTCATATCTAACAGAAGTCCAAAGGGAACATAGGGAAATGCAGGATATTGCAAGAAACCCAAAATATTTCTATTCCTATGCAAAATCCAAGTTAAGAACTACCTGAAGAATTGGACCATTATTGAGGAGATCTGTATACTGATGATGAACAGGAAATGAGTGAAATCCTAAAAGAACAGTATGAGTCAGTGTTCAGCAACCCACTACATGAGATTATTATTATTATAATCAAAAAGAAGCACTAAACACTACATGAGAGCAAGGCAGAAAATGCAGAAATATTTTTCACTCCCGCAGAAGGCTGCACAGACCAACTAACTGACATTAGTAAAAATCCCATAGATTTTGAAAAAGAAATGGATAACAAGCCCAGTCACTCAGCACCTGGACCAGATTCATGGAATGCCCTATTTATAAAGAAGTGCCAAGTGCCACTAGCACGAGCCCTCAGTATTCCTTGGAGAAAGAGCTTAGTTCTAGGTGAAATACCAGAGGCCTTAAAGAGTGCAGACAGCTCCTTTGCATAAGGGAGGTAGTAGAACACAAGCTAAAAATTACAGACCAGTAACCCTAACTTCTTGCATCATAAAAATCTTCAAAAGAGTGACGAGACGGCAGATTACAAATTTTATGGACCAGCACAACCAGCATAACCCAAACTGGCAGGGTTTTAGAGCAGGACGATCATGCCTGTCACAGCTGCTGAACCATTATGACAAAGACGACCAAAACGCAATGTGATCTACACGGATTTTACAAAGGCGTTTGACAAATGTTATCATGGAGTGATAGCGCACAAAATGAGGGCCATGGGCATTACAGGGAAGATAGGCAGATGGATTTTTGGGTTCCTAACACACAGAAAACAAACAGTAGTAGTAAACAGAGCAAGATCCAGCATTAATGAGGTAAAAAGCTCAGTGCCCCAAGGCACTGTCCTGGCACCTCTGCTGTTTCTCATCCTCATAGCAGACATAGATAAAAACACCCATCACGCTTTTGTATCATTTCCAGACAACACTAAAATAAGCATGAAATTCACTACGGAAAAGGACACTGAAAAATTACAGGATGACACAAACAGGGTTTTCCAGTGGGCAATGAAGAACATGATGTTCAATGATGATAAGTTCCAGCTGCTTAGGTATGGAAAGAACTTAAAAGGAACACTATATACAAAACTCAGAGGGGTCACCAAACAGAGCAAAAGGAACATGTAAAGACCTGGGAATAATTATGTCAGCTGACCTTTCTTTTAACCCTTAAACTGTCCAAACATAGATCTACGTTTACGTGCGCAGTGCTCCGACCTTGATTTTCTCCATTTGAAACAATGTAAAAAAAAAAACATAGATCTACGTTCGAAGCACTATGCGAGTGAATGCAGATCTACGTTTGGACAGTTTAAGGGTTAAAGACCATAACAAGACAGATCATGACAGCCAGGAAGATGATGTGGCGGGTATTGAGAACTTTCAAAACAAGGGAAATAATGCTGATGGTGACACTCTTCAAATCGCTAGTGCACCCTCATTTAGAATATTGCTCAGTGTTGGCAGCCCCGTTCAAAGCAGGAGAAATATCAGAGCTGGAACAAATACAAAGAACGTTTACGGCTCACAATGAGTCAAAGGAGAGACACATGATAATATATAACTGGAAAGTACTAGAGAGCCTGGTCCCAAATCTGCACACTGTCATAACAACATACTGGAGTGAGAGACATGGGAGGAAGTTCAAAATAAGCCCAGTGAGGAGCAGGGGTGCAGTGGGGACAATAAGGGAACACTGTATCAACATCCGGGGTCCCAGACTATTCAACATCTTACCAGAAGATATCAGAAACACGGCTGGAACAAGTGTAGAAGCCTTCAAGAGGAAACTGGACAAGTATCTTCAGCAGGTGCCAGATCAACCAGGCTGTAATGGAAATGTGGGGCAGTGGACCTCCAGCAGCAACAGCCTGGTTGACCAGGCAAGCACCAGACGAGCCTGGCCCATGGCCAGGCTCCGAGAGTAGTGAAACTCTTCAAAGGTAAAGGTACAGCAATGATGGTAAGGAGACAGCCACAAACTGAAAGACACAAAAATACTGCCAATCACAAGAGAACTGAAGAACTATTCATTACAGAGAGACCATGAAAATCAAGGACTCCAGTTGAAATCAAGGCCTCAAGGGAAATAAGTCACATGTCTAACTTTTTGGATTATCCTATGTAATTTACACATGTTAATAAGTATGATGATTTGTTTTAGTCGACTGGCAAACCTGCCAATCAGCTGTGTCAGTGATAAAAAAAAACGCAGAATGAACCATCAACACGTGTTTTTATATGTAGTGCCTCAGGCTTAACATAACTTTATTACCGTTATTACCATGGGTACAGTTTCTTATTTTTTCCAAAATTTAGCCAATCAGACTTGGGGAAGGGGGGATGATGAGAGCATCCTCAACACCACTGTAAAATACAGTACAGTAGTACCTTGAATTTCAAACAGCTCCCAACTTGAACAATTATGTAAGTGTATTTTTGTAAGTGCTTTTGTAGGTCTGAAATGGACTAATCTAATTTAAATTATTCCTTATGGAAACAAATTTGTTCAGTAACGGCACTTGAACAGCCTTCTGAAACGCATTATGGCCGAAATTCAGGGTACCACTGTATTTGGAATAGATTGTTTAGGCTGTAGGGCTTTCCTATTATAGGTATTTCCTGTACAATCCAAGCTTTACCAGTATACACGGTGTAATTTAATATTATGTACTCACCTAGAAGAAATTATTTTTTTGCAAATACTTGTAGACTGCTGGATTAGATGAAAAAATGAGGTAGAGTAGTAAGGCCTCCAAGCATATCATAACTATAGAAAGTGAATGACAGGAGAGAAAAGAGAGCTCTGTAGCCAGGTGTTGGTCAACCAAAAAAAAATAAATATACAGATAAAGAAACCTGAGAATCTCTTCTTTCTTTCTACAAAATGGCCATATCCCACCAAAGCAGGGTGGCCCAAAAAAGAAAAACAAAAGTTTCTCTTTTTGCCTTTAGTAATGTATACATGAGAAGGGGTTACTAGCCCCTTGCTCACAGCATTTCAGTCACCTCTTACGACACGCATGGCTTACAGAGGAAGAATTCTGTTCCACTTCCCCATGGAGATAAGAGGAAATAAACAACAAGAACAAGAATAAGAAAATAGAAGAAAACCCAGAGGGCATGTATATATATGCTTGTACATGCATGTGTAGTGTGACTTAAGTGTAAGTAGAAGTAGCAAGACATACCTGAAATTTTGCTTGTTTATGAGACAAAAAACACACCAGCAATCCTACCATCATGTAAAACAATTACAGGCTTTCATTTTACACTCACTTGGTAGGACAGTAGTACCTCCCTGGGTGGTTGCTGTCTACCAACCTACTACCTAGGGCAATTTAAGAATATTAACAATAATTACGTAGAATGAAAGGGGGTAAAGCAGCTGGAACTGATGGGATCATGACAGAAATGTTAAAAGCAGGGGGGGATATAGTGTTGGAGTGGTTGGTACTTTTGTTTAATAAATGTATGAAAGAGGGGAAGGTACCTAGGGATTGGCAGAGAGCATGTATAGTCCCTTTATATAAAGGGAAAGGGGACAAAAGAGATTGTAAAAATTATAGAGGAATAAGTTTATTGAGTATACCAGGAAAAGTGTATGGTAGGGTTATAATTGAAAGAATTAGAGGTAAGACAGAATGTAGGATTGCGGATGAGCAAGGAGGTTTCAGAGTGGGTAGGGGATGTGTAGATCAAGTGTTTACATTGAAGCATATATGTGAACAGTATTTAGATAAAGGTAGGGAAGTTTTTATTGCATTTATGGATTTAGAAAAGGCATATGATAGAGTGGATAGGGGAGCAATGTGGCAGATGTTGCAAGTATATGGAATAGGTGGTAAGTTACTAAATGCTGTAAAGAGTTTTTATGAGGATAGTGAGGCTCAGGTTAGGGTGTGTAGAAGAGAGGGAGACTACTTCCGGTAAAAGTAGGTCTTAGACAGGGATGTGTAATGTCACCATGGTTTTTAATATATTTATAGATGGGGTTGTAAAAGAAGTAAATGCTAGGGTGTTCGGGAGAGGGGTGGGATTAAATTATGGGGAATCAAATTCAAAATGGGAATTAACACAGTTACTTTTTGCTGATGATACTGTGTTTATGGGAGATTCTAAAGAAAAACTGCAAAGGTTAGTGGATGAGTTTGGGAATGTGTGTAAAGGTAGAAAGTTGAAAGTGAACATAGAAAAGAGTAAGGTGATGAGGGTATCAAATGATTTAGATAAAGAAAAATTGGATATCAAATTGGGGAGGAGGAGTATGGAAGAAGTAAATGTTTTCAGATACTTGGGAGTTGACGTGTTGGTGGATGGATTTATGAAGGATGAGGTTAATCATAGAATTGATGAGGGAAAAAAGGTGAGTGGTGCATTGAGGTATATGTGGAGTCAAAAACTATATGGAGGCAAAGAAGGGAATGTATGAAAGTATAGTAGTACCAACACTCTTATATGGGTGTGAAGCTTGGGTGGTAAATGCAGCAGCGAGGAGACGGTTGGAGGCAGTGGAGATGTCCTGTCTAAGGGCAATGTGTGGTGTAAATATTATGCAGAAAGTTCGGAGTGTGGAAATTAGGAAAAGGTGTGGAGTTAATAAAAGTATTAGTCAGAGGGCAGAAGAGGGGTTGTTGAGGTGGTTTGGTCATTTAGAGAGAATGGATCAAAGTAGAATGACATGGAAAGCATATAAATCTATAGGGGAAGGAAGGCGGGGTAGGGGTCGTCCTCGAAAGGGTTGGAGAGAGGGGGTAAAGGTGGTTTTGTGGGCAAGGGGCTTGGACTTCCAGCAAGCGTGCGTGAGCGTGTTAGATAGGAGTGAATGGAGACGAATGGTACTTGGGACCTGACGATCTGTTGGAGTGTGAGCAGGGTAATATTTAGTGAAGGGATTCAGGGAAACCGGTTATTTTCATATAGTCGGACTTGAGTCCTGGAAATGGGAAGTACAATGCCTGCACTTTAAAGGAGGGGTTTGGGATATTGGCAGTTTGGAGGGATATGTTGTGTATCTTTATACGTATATGCTTCTAAACTGTTGTATTCTGAGCACCTCTGCAAAAACAGTGATTATGTGTGAGTGTGGTGAAAGTGTTGAATGATGATGAAAGCATTTTCTTTTTGGGGATTTTCTTTCTTTTTTGGGTCACCCTGCCTCGGTGGGAGACAGCCAACTTGTTGGAAAAAAAAAAAATAATTATCAATGAAAGCAGTGCTGTGTGACCCTTGTGGGTTTAGCGCTTAGTTCTGATGGTAATAATAATATCAGTGATAAAAGTATTTATGGACAAAGGATGATCACTGTCAGCTCAAGCAGGTGTATTCCTAAATTAATATTAAAGGTCATATTTTATATCAAAAAAGACATAGGCTAACCCTGTATAGAATAAACTGAAAACAGTTCAGAGGAGAAGATACTGCAAAGTGTATCCTGGTTTTAAAGGTGAAAATAATGGCCTTGTAAAAGTATTATGAGGCATACAACCAGTGAGACGAGAACAATAGCGAGCAAGAAGTGGACGGTGAGCATGAGGAATAACTGCAGGAAGAGAGGAATTCCTTCTTTTAAGTTTGTTTATGCTTTTTTTCCAACAGCCTCTAATATTCATTTGTATGTGTGACCTCATTTCAGTAAGGGCTTTGTATCCATCAAATAGTTGAGATGGAGAATATGGTTGATTTCTTCTTGGCCTAGGTTTGCTTGTAGATTGATGGAGCTTGGATCTGGATCGTTTAGCTGCAGGTGGATTGAGAAGTGCATCTCCTGATATTGCTTGATCACGGTAGACAGAAGATTGTAAGAAACTTGGGACCTGGTTAGGTGTACAACAGAGATACACTCCAGGAATCTGGAGAATGAAAGCAGATCCATATGATTCCTCTCCTAATTTATAGATCTCCTGTATTTGCTCAAATGTCACATCTCCATCAACAATTCCGATAGGGGAGACTGTGTTAGTAGAGACGCATGATGATGATTTAGAGGATGAAAACATTACTATGCTGTCTGGAAGGCTTTTCACAAAGGTGGTCATGACATTCACTAGGCCAGCCTGAAAGACAGAAATTGTGGATGAATTGTTTGTGAAAATTATTAGCTAATTTCTTACCCTTGTGGGTTTACCGCTTAGTTTTGATTGTAATAATAATCCTCCCAGTGTCAACATGTTCAAATATGAATAGTTTTATGAGCAAGTTTGTAATTTTTCCTTTGGAATAATAAAACCCAAGTTTAATACACAAGAAAATACTGACCATTTTTTTTTTTTTTAACAAACCGGCCATATCCCACAGAGGTGGGGTGGCCCAAAAGATAAAACAAAAGTTCCTCCTTTCACATTTAGTAATATATACAGAAGGGGTTACTAGCCCCTTGTTCCCAGCATTTTAGTCGCCTCTTACAACACTCATGGCTTACGGAGGAAGAATTCTGTTCCACTTCCCCATGGAGATAAGAGGAAATAAACAAGAATAAGAACTAGAAAGAAAATAGAAGAAAACCCAGAGGTGTGTGTGTGTATACATATGCTTGTACATGTATGTGTAGTGTGACCTAAGTGTAGGAAGAAGTAGCAAGATGTACCTGAAATTTTGCATGTTCATGAGACAGGAAAAAAGAACACTAGCAATCCTACCATCATGTAAAACAATTACAGGCTTTCGTTTTACACTCACTTGGCAGGATGGCAGTACCTCCCTGGGCGGTTGCTGTCTACCAACCTACTACCTAGGAGAATCCTAAATGTGGTTTGATAAAAAACAATTTATCATCCAATTCAGACCAACGGTTGTAGAGATGTCATATCACTGAAAAATTGTCAGGGAAATTAATGCCCCTGTGAGAAATTAGGTCATCAATAACTGACTGAATGGCTGAGTTTGCTGGTTCATTACCCCAAACATGTGCCTGGCAGAAATTTTTATTTATTTTTTTTTTTTTTATTATCACACCGGCCGATTCCCACCAAGGCAGGGTGGCCCGAAAAAGAAAAACTTTCACCATCATTCACTCCATCACTGTCTTGCCAGAAGGGTGTTTTACACTACAGTTTTTAAACTGCAACATTAACACCCCTCCTTCAGAGTGCAGGCACTGTACTTCCCATCTCCAGAACTCAAGTCCGGCCTGCCGGTTTCCCTGAATCCCTTCATAAATGTTACTTTGCTCACACTCCAACAGCACGTCAAGTATTAAAAACCATTTGTCTCCATTCACTCCTATCAAACACGCTCACGCATGCCTGCTGGAAGTCCAAGCCCTCGCACACAAAACCTCTTTACCCCCTCCCTCCAACCCTTCCTAGGCCGACCCCTACCCCGCCTTCCTTCCACTACAGACTGATACACTCTTGAAGTCATTCTGTTTCGCTCCATTCTCTCTACATGTCCGAACCACCTCAACAACCCTTCCTCAGCCCTCTGGACAACAGTTTTGGTAATCCCGCACCTCCTCCTAACTTCCAAACTACGAATTCTCTGCATTATATTCACACCACACATTGCCCTCAGACATGACATCTCCACTGCCTCCAGCCTTCTCCTCGCTGCAACATTCATCACCCACGCTTCACACCCATATAAGAGCGTTGGTAAAACTATACTCTCATACATTCCCCTCTTTGCCTCCAAGGACAAAGTTCTTTGTCTCCACAGACTCCTAAGTGCACCACTCACTCTTTTTCCCTCATCAATTCTATGATTCACCTCATCTTTCATAGACCCATCCGCTGACACGTCCACTCCCAAATATCTGAATACGTTCACCTCCTCCATACTCTCTCCCTCCAATTGATATTCAATCTTTCATCACCTAATCTTTTTGTTATCCTCATAACCTTACTCTTTCCTGTATTCACCTTTAATTTTCTTCTTTTGCACACCCTACCAAATTCATCCACAATCTCTGCAACTTCTCTTCAGAATCTCCCAAGAGCACAGTGTCATCAGCAAAGAGCAGCTGTGACAACTCCCACTTTGTGTGTGATTCTTTATCTTTTAACTCCACGCCTCTTGCCAAGACCCTCGCATTTACTTCTCTTACAACCCATCTATAAATATATTAAACAACCAGGTGACATCACACATCCTGTCTAAGCCTACTTTTACTGGGAAAAATGTTCTCCTCTCTTCCTACATACCTAACTTGAGCCTCACTATCCTCGTAAAAACTCTTCACTGCTTATCAGTAACTACCCCTAAATTTAGGTTTTTAAAATTAAAGGAAACAAATGGTTCCCGGGTGCGGTTTCAGAGTGGGTAGGGGATGTTAATCAAAATGTTTACATGAAGCATTATCTAACAGTTTTAAAAGGTAGGGAAGTTTTTTATGCATTTATGGATTTAGAAAAGGCATATGCATAGATGAAAGGGAGCAATGTGCAGATGTTGCCAGTATATGGAATAGTGGTAAGTTACTAATGCTGTAAAGATTTTTATGAGGATAGTGAGGCTCAGGATTAGGCGTTCTAGAAGGAAGATTGTAATTCCCGCTAAACTAGTGTCCTTAGACAGGGATTGTAATGTCTCCATGGTTTTTAATATATTCTAGATGGTTGTAAAAGAATAAATGCTGGGTCGTGCTGGAGAGGGGTGGGATTAAATTATGGGGCAATCAAAATTCAAAATGGAATTAACACACTTACTTTTGCTTATGCATCTTGTTTATGAGATTTTTAAAAAAAACTGCCAAAGTGCTTAGTGGTTTTCTATGGAAGTGTGTAATGGTTCAAAGTTGAATAGTGAACTCGAAAAGAACGTATGAGGTCTCAAATGATTTAGATAAAGAAAAATTGATATCAAATTCTGAGTGAGAGTATGAATGAAGCTAAATGCTTTTAGATACTTGGACTTGACGTTGTTCTGGATGGATTTTGAAGGATTTGAGGTTTATCTAGCAATTGATGGCAAAAAAGGTGACTGTGCATTGAGTATTTGGATGTCAAAAAACGTTCATCATGGAGCAAAGAAGGGAATGTAGAAGTAATTCCAACATCTTTATATTGTTTAACGCCTTGCAGTAACTCGCATTAGCGTGACGGTTGGAGCAGTGGAGATGTCATTCAAAGGGCAATGTCTGTGTAAATATTATGCAGAAAGTTCGGATGGAAAATTAGCAAAGGTTGTGATTAATAACTGACTATATCCGGAAAGCTTAGAGGTGTTGTAGGTGGCCTTGGTCATTACAGCAAGATCAAAGATGCCACATGACAAGCATATAAATCTATAGGGGAACATAAGGCGGGGTAGGCTTTCGCCTCGAAAGTTGGAGAGGGGTTTAAAGGTGTTTTGTGACAGGGGCCTTGGACTTCCACAAGCTGTGCTAAGCTGTTACATAGAGCTGAATGGACGATATGGTACTTGGGACCTGACAGATGTTGGATGTGAGCAGTATATTTAGTGAAGGGATTCAGGGAAACCACGTTATTTTCATAGCTCGGACTTTGAGTCCTGAAATGGGAAGTACAATGCCTGCACTTTAAAGGAGGGGTTTGGGATATTGGCAGTTTGGAGGGATATGTTGTGTATCTTTATACGTATATGCTTCTAAACTGTTGTATTCTGAGCACCTCTGCAAAAACAGTGATTATGTGTGAGTGTGGTGAAAGTGTGAATGATGATGAAAGCATTTTCTTTTTGGGGTTTTTTTCTTTCTTTTTTGGGTCACCCTGCCTCGGTGGGAGACAGCCAACTTGTTGGAAAAAAAAAAAAATAATTATCAATGAAAGCAGTGCTGTGTGACCCTTGTGGGTTTAGCGCTTAGTTCTGATGGTAATAATAATATCAGTGATAAAAGTATTTATGGACAAAGGATGATCACTGTCAGCTCAAGCAGGTGTATTCCTAAATTAATATTAAAGGTCATATTTTATATCAAAAAAGACATAGGCTAACCCTGTACAGAATAAACTGAAAACAGTTCAGAGGAGAAGATACTGCAAAGTGTATCCTGGTTTAAAGGTGAAAATAATGGCCTTGTAAAAGTATTATGAGGCATACAACCAGTGAGACGAGAACAATAGCGAGCAAGAAGTGGACGGTGGACATGAGGAATAACTGCAGGAAGAGAGGAATTCCTTCTTTTAAGTTTGTTTATGCTTTTTTTTCCAACAGCCTCTAATATTCATTTGTATGTGTGACCTCATTTCAGTAAGGGCTTGTATCCATCAAATAGTTGAGATGGAGAATATGGTTGATTTCTTCTTGGCCTAGGTTTGCTTGTAGATTTGATGGAGCTTGGATCTGGATCGTTTAGCTGCAGGTGGATTGAGAAGTGCATCTCCTGATATTGCTTGATCACGGTAGACAGAAGATTGTAAGAAACTTGGGACCTGGTTAGGTGTACAACAGAGATACACTCCAGGAATTGGAGAATGAAAGCAGTCCATATGATTCCTCTCCTAATTTATAGATCTCCTGTATTTGCTCAAATGTCACATCTCCATCAACAATTCCGATAGGGGAGACTGTGTTAGTAGAGACGCATGATGATGATTTAGAGGATGAAAACATTACTATGGTGTCTGGAAGGCTTTTCACAAAGGTGGTCATGACATTCACTAGGCCAGCCTGAAAGACAGAAATTGTGGATGAATTGTTTGTGAAAATTATTAGCTAATTTCTTACCCTTGTGGGTTTTACCGCTTAGTTTTGATTGTAATAATAATCCTCCCAGTGTCAACATGTTCAAATATGAATAGTTTTATGAGCAAGTTTGTAATTTTTCCTTTGGAATAATAAAACCCAAGTTTAATACACAAGAAAATACTGACCATTTTTTTTTTTTTTTTTCAACAAACCGGCCATATCCCACAGAGGCGGGGTGGCCCAAAAGATAAAACAAAAGTTCCTCCTTTCACATTTAGTAATATATACAGAAGGGGTTACTAGCCCCTTGTTCCCAGCATTTTAGTCGCCTCTTACAACACGTCATGGCTTACGGAGGAAAGATTCTTTCCACTTCCCCATGGACAATAGAAGAAATAAAAAGAATCAAGACTAATTTAGAAAAAGGAGAAAACCTAGATGTTGTATATGTTATATCATGTGCGTGTCTGTTGAAGTGTGACCAAAGTGTTAGTAGGAGTAGCAAGATTCCCTGTTTCTAGCGTGTTTATGAGACAGAAAAAGAACAGCAATCCTACCATCATGCAAAACAATTACAGGTTTTTGTTTCACATCACTCTGGCAGGAGGCAGTACTTCCCTGGGTGGTTGCTGTCTACCAACCAAGGATGATTGAATGAGGATAAAACGAATTTTGGATACCTGCAATTCAGAATAAATAAAAAAAACAAAGCTCCATAAAATAGTTATAAAAACTATAGAAAATGAACTCTTCTATAGTTAAAACATTCTGTTCAGAAAGTTAAAAAATATGCTTTAAAAGTATTACAGGGATATTGTTTGAGCAAGTATCATAATTTAGGCAATATCTTGAATCATTAAAAAAAAAAAAAAAAAAAAAAAAATGTAAATTTAAAAACTCTGTTAAGAGGTAAATTAAGTTAATGTAAAGGAACTCTTGACCACAGAAAATACCAGAACTATCCTCTCAGTTCCTTACGTCAATCTGTTGGTCTTGAGTCCGAGGTCCTACTATGACCCGTACATGACTAGCATTTCCCGTAAATTGTTGTCTTCCTTCTTGAACATACCAGCCGTCTCCCACCAAAGTAAAGCGACCTCCAATAAAGACAATCAAATCTGATTGTCTCTGAGTCCGTAGGTCCTACATGACCCGTACATGCTTAGCATTTCCCGTAAATGTGTTTCTTTTAACATACCAGCCGTCTCCCACCAAAGTAAAGCGACCTCCAATAAAGAAGAAACACTTTCACCATCACTCATCACCATCTTGCCAGAGGTATGCTGGCATTACAGCTCAGATGTTCATCCAAACTGCAAATCCCCACCTCTCCTTCAGAGTGTAGGCACACTCTTCCCATCTCCAAAACTCAATTCCAGCTAACCAATTTCCCCTGAATCTCTTCATAAATGTCAAGTTGTTCACACTCCAACAGAACATCAGGTCATAAAAGCCACTTACATCCACACCTATCTAACACACACACTCACCTGTTGAGTGTCTAAGTCCTTTGCATACAAAAACCTCTTTTACTCCCTCCTTCCCTCCACTACAGGTGTATACACTCATCCTATTTTCCTTCATTCTCTCTAAATATCCAAACCACCATTTGGATAATACTTTTAGTAACCCCACACCTCCTAATCTCCGAACTATGAATTCTCTGCATAATATTCATACCACACATTGCCCTCAGATACATCATCTCCACTGCCTGCACTCTAGAGGAGGGGTTAGAGATATTTGTTGTTAAGAGGGAAATCTGAACTGTCGTATCCACGTGCCTCTGGCAAGACAGTGATAATGTGAATGGTGGTGAAAGTGTTTCTTTTTCGGGTCACCTTGCCTCTGTGGGAGTCAGCCGGTGTGTTCAAAGAAAAAAACATGAAGGACCAACAAATATTAACTACACAAAAATAAAAAAGCTTAATATTTGCTTTACAAGCTAATGGATAAAAATGCAAATTTGATACTCATCTGTGTATCTAATAAAGCTCTCACTTCAGAAACTCCCCTGTAAGAAATACACAATGACAGGAAGAGTCAGAGAGAGGGTAAATTAAGTTTGAACATAACAAGCTTATGTGAGCAAGCTTGATTGGAGTGAGGACAAATAGTTTTTATGGCTTGAGGCACTGTTATAGTGCAAGCAAGGTAACATTCATGAAGGAATTATAGGAAACCAGTTAGTCAGACTTCAGTCCTGAAGGTGGAAAATATACTGCCTGCACTCTAAAGAAGGGATAAGGATGTTGCTATTTGGAGGGTCATCTTAAATATGATATCAGCACACTTTTGGCTAGGCAGCAATGGTAAATGTGATTCCTATGATGTGAATGATGTTGAATGTATTTCCTATGGTTTGGGTTGCCATGATTTGTGGGGGACAGCTGGTGTGTTAAAAACCTTAATACTAAATATTGTTGAGCTTTCAATACAATATCAACTGCCATTCTATATACATACTTTTTTTTAACGCCAAGGTAGGGTAACCCAAAAAAGAAACACTTTCACCATCATTCACTCCACCACTGTCTTGCCAGAGGCACTGAGACACTACAGATAAGACGTATTATTTTCATAACATTTCCTCTAACTAAACATCAACCACTGAGATAAACAGAGGTAAATAATTTCATTACATAAATTTCTTTCTGCATTTTACATTTCAGTCTTGCAAAAGAATTTTTGGAATACTAACCAATAACAAGCAATTAGATGTATGTGCATCTAGAATATCTCGGGTACTAGCTGTTGGTGACTGAGAGATAGCATGAGTTAGGCGATTATAATAAGATCGAGCAATGGGTGTGAGGCTGTTTAACAGAGCAGGGGCCCCCAGTGTCAGAAGGCCAATTAATGCCCCTACATGCTGACCCCATGGACGACTGCTGCTGGCCACAACTCCACCAAGACTGCTCACAACCGTTTCCCAAGTTCCTCGACATCCTGGTTCTCTTGACACAACCTAAAACAATTTATGACATTAATACAGATGCATATTCTCTTCCAACAATATCAATATCAACTGAAATTTGATCAAACTATTTTGTTATATACATACAGTACCAGTATGTGACCACCACAGAATCATTCTTAAACCTTTTGTTTACATGGGATTTCTACTTAAATCCAGTTGTACACTCAACATAAATAAGAAGTGGTTATTTCTTATGTTATGCCTGTGTGTTCTGTTACAGATCTGAGGTAGTTGTAATAGTGAGTAGTGTAGCTTGGGGTATATAATACTAAATCTTTGAAAGAAAGAACACCAATTTTGATATTTTTTAATGTGCTGGATGTGTGTATTGAATTTCAGTTTGTTATTTGGATATAGGACTGTGAATTTACCTTCATCCTTCCTTGTACTATAGCTCTTTCTAGCTCAATACATAGTCAATACCAAATTCACTATATTAGACCATAGTGCAATTACTAGTGAGAGACTGGTGCTACTTTTAATTTGTATTTTTATATTATTAGATTAAATTCAGTTGTACCATAGCTCATTCTACCTCAAGACATAGTCAATACCAAATTCACTATATTAGACCATAGTGCAATTACTAGTGAGAGACTAGTGCCATTTTTAATTTGTACTTTTATATTATTAGATTAAACCTATTGTACTTTAGCTCACTCTAGCTCAAAACATAGACTCCACAAAAGTCATTATTAGACCTTAGTGCAATTACAAGTGAGAGAGAGTCTTGTTCTATTTTTAATTTGTATTTTTATATTACTAGTTTATACCTAGTTGTACTTTAGTTAATTCCAGCACAACACACAGACAACATCAACTTCATTATGTGTAGTAGTGACTATACCCTACATGACCAAAATACTCTAGCTATATACTTGTCCAAACTTCCAACCACTACAGATATCAGTAGTAGAACTCAACACACAACTCAGGATATAAATAACCATAATTTTAAACCTAGAAGATGATTGATCACGTTGACCCTGATCTAAACCTCCATAATCTGACACCCAATCAAAACCTATTGGAAAGTAACTGCTTTATTACACAGCATCACAAGCCACCACAATCCTAAAACAATGCTAAAAGTCTATCAGTACTTAACTACAACATCAGGTCCTTAAGCAAACACTATGATGACCTCCTAGCACTCCTTGAATCACTAAAGACACCCTTCTCCTGCATTATTCTACTGAGACCTGGCTTAAGCAGGACACAATAGATATCTACCCTCTACCAGGATACACAGCAATTCACAACTGCAGAACAAACCAAGTTGGGGGTGGTATTGCAATCTATTACTCTAACCAATTATCTTGTCTAGCACCACTTGCTTTAGTGATGAATATGGGGAATACATTTTTGCTAATTTTACTGTAAAAAACCTTAAGACGCCTATAACAATCGGTGCCATTTACCGGATACCTCACACAAACATCCCAAATTTCAGTGAGAAATTAAAGTCACTAATAACAAACAGACAAATGAATAAGCACCACCTTCTCTTAGCTGGAGACTTCAACATCAACCTTGGCTTACTAGATGATTCAGCCTGTAACTGATTTCATCAACAATATGAACAACACACTTCTCATACCAACAATAACTAAACCAACCAGGCTCACTGAGACAAGTGCAACCATAATAGACCACATATGGACTAATATACTAGCCCCCTTAAATCAGGGATAATCACAGATAGCACTACAGACCACTACCCTACCTTCCTCCTGACAAACATTAGTAAACCACCACTTGAATACAACAAAGTCTCATTTAGACTCCATGACGAGGCCTCAGTAAGGAAGTTCACAGCTGACCTAGAGACTGTTGATTGGCCTACAGAATTCTCCAAGGCCAATGGTATTGATGACTGGACAGACATCTTTCTTAACAAATTACTTAGACTATACAACAAACATTGTCCTATAAAAACAAAACAGATCACAAACAAACGGCTTGGTTGCCCATGGCTAACCAGCACCATTCTGAAATCCATTGACAAGAAACACCAATATAAAAGCAATATAGACAGGGCTTAATACATAAAGATACTCTTAAACACTATTCATCAGCTTCTCACCAAAGTAATAAAAAAAGCCAAACAACTATACTACTCCAGTAGATTCACAGACACTAGAGGAGATATAAAAAAGACCTGGAAAACACTCTCTCAGATTCTAGGGACCCACAAACTGAGAAAAACCAAGAATATTGTCCTAACTAAACCTAATGAAACACCACTACATCCCACTGACACAGCTAACAAGATAAACGACTTCTTCTCAAACATAGGATCTAATCTCGCCAGTAAAATCCCACATACCAATGCCCATGCCGGGACTACCTAGATGGAAATTTCCCTAATTCCTTCTATCTTGCACCAACTGAGCCCACGGAAGTCATTGGATCATAAAGTCACTTAAAAATAACTCGGGGAATCTGTCTCATGTCCCACCATTACTGTACAAGCGAGCGGGCCCATGTCCTTTCGCATGCTATTTCATTACTTTTTAACAAGTAATAGAGACTAGCACCTTCCCGAAAATACTCAAGATGGCAAGGGTTACACCAATACATAAAGGTGGTGACCCTACAGACTTAAACAACTATAGGCCAATATCTAACTTACCATTGCTATCCAAAATCTTTGAGAAACTCGTGCACAGGAGACTGTATTCATTTATAATGGCTCAAAACAACTCACACCCCTGCCAGTTTGGATTCAGGAAAAATAAAAGCACTAATGATGCAATCATAAAAATGCTAGATCTGCTTTACACAGCATTGGAAAATAAGGAATATCCACTAGGAATTTTTATTGACCTAAGAAAAGCTTTTGACACAGTAAACCACGAAATCCTACTCCACAAACTTGACCACTACGGTATAAGAGGCCATGCGCTTGCTTATTTCAAATCTTACATTACTAATAGGTATCAGTACGTCACCATTAAAGACACAGCATCAGCAACACGCCACTTGATACTGGAGTTCCGCAGGGAAGTGTCCTTGGTCCCCTGCTCTTCCTCATATACATCAATTGACCTTCCAAACGTATCCCAACACCTGAAACCCATTCTCTTTGCTGATGACACGACTTATGTCATCTCTCACCCTAATCTTGCCACCCTCAACACCATTGTGAATGAGGAGCTGATTAAAATATCGACATGGATGACAGCCAATAAACTTACGCTTAACACTGACAAAACTACTATATTATGTTTGGTAGCAGAGCAGGAGATGCACAAATTAACATTAAGATTGACAACACTCTAATTACCAGAAATAATGGGGGAAAATTCCTAGGCTTATACCTTGACAAAACCTGAATTTCAGCACCCATATCCAGCATATAGCCAAAAAAGTATCCAAAACGGTTGGGATCCTCTCCAAGATACGATACTACGTGCCGCAAAATGCCCTTTCTCACACTATTACCACTCACTTATTTATCCATTACCTCACCTATGCTATTTGTGCTTGGGGATCAACTGCAGCAACACACTAAAGCCAATAATAACCCAACAAAAAGCTGCAGTAAGAATAATCACTAAATCCCATCCCTGGCAGCACACCCCCCCACTCTTCAAAGATCTAAACTTACTCCCAGTTCAGTACATCCACACTATACTACTGTGCAATCTATATCTACAGGGCCTTAACTCTAATATCAACCTTGACCTAAAACGCTTTCTTGATAGTTGTGACAGAACCCACAGGCATAACACCAGAAACAAACATCTCTACGACATTCCCCGTGTCCGACTAAACCTTTACAAAAATTCAATGTATGTCAAAGGCCCTAAAATCTGGAATACCCTACCTGAGAACTCTAGAACTGCAGACACATTCATCACCTTCAAAACTACCATTAGAAAACATCTTATCTCCCTGATACACCCCCGTCAACTAACTACACGAATACCACCTGGTGGTTCACACTTACACTCGCTCACTCATTTGACCATAAACAGAAAAATTAATCTCAATCTTAAAATAATGAATCCTGTGATACTCCAATACTGAAACTATATACTGTGCCAAAACAAAAGCATTCACATTGCTAAACTCACAAACTAGTATTTAGTCACTTAGCCATAATACCAACTTACCTCATAATTTGTAATATTTTACAATTAAGAATAAAACTAAGTATGCCCGAAATGCCTAGCCATGCTAAGCGTTCTAGTGGTACACTCTGTAATCACAATTTTACTACATGTAAACCAAACAATAACCAAATTTCTGTAAACTCAGCATTGTAATCCTTATAGAGAATAAACTTTGAATTTGAATTCCAGACACCACAGACCACTACTCAACCTTTCTCATAATCAATCTAGGTAAATTCCAACATTACTAAAGTTACCTTCAGACTACATAACGAGACGGCTGTTAACAACTTTATAGCAGCTATGAATAACATCGACTGGCATAATGAGCTCGAAGCATATACAGATATGAATGAATGTATAAATAATTTTCTAAAAAAAAAGCCAATTACCTCTATAACAAACATTGCCCTAAAAAACTAAACAGATCACAGCTAAGAGATTGAATAGTCCCTGGCTAACACCCAGCATCCCTAAATCCATTAACACAAAGCACCAATATGAAAAACAGTACAGAATGGGTCAAATAACTAGAGACCAGTCTAAACGTTACTCATCAGCTATTACTAGCCTGATAAGAAGATCTAAAAAATTGTATTATGAAAATAGATTACATCACATCAAAAGTGATGTGAAAAAGACCTGGAAAACTCTGCAATTCTTGGAACTAAAAAGTTATCCAAAAACAAAACAATCAAATTAACAAAATTAGATGAACTCCTACTCCCACCAACTGAAACAGCAAACAGACTCAATGTTTTCTTCTCCACCATAAGAAAGAACCTAGTGAGCAAAATCCCAAACTCAAACACCCGTCCATCAGACTACCTCACAAGCACCTACCCGAATACACTATTCCTAGCTCCAACCAACCCAACAGAAGTCTCGCTCATCATCAACACCCTTAAAAACAAGGCAGGAGACGTAAACAACTTGCCAACTTTTATGTACAAAAAAGATTCCTAAGTATTGTCACCAATTATTGCAACGCTCTTTAACAAATCCACTGAATCATCTACCTTCCCAACAATCCTCAAAATAGCGAGGGTCACCCCGATCCACAAAGGAGGTGACCAAGCTGACTTGAATAACTATAGACCAATATCTAACTTACCACTGCTCTCTAAAATATTTGAAAAATTAATTCATAGACGGATCTATTCCTACCTCGTGTAACGCAACATACTAAACCTCTGTCACTTTGGATTTAGGAATAATAAAAGCACAAATGACACTATCATACACATGTTAGAACTAATATATACCGCTCTCAAAAAGAAAGAAGTCCCGCTGCGAATTTTCATTGATTTATGTAAAGCTTTTGATACAGTCGACCATGAACTGCTGTACACTAAATTAACACACTATGGTATAAGAGGCCACTTCCTCAACTACCTAAAGTCATACCTTAGTAACAGAAGCTAATATGTGTACACAAATGGTGCAAACTCTTCCACTCAACCAATCACAGTAGGAGTCCCACAGGAAAGTGTCCTTGGACCACTCCTCTTTCTCATCTACATCAGTGACCTACTGAATGCATCACAGCTACTCAAACCCATATTATTTGCAGATGACACTACATACGTCTTCTCCCACTCAAACCCAGACATACTTGCCAACATTGTCAATACTGAATTGCAGAAAATATCTGCCTGGATGATGACTAATAAACTTACCCTGAATACTGATAAAATCTATTTCATTCAGTCTGGAAGCAAAGCTGCAAATGTTCCACTTAACATAACGCTAAACAGATCACCCGTCACAAGACTCACAGAGGGAAAATTCGTAGGAATCCACCTTGACAGTAGCCTCAAGTTCCAGACACATATACTACAACAAATCACCAAGAAAATCTCCAAGACTGTAGGCATACTATCAAAGATACAGTACTATGTTCCACAACCAGCTCTCCTGGCACTGTACCATTCACTCATCTACCCGTATCTCACATATGGAATTTGTGCATGGGGATCAACAACATTAAATCACCTAAGACCACTAATAACCCAGCAAAAGGCAGCAGTCAGAATGATAACAAATTCCCACTCCCAACAGCATACTCCACCAATTTTCAAAAGTCTAAATCTGCTCACCATTAAGAACTTGCATACTTATTCATGTGCCTACTACATACATAGAACAATACATGCAAACATAAACCCCCACTCAAACTTCTCCTCACCAACCATAACAGGACACATAACCATAACACAAGACACAGATCTCTTTTTGATGTACCCCATGTCCATATCACACTATGTAAAAACTCTATGCATATAAAGGGCCCAAAAATTTGAAATTCATTACCAGAAAATACTAAAGTAAACAGGTCTGAAAATCAAAAGTCACTTAATCACTCTAGATTAAATGCTCAATACTCAACATTCCCATAATATAATTTCAATATTTACTTTTGAACCTATTATTCATTGTCGACAGGAATAAAATTGAATCATGTTTCACAAAAAGCATTTTTGAATATATGAATACAGTAGGGCCCCACTTTACGGCGTTCCGCTAATACGGCGATGTCAAATTATGACCAAAATTTGCTATATGGCAAGCAGTCTTTCAAATATGGCATGCCCCACCTGGTTTGTTTACATTCTCCATGACCACATCTATTATGTCTGGAAACTTTCCAAAATTTGAAGTGTTTTAAAGTTATTGTGTATTTTATATGAACTCTGATAATTATACTATGTGTACCTGTACATAAATATACTTACACACTGTGCTGGTGTGCAGGTACACATTAAAATCACTAAGAATCTCCCTACTCATGATGCCACAGTAACACTACATAATAATAATCACCCTTGGGCACAATAAATGTGTTGTTTTACATTAATATAGACATTTTCAGTAATCCATCTATGATATTTTCTTTAAAATTATATATGAAACACATTACATAGCATATAAACAGGATACGTACACTCACGGAATAAAAATTGATGTAAATATGAGATTTGTTTACAAAGCGGCTGTGTAGGTAGTGTCGGAAGAATTACGTTTTCTCTAGTCAAATACTAGAGGATAACTGTAGAAAAATATTCCTTTCATATGCCTTCATTCTATATATAGCAATTCACGACCCTTGTGGATTTAACGCTTCTTTTTTATTATGACAATAATAATAATAATAATATCATCATCATTCACTCTAAAAATGGTGTGTTGCATTAGAATGGGAGTGTTGCTGTTTGCTTATTCTGTACTAGCTTGTACAACTTGCACACAATGTAAGAGTATTTGTATTGTGAGGTAATTATTATAATAAAAAATATTGTGAGGTAAAAGTTTTACAAACTCTTACAAAAGTACATGAATTAACTAAAAGTAGACACATATTAATACGCATTTATTTCGTCTGACCAAGTGATTGCCCACTACCTGTTCAGTTTGTGTTTTTACATTGGCTGAACTCTGTATCTCGTTCTCTCTTTCGTTAACTAGTTGGCTCTCATTGACGATGGCGTCTAAGTTTAGGAGTGTGGTAGCTGGGTGGAGGGATAACATTACATTTTCTCTGCTCAGCCACCAGAGAAAACGTGTATGAATCTGCGTTTCGCCCAGCCACTCCCCCACTCCGCTTCTGTTTACAATTTTTTGCATGAATTATTCATTACTTCTCCCTCCGTTTATGATGGCATCTAAAGGTAGTTGTTAAAAACGATTGAATTCAGTGAACAAGGTATGTCAATGCTAATAATATGGCTCTGGACCACAGTGTAGGTAACCGGTATGTGTAGCCCAGGCGGGCTACACCTACTGGCTACCTACACTGACTTCCTACAAATAAATACTACTCGCCTCTCTTCCTACACATATTTTAAGGTAAATAATGAGTGTACTGTATGTATATTTTAACTCTCTGGGTTGTTTTAAATATTGTATATTAAGTATGACCTAGGTAGTTGGTTGGTAGACAGCAACCGCCCAAGGAGATACTACTGTCCTGCCAAGTAAGTGTAAAACGAAAGCCTGTAATTGTTTTACATGATGGTAGGATTGCTGGTGTCCATTTTTTGTCTCATAAACATGCAAGGTTTCAGGTGCGTCTTGCTACTTCTACTTACACTTAGGTCACACTACACATACATGTACAAGCATATACATATACACACACCCCTCTGGGTTTTCTTCTATTTTCTTACTAGTTCTTGTTCTTGTTTATTTCCTCTTATCTCCATGGGGAAGTGGGACAGAATTCTTCCTCCGTAAGCTATGCGTGTTGTAAGAGGCGACTAAAATGCCAGGAGCAAGGGGCTAATAACCCCTTCTCCTGTATAAATTACTAAATTTAAAAAGATAAACTTTTGTTTTTCTTTTTGGGCCACCCTGCCTTGGTGGGATACGGCCAGTTTGCTGAAAAAAAAAAAATATTAAGTATGAAGACAGGGAGCCAGGGCTACCTACACCTGACTTCCTACAAATAAGTACTACTCACCTCTCACCCTACATTAAGATTACAAATACATTAGGGTAATGAATGTACTGTGTATGTATTTTACTTTTTACTGTGCTTTTAATACCTAGTTCTATTACTACCTTAATATAATTTAGTGTAAACTTGTTGTCTGGCATTTGTATGCATTTGTAAATGGAAAAAAATGGCGTTCTGTTTTCCAGCGATGTCTTCTTTCCAGCGATAGCCTGGAACCTACCCCAGCCGTATAAGTGGGGCCCTACTGTATATCCTTTGGTTTATATAAATTAGATTCACTTATAATTCATAGAACTACTGTACAACTATGATAAATTTCCTTAGTGTTAAGTAGTCAGTAAGCCAATATATTAAGTCGGCCCATAATGCCTAGGCATAATAGAGGCTCTCTTTGCATTGCAACCCATTATTGTAAATACATAATCTCAATGTACTACTTGCAAAGAAATAAATAAATTTGAATTTGAATTTGAATTTCAGTCTAAGTATCATTCATCCTGATAATTGTATTCATTTCTCCTGACAGTTGTTTTGTTTCCAAGTATTATGTAGTAGGTCTTTCATAAACTTAATGAGAACTTGCTGGGAGTCATCTCTGTAATCTTTTTTTTAATCCCACCTTTTACTGTTAATGAAGACAGATGGATCTGGATTTGATACAATAAATGTGCATCAATGTTTATATGGGTAAAGTTGATTAAGTAATGTCCTTATTGTCAAATTTTGGTACCTATCAATAAGATCAAATTTGATAAGGAAAAATTTATGACCTTTGAACTCATAATGCTCTTAGAAAGATATTGTGTTCCAAAGTATCAAATGCTCTTTGAAAATAAATAAACTGTTTTAGTGGGTATACATAATTTTTAATTGATATATACAACCCAAATACTACATATATCTTGCAGAGGTAATAAAAAAGATGCATTTATATTTTTAAATACAGTGGAACCTCGGGTTTTTGTATGCCCTAGTCTGTATGTAAAACTATAGTTATTCTCTATAAAATATATTTTTTGTTAATATTTCCCATAAGAAATAATGTAAATCCAATTAATCCGTTCCAGACACCCAAAAATATTAACAAAAATACATTTTATAGAAAATAACTATAGTTTTACATACAGACTAGGGCATACGAAAACCGAGGTTCCACTGTAATGAAATCATATTTTAAAAAAGTAATTTTGTGTACAAATTTATTTTTTTTAACTAACCTGAATTAGCACATTGCATGCCAAGCTGCGAATCATTTGAGTATCCTGTGGAGACTTTCGTTCAATGATGATGCAGTATACCAACACATTAACTAAATCCCGCATCTGAAAGCAATAATCCATTAAACCCTCCATACTTTTATGAAACTATAATTTATTGTGGGAAGTATTGCTGCAGAAATAAGCTAATAAGGTTTCTGAAATACAAAAATAGGGATAGAAGAGGAGAAAAGCGAGAAGCAGCAACAGGAGGAGGAGGAGGAGAAGAATCAATGTTACATTTTTAATTTTTAAGTCAATACATAGAAGCACTTCAATATATTAACCCTTAAACGGTCCAAATAGATCGACGTTCAAATCCGTAGTGCTCCTAAAGTAGATCTATGTTCTTTTACATATTTTCAAATATAACAAAAAAAAATGTAGATAAAAGTTTTTTTACACATTTTCAAATGTAAAAAAAAAAAAGATGATGTACATTTTTTTACATACTTTCAGATGTTGAAAAAATGTATATATACGGTGGACCGTTTAAGGATTAAAGAGAAAGTAAAAAATCATACTTTCTTTCTTTCTTTCAACACACCGGCCGTATCCCACCGAGGCGGGGTGGCTCAAAAGGAAAAACGAAAGTTTCTTCTTTTACATTTAGTAATATATACAGGAGAAGGGGTTACTAGCCCCTTGCTCCCGGCATTTTAGTCGCCTCTTACAACACGCATGGCTTACGGAGGAAGAATTCTGTTCCACTTCCCCATGGAGATAAGAGAAAATAAACAAGAACAAGAACTAGAAAGAAAATAGAAGAAAACCCAGAGGGGTATGTATGTATATATATGCTTGTACATACATGTATGTGTAGTGTGACCCAAGTGTAAGTAGAAGTAGCAAGACGTACCTGAAATCTTGCATGTTCATGAGACAGAAAAAAGGACACCAGCAATCCTACCATCATGTAAAACAATTACAGGCTTTTGTTTTACATTCACTTGGCAGGACGGTAGTACCTCCCTGGGCGGCTGCTGTTTACCAACCTACTACCTAGGTAAAAAATCATACATGTACTGTAAATTAACATTATTGATAAAATCGCACAATTCTTAATAATAACATCCTTATTTACTACAAGTATATGGTTCTAGGTAGTAGGTTGGTGAACAGCAACCGCCCACGGAGTACTACCGTCCTGCCAAGTGAGTATAAAACAAAAGCCTGTAATTGTTTTACATGATGATAGGATTGCTGGTGTCCTTTTTTCTGGCTCATGAACATGCAAGATTTCAGGTATGTCTTGCTATTACTACGTACTTACACTTAGGTCACATACATGTACAAGCATATATATACACACACCTCTGGGTTTTCTTATATTTTTTTGTTCTAGTTCTTATTCTTATTTCTTTCCTCTTATCTCCATGGGGAAGTGGAACAGAATTCTTCCTCCATAGCCACGTGTGTTGTAAGAGGCGACTAAAATGCCGGGAGCAAGGGGCTAGTAACCCCTTCTCCTGAATAGATTACTAAATTTAAAATGAGAAACTTGTTTTTCTTTTTTGGGCCACCCTGCCTCGGTGGGATACGGCCGGTTTGTTGAAAAAAAAAAATACATGGTATACAGGCCTAGCTGACATCAATGACATACTACTATATAGAAAGCCGCTTGTTATGCTGAGCATTTCTGGCAAATCAGGTCACTTTTATCCCAGGATGCGACCCACACCAGTCAACTAACACCCGGGTACCCATTTTAAACTGGTGGGTGAACAGGGACAGCAAATGATTATGGAAACACATCCTTAATGTTTTCCAGCCATACCGAAGGAGATTGAAACTCCAGACCTCAGTGTGTGAGCTGAGTGAGCTAGCGATCGAGATATGGGGCATCTATTTTACTTCGTCCTCTCTGAATATCCAAACCATCTCAACAAACCCTCCTCAGCCCTCTAGATAATACTTTTAGTAACACCGAACCTCCCCAATACTGAGTATAATTGTATAGTATACAGTACATAATATTTATAAATAATATACTACATGATAATATAAAAAGCCATCTTTGGTTTAAAAATCAGAACAGAATTTACAAATAGCTGATGAGAGATACCATGTAAAATAACCTCATAAAAAAAATTAAATGATTATAGCACTAACACACTGCACTGTGCACTGAGAAACATGATGGTTAAGTTAAATTATCCTTAATACTTTGTAACCTTGAATGACTGAATTTACATCATTTTGAGGCAAAATCCTTTAATATTTCTATTGAAGTTGATTACTGTTGTACAGCTTTTAGATTTCAGGTAAGGTACTGCGCATCCTTAACCTTTTGTTTACATGGATTTCTGCTGAGATTCAGTTGTACACTCAAGATATATAAGAAGTGGTTATGAGCAGTCTTGGTGGAGTTGTGGCCAGCAGCAGTCGTCCATGGGGTCAGCAAGTAGGGGCATTAACCCTTTGACTGTTGGTGTCATATATACATATATGTCTTACAAGCCAGTGTTTTTGACATATTAATACACCAAAATTCTAGCGGCTTCAAATCAAGCGGGAGAAAGCTGGTAGGCCCACAAGTGAGAGAATGGGTCTATGTGGTCAGTGTGTGCAGTATAAAAAAAATCCTGCAGCCTGCAAGCATGAGAGAAAAAAACTCCGACCGTGTTTTTCGATTAAAATGCCGACTTTCAGGTGTATTTTCATATAGTATTTATGGTTATATTCTCATTTTCTTGATCTCATTTGATAGAATGGACAAGACATTACAGAAATACAGATGATTTTGATTGGTTTCACGATGAAAAGGACCTTGAAATTGAGCTCAAATTAACAGAAATGTTAGATTTTTTGCCGATGTTCAGGAGTAAACAAATGACGTCACCTCCAATAAGCATCCAACTAGCCATTTTAATATGCAGTCATGAATGGGTTCACATTATTTATACAATTATTACAATAATGCAGTAGTCTGCATAACAGTAAGTCTTCTATTTTTTGTGTGAATAAAAATTCAAAATAGAAAGCAAGAGTAATATAAGAGGGGCCTGGAGATGTGACTAATGAACAGAGAAAATGTTATTTTAGTGCTAGGAATGTCTGCACTGTTTATTCTGGACCGTATTTTGAAATTGGTATCTTTTTTAATTTGCGTGAAATTGGCCAAATTGCCAATTTCTGACCACTTTATTGGGCGGTTTCTTGTACTCATTTGATAGAACAAATGGAGTTCTAAAGAAATAGCTATGAGTTTGGTCAACTGGAACAATGGAATTGGCCAAAAATAAAGCTCAAAGTGGGCGAAATCGCCAATGCACATATATCGCTGAGATCGCTAACTTCACGAGAGCGTAATTCCGTAAGTTTTTCATCAAATTTCGTACTTTTGGTGTCATTATCATCAGGAAAAGATTCTCTATCATTTCATAAGAAAAAAAATTTTTTTTTTAATATTTTGCGACACAGACACTTCAGGATTTTGGGTCTCGACAGTCAAAGGGTTAATTGATCTTCTGACACTGGGGACCCCTGCTCTGTTAAAGTCTCACACCCACTGCTCAATCCTATTATGTAGTGAAATTATTTACCTCTATTTATCGCAGTGGTTGATATTTAGTTTGATTAAATGTTACGAAAATAATACATCTTATCTGTAGTGTCTGCATGCCTCTGGCAAGACAGTGATGGAGTGAATGATGGTGAAAGTGTTTCTTTTTTTGGGTTACCCTACCTTGGTGTTAAAAAAAAGTATGCATAAAGAATGGCAGTTGATTTTTTATTGAAAGCTCAACAATATTTAGTATTAAGTTGTTTAACACACCAGCTGTCCTCTACATATCAAGGTAACCCAAACCATAGGAAACACATTCAACATCATTCACAACATAAGAATCACATTTACCATCGCTGCCTAGCCAAAAGTGTGCTGGTATCACATTTAGATGACCTTCCAAATAGCAACATCCTTAGGTTCCTATGAAGTGCAAACAGTGCAAATATTAATTGTAAGAAATATAATGTGGGTTATAATTAAATAAATTGATATTAATTACAAAAAAATTCAACTGAAGTTTAGTAGTATATCTATGTATATATATTTTTTTTCAACAAGTCAGCCATCTCCCACCGAGGCAAGGTGACCCAAAAAGAAAGAAAATCCCCAAAAAGAAAATACTTTCATCATCATTCAACACTTTCACCTCGCTCACACATAATCACTGTCTTTGCAGAGGTGCCCAGATACAACAGTTTAGAAGCATATATAATGATATATAACATACCCTTTCAAACTGCCAATATCCCAAACCCCCTCTTTTAAAGTGCTGGCATTGTACTTCCCATTTCCAGTGCTCAAGTCTGGCTATATAAAAATAACCGGTTTCCCTGAATCCCTTCACTAAATATTACCCTGCTCACAGTCCAACAGCTCGTCAGGTCCCAAAAAACCATTCGTCTCCATTCACTCCTATCTAACATGCTCATGCACGCTTGCTGGAAGTCCAAGCCCCTCACTCATAAAACCTCCTTTACCCTCTCCCTCCTCCCTTTCTGAGGACAACCCCTAACCCGCCTTCCTTTCCCTACAGATTTATATGCTCTCCATGTCATTCTACTTTGATCCGTTCTCTCTAAATGACCAAACCACCTCAACAACCCCTCTTCAGCTCTCTGACTAATACTTTTATTAACTCCACACCTTCTCCTAATTTCTACACTCCGAATTCTCTGCATAATATTTACACCACACACTGCCCTTAGGTAGCACATCTACACTGCCTCCAACCGCCTCCTCGCTGCAGCATTTACAACCCAAGCTTCACATCCATATAAGTGTTCGTACCACTGTACTTTCATACATTCCCTTCTTTGCCTCCGTGGATAATGTTTTTTGTCTCCACATATACTTCAATGCACCACTCACCTTTTTTCCTTCATCAATTCTATAGTTAACCTCATCCTTCATAAACCCATCCACTGACACATCAACTCCCAAATATCTGAAAACATTCACTTCTTCCATACTCCCTTTCTCCAATGTGATATCCAATTTTTCTTTATCTAAATCACTGGATACCCTCTTATCTATGTTCACATTCAACTTTCTACCTTTACACACCCTCCCAAACTCGTCCAATAACCTTTGCAACTTTTCTTTAGAATCTCCCATAAGCACAATATCATCAGCAAAAAGTAACTGTGTTAACTCCAATTTTGTACTTGATTGCCCATAATTTAATCCCACCCCTCTCCCCAACACCCTAGCATTTACTTCCTTCACAACCCCATCTATAAATATATTAAACAACCATGGTGACATTACACATCCCTGTCTAAGACCTACTTTTACTGGGAAGTAATCTCCCTTTCTCCTACACACCCTAACCTGAGCTTCACTATCCTCATAAAAACTCTTTACAGCATTTAGTAACTTACTACCTATTCCATACACTTGCAACATCTGCCACATTGCTCCCCTATCCACTCTATCACATGCCTTTTCTAAATCTATAAAAAATATAAATATAAACACACACAAACACACACACATCAAGAAATTAGAGAAAGTGTAAAGGTTTTCAACAAGGCTGGTTCCAGAGCTAAGGGGAATGTCCTATGAAGAAAGGTTAAGGGAAATCGGTCTGACAACAGTGGAGGACAGGAGGGTCAGGGGAGACATGATAACAACATACAAAATACTGCGTGGAATAGACAACGTGGACAGAGACAGGATGTTCCAGAGATGGGACACAGAAACAAGGGGTCACAATTGGAAGCTGAAGACTCAGATGAGTCAAAGGGATGTTACGAAGTATTTCTTCAGCCACAGCATTGTTAGGAAGTGGAATAGTCTGGCAAGCAATGCAGTGGAGGCAGGAACCATACATAGTTTTAAGACAAGGTATGATAAAGCTCATGGAGCAGAGAGAGGGAGGGCCCAGTAGTGGTCAGTGAAGAGGCAGAGCCAGGAGCTGAGTCTCAACTCCTGCAACCACAATTAGGTGAGTTGAGTACAGACACACACAGATACAGACACACACAGACACACACACACACACACACACACACACACACACACACACACACACACACACACACACACACACACACACACACACACACACACACACACACACCCAACATGGTTTCAGAGATGGGAAATCCTGTGTCACAAACCTACTGGAGTTCTATGACATGGCGACAGCAGTAAGACAAGAGAGAGAGGGGTGGGTGGATTGCATTTTCTTGGACTGCAAGAAGGCATTTGACACAGTACCACACAAGAGATTAGTGCAAAAACTGGAGGACCAAGCAGGGATAACAGGGAAGGCACTGCAATGGATCAAGGAATACTTGTCAGGAAGACAGCAGCGAGTAATGGTACGTGGCGAGGTGTAGGAGTGGGCACCTGTGACCAGCGGGGTCCCACAGGGGTCAGTCCTAGGACCAGTGCTGTTTCTGGTATTTGTGAATGACAAGACGGAAGGAATAAACTCCGAGGTGTCCCTGTGTGCAGATGACGTGAAGTTGATGAGAAGAATTCATTCGATCGAAGACCAGGCAGAAATACAAAGGGATCTGGACAGGCTGCAGACCTGGTCCAGCAACTGGCTCCTGGAGTTCAATCCCACCAAGTGCAAAGTCATGAGGATTGGGGAAGGGCAAAGAAGACCGCAGACGGAGTACAGTATAGGGGGCCAGAGACTACAAACATCACTCAAGGAAAAAGATCTTGGGGTGAGTATAACACCAGGCACATCTCCTGAAGCGCACATCAACCAAATAACTGCCGCAGCATATGGGCACCTGGCAAACCTCAGAACAGCATTCCGACATCTTAATAAGGAATCGTTCAGGACCCTGTACACCGTGTACGTTAGGCCCATATTGGAGTATGCGGCACCAGTTTGGAACCCACACCTAGCCAAGCATGTAAAGAAACTAGAGAAAGTGCAAAGGTTTGCAACAAGACTAGTCCCTGAGTTAAGAGGTATGTCCTATGAGGAGAGGTTAAGGGAAATCAACCTGACGACACTGGAGGACAGGAGAGATAGGGGGGAACATGATAACGACTTACAAAATACTGAGAGGAATTGACAAGGTGGACAAAGACAGGATGTTCCAGAGACTGGACACAGCAACATGGGGACACAGTTGGAAGCTGAAGACACAGATGAATCACAGGGATGTTAGGAAGTATTTCTTCAGCCACAGAGTAGTCAGGAAGTGGAATAGTTTGGGAAACGATGTAGTGGAGGCAGGATCCATACATAGCTTTAAGCAGAGGTACGATAAAGCTCATGGTTCAGGGAGAGTGACCTAGTAGCGACCAGTGAAGAGGCGGGGCCAGGAGCTTGGACTCGACCCCTGCAACCTCAACTAGGTGAGTACAACTAGGTGAGTACACACACACACACACACACACACACACACACACACACACACACACACACACACACACACACACGCACACACACAGAGTTGACTGTCGATTAAGATAATAGCTAAGTTACTGATAATGGTGTCCAATAAAAAAAAAATGGTCTAAAATGAACTGAAGAACATATGGGAAAAATAGGGTTATGTATATCAGACCTCCTTCCCTCCTAAAAACAGCAAACAAATTTTTTTAAGTCTTGAAATTGTAAAAAAAAAAATCTGATATTAATGTTGGATGTAGTGACGTGTTATGTTTAATGCAATGCTTGTGGAAGGAAAAACTTTGCTTACATAATTTTGAGGACCAAGATGCAGGTGAGGATTCAAGAGAAGAGCCCTTATTAATAAAAGAATTCTCCGCAATATGCAGGGCTTCTGTCGAGCACGCTGTGCACCTCTTACAAGCCCTCCAACAATAGGGCTCACCAAAGCACTTATACCAGGAGATGTTGATACATCTTCACACATTATCTGAAGTGACAAAACAAGTTATAACAAAAATTATATTTCCCACAGAGAATAGGGTCTATATATATCATTGCCCTCAGTGCTAACTGAAAGGTAATGCAGCAGTCATAAATACTATTACTGAAAATGAAAACCCTCTTTAAACAATGAAACTATTTTTACTACTACAGGTACAACACTGATTTTCTGGCAACAGGCAGTCAAGCACCTCTATTAGTCTGGACGAAATTAGAAGATAGCACTAAATAAAAAACTTACTTAAGTGAGGCATGAGAAAAGCATGTGTTTAACTGAGTTACCATTCACTGCTTCCATAGAAAATGGCCAGGATGCTCACTCCACAGAAAATGGGTATGGTTAAAACAATATCATGGGCTATAATAATTTCACCACAGATTTTTAAGAAAAGATAACATTTTGCTCAAATTTTTAACCCCAGAGGGATGTCCACCCAGGAAAATCCAAGAAAGGCAGTGCATCACTGAGGGACTGTCTGTCTTATTTCCATTAGGGTCCTCAATCTTGTCCCCTGGGATGCAACCTACACCAGTCGACTAGCACCCAGGTACCTACTTACTTGCTAGGTGAATGGGACGACAGGTGTAAGGAAACATGCCCAATGTTTCCACCCAGCCAGGGATCGAATCACAGACACTTAGTGCATGGAGCAAGAGCGTTGCTTATCAGGCCACTTATTCTTATTCCTCTTCTTAGCACCTCTATTATTACTAGTACATATTCCATATTGTGCCATGGCTAATATTCAGAGACAAGATAGAGTGATGAAAAGGTCTTAAATGGCGTGATGGTGGAGGGAGTCTGGTGTTTGTATTACATCCAACTCCTGCACCACTAAAACAGTGGAGCTGCCCAATGCATAGTGATGCGTCTCCAGCATGACTGCTGTGGTACTCCTTAACAGAAATGCATGCCATCAGTGGAAATGAATTCTGATCTGACACGCTTCTATTGGAAATGAAACCCTAAATTTAAATTGCAGAATACTGAAAATGCAAGCTATGATAGCACAACTTAACCCTTTCAGGGTCCGTCCCGTAGATCTACGGCTTTACATTCAGGGTCCAAACCGTAGATCTACGCCATGAGCTCAGCTCACTCTGATAAACTGTGAGTGGTAAATTTGGGCCTAGATATGAGAGAATACATCTATGTGGTATGTGTGCACCACATAAAACAAATCCTGCAGCACACTGTGTATAATAAGAGAAAAAAAAACGAGACTGTGTGATTTTCGATTAAAACAGCGACTTTGCAGTGTTTTTCGTATGTTTTTATAGTTGTATTTGCGATTTCTTGGTCTCATTTGATAGAATGGAAGACATTACAGAAATAGATATGATTTTGATTGCTTTTAGCACTGGAAATGGCTTGAAACTGAGCTCAAAGTATCGGAAATGTTAAATTTTTGCCGATGTTCAAGAGTAAGCAAACGACCTCACACGTCTAATACACGCCACCTGGTGGGTCTAATATACATTCACAAATGTGGTGATGATATTTATACAATTATTACAATATTGCATAATGGTAAATCTTCTATTTTTTGGTGTGAATAAAAATTCATTATGTGAATAAAAAAAAATGGAATTTATTTGTAAAGGCTCAAAATGTAACTAATTAACAGAGGAAATGTTAGTTTAGTGCCAGGAATACCTACATTGTTTATTCTGGACCCTATTTTGAAATTGGAATATTTTGAACTTTGTGTTAAATTGGCCAAATTACCAATTTCCGATCACTTTATTTTGTAGTTGAAACAGTTTACTTGGCAATTTCTTGTGCTCAGTCGATAGAATAGACGTAATACTAGTGAAACAGCTAAGAATTTGGTCGACTGGAATAATGTAATTGGCCTAAAATGGGAGTCAAAGTCGGCAAAATCGCCAATTCATAAATATCGCTGACACATCAAAATTCGCAAGAGCATAATTTTGTCAATTTCCCATCAAATTTCGTACTTTTTGTTTTATTACCTGCACAAAAAGATTCTCTACCATTTCGTAAGAAAAAATAACATTTTTTTTTTTTAAATTCTTGGACACTGGGGCACCACTTCAGATTTTGGCCTTGGACCCTGAAAGGATTAAGGTTTCCAACTGCAATTAGAAAGTTTGGCTTATTATAAGTTATTCAAACTCTTTATGTCACTATCCTTATATACTGATGTTACTCTTCTTATTCTATAACATAAAATATCGTGATAAATTTTTTGGAAAACTGATAAAGATAAAGATCTAGGGGTGATTATAAACAAGAGATTATCACCAGGTAATCACATTCCTTCAGCTGTAAGAGAACCTTACTGGGAATATAATGATGGCATAGCTCAAATTATTCTTCAAGTGTATGAATAAAGAAATATTTAAAAAATATTCCAATACATATTTTACTTGTGATTTACCTGTGATCTGGTTCAGGGGTTTTCCTACTCCCGCAGCCCACCCTGGGGCCAGTCTTCCCTGTTGACTGATTGGTCAACCAAGGTACTGTTGCTGGCAGCCTGTTGGCCCACATATTCACCACAGCCTAGTTAATCTGGCATAACATGATATAGATACAGGTACAGGAGACAGAGACCTAAATGTGTATTTTAATGTGGACACATTACTGGGTCTTCATCATATGAAATTTTAAGAAAACTTTACAAAACAAAATTCCAGAAATGTAAAAAAACAGATTTAGTGCTAAGAAACATAAGGTATGAAGAAATACTGTATTTAAGGTTCAAGAATGCCCTCATTAGAAGGCACAAGAAAGGAAAGAGAAATAGTAACCAACTACAAGTTCATAAAAGAAAACACACAAGGTAACACAACTGACAGTGTTAGGTTAGTTTCCAGGCTACTGCCATAAAGCAAATCACCTAATAACATGTTTACATTATCATATATTAAGTTAGCAATAGAACTAGGCATAAAAAAATAATAAAAACATAAAATGCACATTTACTCATTATTACCTTAAAATATTTGTAGTCTTAAATCTAGGTAGTAGGTTGGTAGACAGCAACCGCCCAGGGAGGTACTACCGTCCTGCCAAGTGAGTGTAAAACTGAAGCCTGTAATTGTTTTACATGATGGTAAGATTGCTGGTGTCTTTTTTTATCTGTCTCATACACATGCAAGATTTCAGGTATGTCTTGCTACTTCTACTAACACTTAGGTCACACTACACATACATGTACAGGCATATATATACACACCCCTTTGGGTTTTCTTCTATTTTCTTTCTAGTTCTTGTTCTTGTTTATTTCTTCTTACCTCCATGGGGAAGTGGAACAGAATTCTTCCTCCGTAAGCCATGCGTGTTGTAAGAGGCGACTAAAATGCCGGGAGCAAGGAGCTAGTAACCTCTTCTCCTGTATATATTACTAAATGCAAAAGGAGAAACTTTCGTTTTTCCTTTTGGGCCACCCCGCCTCGGTGGGATACGGCCGGTGTGTTGAAAGAAAGATTTGTAGTCTTAATGTAGGGTGAGGTGAGTAGCATTTATTGCAGGAAGTAGTGGTAGCCTGCCTGGGTACCACACCTCACAATTATGTTTGTTTTACTATGATGTATATATTTTCTTTATATGATATATAGCATATTTATTACATAATTTTGAAAAAAATGTTATATATGGATTAATGAAAAATGTCTATAATAATGTAATATAAGACAAAGCACCCCAGAGCAATTATTATTATCATGCTTATTGCCAATGACATAACTTGTTCCCTGAGTTTAAAGATGGATAAATGAAAATGTCTATAATAACGTAATATACAACATTTAAAGCGCCCCAAAGTGATTATTATTGTTACTATTATTATTATTATTATTATTATTATTATTATTATTATTATTATGGCATCTTCATCACTAGTGAGGCACTCTTAGTGATTTTAATGTGTACCTGCATTCCAGAAGAGTGTGTAAGTTTAGTTAGGTACAGGTACACACAAGTACTATTATCAATGTACTATACATAAAATACGTACACAATAACTTTAAAACATTTAAAATTTTGGAAAGTTTCCAGACATAACTGAAAGATAAGGAGCTCATGGAGGATGTAAATAAACAGAGTGGAGCGCGGACACCGTAACAGTGAATCAGGAAGCCATATAAAACAATTTTTGGGTCGTAATCTTAAATGTCTGTATTAGCGAATCTCCGTAAAGCGTGGCCCTACTGTATTAGAATTAAGTGAAAAAGAGTACACTTCAATCATAACCCCTTCTGTTCTCTACAAAGAGGTAATAACAAATGAGAGCTAACTCTACCATAGCAATATACAACAATCAGATATTAAATCATCCACTATAAAGTAGATAAATTATGACAGGCCAGTTAATGACTATAAAATGCATCTGTAATAATGAAGGATTTCAGAATACCCAGTGGATAGAAATTGTCTAGGCAAATACTCACCTTCACCTTGCCCACTTCATTATACCAAGTGAGTACCACTGTTCAACTGGCCACTCACCTGAAAAAAAATACACACACACTAGTGTTTAAAACTTTTAGTATGGAAGCTACTTCAAAATGGTCTAAAATCCTGTCTCATCCAGATGAAAAATATCTCTAGAACAATATCCATCCTCCTCAATGATTTTGGCCAACTTTTTTAGAAAACATATATTGTCGTATGTTACGAAGAATTCTTCAACACTTGTTCAACCTTTGGACGAAGACCTACTTCGACTAGTGGATGGTACCACTATGACCCCGCCTCCGCCTGCTTCACCTCACCTCACTGCAGTATATAAGCCACGTCTACGGCCCTATGCTATACATTCTACAAGATTGATGGACTGAACACATCGACTCCAGGCTGAGGGACTGATTACCTCATACTCCTCCTCTCCTTACGCCTTCCTCTTTGTATTGGACTGATGAAGCCACTGTGTGGCGAAACGTTTCCTGAATAAAGATTCCCATATGCTGCGTAAGTGTCTCAATCTTCAACTTGTCGGTTTTTCAAACCATTCATCACAACCTAAATGTTGTGTAGGTTATGTTTGGCTAGAAAATTATGAAGCCACCCCTGGTCTGCCTGGAATATTTCATTACTGGAACTCTTGATTCTCCTCAAGGTCTTCAAACAAATTTATTGTCTTGGCTAGAATCTTACTGATAAATGCTTGAGGGCGCACAGCATCATGTTTGATCATACACCCAGATACTGAAAATGTTTTCCATATCAGCAAAGTCCATAACAAATAACAAAATTTTACTACACTGTACAAATATGTTCATGCAGAATAAGATTATTTCTAACCTCTAACACATGGACTACCAGGTTGATGAAAGATGTCTCCACTAAGGGCTGTACTTGCAAGATTGACTGTAGGGTCATGAGCAATATGAACACCAACCTCTGGTATTGCCTGCCACTCAACTGGCTCACTACCTGTATATCTGTAAAATAGTATTAAACTTTAATTTAAATAGTACTAAACTTTAATTTAAATTACACAAACAGGTCATTACACAATCTTATATGCATACAAGCACCAAAAAGAATTAATATTCTGTATACACAATACAGTATAGCTAAATAAGAGTACAGTGACTTTAAAAATAACACAATGTAAGAAAAAAATTACTTATGAAAGTAAGCATGTCTGAAAATTACAAAAAACAATGCATACCCCATTACAGAAGTGACATCCATCCATTTCAAAGCACGATTTATGTCATCTGGGGTGAGCCGGCGACGTTTACAATGTTTCAGAAACTGGCCACACACCTGACAGATTAACAGTAAAATTAGAGAAAAGTATAATTTAAAACAGATGAGCCAATAAACCTTTGATTAAATGAACTAATGGGGGTGAGGAGAGGTGCAGATGTCTGATGATGATGACTGCTGTGGATAGAGATGAAATTATTTTGCCTTAACTGTAATAACAAATAATTCATTAACTAATGTACTTTATCCTTTTCTTTCAAATCAACTGACACGGTGGAGTTTATCTCAGTTCTGAAATCCATTAAATTCAGATCCATTAAATCAAGGGTTCACTGTACATGTATTTAGCATTTTTCTAGAAAAAACTTTAGTGACATTTATACATATACAGGACAGTATTTTTACACAAAAATAGCAGTCATAAAATGAGAAAAAGTTTAATCCTCCAAAGGAAATTATGTAACTGTAAAAACATATTGTGTTTCAATCCAAGATAGAGTACAGCTGTATATGTAGTACTGTACTCAGACACATCATAATTTTTAAATAAAACGTTAAAACATGAATGAATGCCATGTATACTTTCTTATCTCCCTTTTCATTTCCAAGGACTGTGCTTATGCAATATATTACAGTATCAATAAACAAATACTGTAAAATAAGTAATTTTTTTGAGTCTACCAACACTAAAACTGAGAACTACTACATCTGTTACCCAGCATGCCTGGACTGACACAACTCCCAGATTTATGCTTTTTTTTCATTTTTTACAAATTTTGTGTGCAGATGACTAGAATGTTACTAGTCTAGTGTTGAGTAACATGATACATTCCATGTATCAACTAAAAGTTGCAAAGAAGTTATGTAGCATGATTTTCTTATGCTTAATGGACAGGGGATCTAACCTTCACCACTCCTTGCCATGAATGACCCACATATGTCTAGAGCTTCAAATAATAATATTTCACATTAACATGTACATATATTTCAAATTATGGAATGAATTACGATGTTTATTTAATGTAGCTCACATTTAGTGTTTGTCGTAATCTGTATGTGACATCAGCAGCAATAGACCGAGCCAAGTCTTGAGATATATCCGCTATACCTGCTGCTTCACCCCATGTTATGACACTTTCCACCGCCACTTGTGCACACCGTTTCTCTTCACCCTGTTACAATAATGAAAAGGTGTCAGGTATTAACAAAGCATACAACTCTGAGAAAATAATAAAAATTGGTTATAACTACAGTGATTTAATGTTTGTATGAATGATATTGTTTTATATTTATTTTGACTTTGTGCTATTTCTTAAGCTGAGGTAAGATTTTAAAATAATATGATCCCTTGTGCTATTTTTGGGGTATTCTTTGGAGCCATTGCATGCCTTAATCATTTATCTATTAAACATAGGATAGGTCTGGGTGCATAAAAAACAACTAAAAAATAAATCAAACTTATACTTCCAATTCCTCTTCACCTAAGTAGGTACCTGGGTGTTAGTGGCAAATAAGACAAGACGGTTCCCGATGACACACTGACTATTGAGTTATCCTGGATGACTAACCCTCTGGGTTAAAAATCCAACCAAAATTTTATCTTATTTGAAGATTTCTTTCCCAATATAAATAATTCACGTATTGGCCTCATTGGGTAACCTGGATTATATCTTCATGACTTAGCATCGCTTCATGCCTACCTGGAGTTTACCTGGAGAGAGTTCCGGAGGTCAACGCTCCTGCGGCCCGGTCTGTGACCAGGCCTCCTGGTGGATCAGAGCCTGATCAACCAGGCTGTTACTGTTGGCTGCACACAAACCAACGTACGAGCCACAGCCCGGCTGGTCAGGAACCGACTTTAGGTGCTTGTCCAGTGCCAGCTTGAAAACTGCCAGGGGTCTGTTGGTAATCCCCCTTATGTATGCTGGGAGGCAGTTGAACAGTTGAAGTAAGTTTGTTCAGATATACACAAATACAGTTACACAGATTATCATACATAGCAGCATATGTGTAGGGAACCTGGGATAACCCAAAAAAAAGGTCAGACAGAAATGAACATCAAGCACTATAGACATTTAGATTAGATTTTGCCACCGAAGTGGCTACTTTATTGTGCACCCCATATCCATCCTGTGGACGGTAGCGCGAGAGCATATGGATACACAAAAGGCCTAGGAACTAGGCCCCAAAGGGTTAACAGGAATACATATGGATTTATATCTACATATCTATAGTTCACTTATCTGTTACAAGCAAATTTAGGATATACTAAGCAAATTTAGGAAATTTGCTTAGTATATCTGGTATCTTATTTTCATTAATAAGATATCTTGACATATCACATAGGTTATTATACTGTCTCTGTATTCCTCAATAAGTGGACAATTAAGCACATAGTGTTCAAGAGAGTGACCATATGCCTGATCACATAATTTACATTTAGTTTGATCATCATCTGTGTGTCTCCCAAACTGCCAGAAGTACTTGTAACCAAGCCTAAGCCTGGCCACTACAACATCAGTCAGTCTGTTCACATTGCAAGTTGCTCCATAAACATACTTATCTACGTTCATGTTATCATAGTGGGTTATAGATCTACTCAGGCTTCTAACTGCATTCCTATAACAATCATCTTCATTATTTACTTCTCTCCTAATATTATTCCTAATGCTAGACACAGTTATACCAAAGTTATATTCTACATTCTTCTTCTGAGTACTCTTCTTGGCTAACATATCAACTTTATCATGAAGGAGTAATCCAATGTGTGATGGGATCCATAGCAATTGTACATTAATTCCTTTGTCCCTAATTTTTGAGTATCTATACCTGGCTTCCCCAATGAGCATGTTGTTGGAGTCATTATATGAGCCAAGAGCCTTCAATGATGACATAGAATCAGTAATGATGATAGAGTCAAGCTCAGTGTCATAGGTTAGCTTTAGTGCCATTAGGATTGCAAACAATTCAGTTTGCAGTGTAGACGCCCAGTTGTTAATTCTTATGCCTAACTCAACAAATTTATTATCGTTCTTAACTAGGGAGGTGGCAACAAGAGCAGATGCAGCCCTGCCAGAAGACTCTGTTTAGATCCATCAGTGTATATAACTTGTGATAACTTATTACTACCAGCTAGGCGAAAAATTTCTTCTTGAGCAGTTGCTCTAACAAGAGATTTAAGGAAGGGATTACTAGCAATGAGCTTCTTGGGAGGGACTTGTAGGTATGTGATATTAAATGAACACATCTTCCATGGAGGGGTGAAATGCTCTTGTTGCCTACAGTGATACAGTTCATGTAGGTTATAAAACTTAATGCAATTGCACGTTTTCACAATCCATTTAGATCTGTGTGTATTTACCTCTAGACACTTGGTAAGATTCACTGTGACAGTGTCTGGTTCGTTTCTCAACATTCTAATACCAAGTACAGTGTTAATTTCAACAATCCTATCACTGATACTAGAAATACCAAGCTCCTTCCTCATGTTAAGAACTTTTGTAGATCTGGGACAGCCAAGAATAATCCTGAGCTTCATTTTGCATTAACTCCAAGGGTCGGAAAGAACAGCATTTTGTGTATAATCTTAACATACACTTGTTGTACATAACTTTAACATAAACTTACCTAAGTAATTAACACTATGTATGGCAACTGTGTTTATGTGTACCTGTCCCTAAATAAGATTATCTACTTACCCGATTTTCATTGCCATCAACCATATTATAGTGTATTATTGTTGTTGTTGTTGTTGGGGAGAAGGGATGAGAGATCTCGAGGAGCTGTATGAACCCTAGAGCCTGAAAAGCCGTACAAACCCGAGAGCACCTAAGGAGCCGTATGAACCCTAGAGCCTGAAGAGCCGTACAAACCCGAGAGCACATAAGGAGCCGTATGAACCCTAGAGCCTGAAGAGCCGTAATAACCCAAGAACACCTAAGGAGCCGTATGAACCCTAGAGCCTGAAGAGTCGTACAAACCCGAGAGCACCTAAGGAGCCATATGAACCCTAGAGCCTGAAGAGCCGTAATAACCCAAGAACACCTAAGGAGCCGTATGAACCATAGATCCTGAAGAGCCGTACAAACCCGAGGAGCTATATGAACAATACAGCCTGAAAAGCCGCATGAACCAAAGAGCATCCAAGGAGCCGTATGAACCCAAGAGCCTGAAGAGCTGTACAAATCCGAGAGTTCCTGAAGAGCTGTATGAACCCTAGAGCCTGAAGAGCTGTACAAACCAGAGAACGCCGGAAGAACCATATGAACTTTCGAGCCCAAAGAGCCATACGAACTCGAGCCTGAAGAGTAGTACGAACCTGAAGAGCCATATCAACCCAAGAGCACCTGAGAAGTCACATGAACCCTAGAGCCTGAAGAGCCATACAAACCCGAGGAGCTATATGAACAGTAGAGCCTGAAGAGCGACATGAATCCAAGAGCACCCGAGGAGCCGTATGAACCCTAAAGCCTGAAGAGTCGTATGAACCCGAGAGTGCCCAAAGAGCCGTATAAGCCCTCGAGCCTGAAGAGCCATATAAACCCGAGGAGCTGCATGAACCCTTGAGCCTGAAGAACCGTATGAACCCGAGAGAACCCGAGGAGCTGTATGAACCTTTGAGCCTGAAGGACAGTATGAATCCGAGAGCGCCCGAGGAGCCGTATGAACCCTAGAGCCTGAAGAGCCATACGAACCCGAGAGCACCTGAGGAGCCGTATGAACCCTAGAGCCTGAAGAGCCGTACGAATCTGAGAACACCTGAAGAGCCGTATGAACCCTAGAACCTGAAGAATTATATGTGGCCCGGTGGTCTGGTGGCTAAAGCTCCCGCTTCACACACGGAGGGCCCGGGTTCGATTCCCGGCGGGTGGAAATTCCGACACGTTTCCTTACACCTATTGTCCTGTTCACCTAGCAGCAAATAGGTACCTGGGTGTTAGTCAACTGGTGTGGGTCGCATCCTGGGGGACAAGATTAAGGACCCCAATGGAAATAAGTTAGACAGTCCTCGATGACGCACTGACTTTCTTGGGTTATCCTGGGTGGCTAACCCTCCGGGGTTAAAAATCCGAACGAAATCTTATCTTATCTTATCTTATCTTAACCCAAGAGCACCCAAGAAGCCGTATGAACCCTAGAGCCTGAAGAGCCGTAAAAGCTCAAGAGCACCTGAGGACGAGTATGAGCTCAAGAACCTAGGTGTCCTGCGGCTCAGTTTTGAACTCACTCATCTCATATACTGAGTGTCCAAAATTTGATCTCTGGCACGAAGTGAGAACGTTGTGCATGTTTCCTTACACCTGCTGCTCCTATTCACCTAGTAGTAAGTAGGTACCCGAGTGTTAGTCGCCTGTTGTGGGTCGCATCTTGGGGAGCGGTAGTATACCTAGATAAGGCTGGGCTTTGAAAGGAGCCAAAATAGGATAACAGCTCTTAATCTGTAAAATTTATTTGTGTAAAAAAAAAATGAACCGTATGAACCCGAGAGAGCCCGAGGAATCTTGTGAATACCTGAGAATGTTGGGAACAGCGTGAACATGAGAGCCACAAGTAGCCAGGTTCAAGCCACAAGTAGCAAGGGTTCAAGCATGGAGAAAGCCACATAGTGTTGGCGGCTGATTACAAAGTACTATATGGAATATTTAATAAGCAAATCATTTTGTATAACAAGCGGTCTGGAAAATCTAATATTTTCCAAATTGTATATGGCAATACTTTGACTTTTTGAGGCAGGCACTAGTCAATGAAATTGCAAATATCAAACTTAAGCTGAATCATAAAGGAGACAAGAATCACAGGAAGAACTAAAAGTCATAAAGGAAATTAAAAAAAAAAAACTTCTCTTGTGCCAAATCTATGGGAAAAACAACATCCAGTATTGGGCCCCTGCTTAGGCGGGATGGGACATACACAGATGATAGCCAAGAAATGAATGAGATACTAAAGTCCCAGTATGACTCAGTGTTCAGCGATCCACTGCCCACTCTTGGGATCGACAATCCAATTGAATCCTTTATGAACGAAACCCAAAATCTGGTAATCCCAAAACTCTCGGATATTATTCTAACTCCACAAGATTTTGAAGAGGCAATTAATGACATGCCCATACACTCTGCCCCAGGCCCAGACTCGTGGAACTCCGTGTTCGTCAATAATTGCAAGAAGTCCCTATCGCGTGCCTTCAGCATTTTATGCAGAGGGAGCATGGAAGCAGGCTGGAGAGATACATGATTATATATATCTGGAAAATCCTAGAGGGACTAGTACCAAACTTGCACACGAAAATCACTCACTACGAAAGCAAAAGACTCGGCAGACGATGCAACATCCCCCAATGAAAAGCAGGGGTGTCACTAGCACGTTAAGAGACAAGTGTCAGGGGCCCAAGACTGTTCAACTGCCTCCCAGCATACACAAGGGGGATTACCAACAGACCCCTGGCTGTCTTCAAGCAGGCACTGGACAAGCACCTGAAGTCGGTACCTGACCAGCCGGGCTGTGGCTCGTACGTTGGATTGCGTGCAGCCAGCAGTAACAGCCTGGTTGATCAAGTCCTGATCCACCATGAGGCCTGGTCACAGACCGGGCCGCGGGGGCGTTGACCCCCGGAACTCTCTCCAGGTAAACTCCATGTACACACAGGGGTCATCCCACATACACTAAAAACAACAGACATAGCCCCACTCCACAAAGGAGGAAGTAAAGCAATTGCAAAGAGCTACAGACCGATAGCATTAACATCCCATATCATAAAAATCTTTGAGAATGTTCTAAGAAGCAAGATCGCCAACCACCTAGATACCCATCAATTACACATCCCAGGGCATCACGGGTTTAGAACAGGTCGCTCCTGCCTGTCCCAGCTACTGGACCACTATGACAAGGTCCTGGAAGCTGTAGAGGATAAACAAAATACAGATGTAGTATACGCAGACTTTGCAAAAGCTTTCGACAAGTGTGACCATGGTGTAATAGCACACAAAATGCGGGATAAAGGAATAACAGGAAAAGTTGGTAGATGGATCTACAACATCCTGACAAATAGAACACAAAGAGTAATAGTAAACAGAGTTAAGTCCCAGGCAGCCATTGTAAAAAGCTCCATTCCACAAGGCACAGTACTCGCTCCCATTCTATTCCTCATCCTCATTTCTGACATAGAGATGTAAGCCATAGCTCCGTGTCTTCCTTTGCGGATGACACCCGGATCACCATGGCAGTGACCTCCATCGAAGACACCGAGAGACTCCAAGTGGACATCAACCAAATCTTCAAATGGGCCACTCAAAACAATATGAAGTTCAACGAGGAGAAATTTCAACTACTCAGCTATGGAAAACTTGAAGAAATTAAAAATGTGTCAGGGAATACCACAAATTCTAACCATACAATAGAGCGGAAAAGTAATGTGAAGGACCTGGGAGTGATAATATCAGAGGATCTCGCCTTCAAAGACCACAACAATGTATCTACCTCATCCACTAGGAAAATGATAGGATGGATAATGAGAACCTTCGAAACTAGGGACCCCAAGCCCATGATGATTCTCTTTAAATCGCTTGTTCTCTCTAGGATGGAATACTGCTGTACACTAACGGCACCCTTCAAGGCTGGCGACATTGCAGACCTGGAGAGTGTACAAAGAACTTTCACGGCATACATAAGTACGATAAGGCAACTAAATTACTGGGAGTGGTTGAAGGTTCTTGATCTGTATTTCCTCGAACGCAGGCGATAGAGATACATGATAATATACACTTGGAAGGTCCTGGAGGGATTGGTACCAAACCTGCACACAAAAAATCACTCCATATGAAAGCAAAAGACTCGGCAGGAGATGCAAAATTCCCCCGATGAAAAGCAGGGGCGCCACGAGTACACCGAGAGATAACACAATAAGTGTCCGGGGCCTAAGACTATTCAATTGCCTCCCAGCATACATAAGGAGGATTACCAATAGACCCCTGGCTGTCTTCAAGAAGGCGCTGGACAGGCACCTAAAGTCAGTACCTGACCAACCGGGCTGTGGTTCGTACGTCAGTTTGCGTGCGGCCAGCAGTAACAGCCTGGTTGATCAGACCCTGATCCACCATGAGGCCTGGTCACAGACCGGGCCGCGGGAGCGTTGACCCCCGAAACTCTCTCCAGGTATACCCTAAGATTTAGCGCTTCCTTTTGATAATAATAATAATAATAATTTTACCCCAAGATAGTAAGTTTATTTAGGTACAAGTACCTGCAAGTACAATGATTATACATTGTGTAAACTACCAAGGTTAACCCCAAAAAAGTCAGACAAAGTGATTTATTTCCATTGGGGTCCTTTTTATTTCCACTGATATTTCTAAAGTTGACTTAATCAAGTGTTAAAATGCACAGTCGGCCTGACGTGCTACAAGACACCACAACTGATATCTTCACAACTCTTATGTGAAGGTTATTTGTATATTATTCCAGCCATGGTATTGTACCTTTTTATTCTTCAACTCCAAACCCATCTGAACTTTCCAGTGTTGAGAACTTGAAGCCCGTCAGAAGAGACGTTCTCGAATTATCGCAAGGTAACCATTATCCCAATTTGTTCAATAAAATTGCCTGACTGGTTCTTGCAGTCCAATGACAATTCCAACATCCGTGCACACGAGGGCCTGGGATCTTCAATCAACTTGGCGTCCACCAGGACGCTGACATGTCCCTAGGGGAGCTCTCCATCGGGCTGCTAACGGAGTCACTGGCTTCTTGGACCTCTTGGGGAGGGTCGATGGTGCTCGTGCAAGCAGCAGATCCCGGGGCAACTTGCTGCTGTTTGCAATGGCTGTCTGCCGAGGAGAGACAGGCACCTAGCAACATCTGTTGTTGGGGCAATGGATGAATTCCCTGCTATGTTTGTTAACTGCTCATTACTCTGTAATTTGTCTATGATTGTAATCATGTGATAACGTGTTTATCATTCATTACCTTTGAAACTTGTCATGATTTTGACCAGCTCTATCTGGAGCTCATTACCTTTGTAAATTCTCATGATTAATGTGTTTATGATTCATTACCTTTGCAATTATTCATGAGTGTGACCAGCTCTACCTGGAGCTCATTACCTTTGTAACTTGGTCATGATTACGACCAGATCTAGTTCATTACCTTTGTAACTTGCTCAGCTATCAAAACTTTGGAGTCCAGTCCCTGGACCAATTATGTACCTCTGTAATCTTTTGACTACCGCCCACAGGATGGGTATGGGGTGCATAATAAACATATTAAACTAACTAACTAACTTCAAGAAAAATAAATGAGCTCTAAAAATCTGAAGCCAGTCAGAAGAGTCATTCCTCAATTATTGAATGAAAACCAAAGATATCGTTTTTCTTAATTATGTTATAGAATTGGTAAATTTGCATATACACTGTCCAAAGCTAATTCGGACCTTCTTTTAGATTAGATACATCATATCACATGAAATAAACTTGTGACCCATTTTTTTAATAAAATAGGCAAATTGGCATCTACACAGCCTCATATCATACCTTTCACTAAGTAATAAACACCTGATAAAAGTTATAAGCTGATCAGAAGAGGCATTCTCAAGATATCGTACCTTGGAGGAAGGAAAAAAAAAGTTCTGGCAATCACTATAGATATCCCCTTTCAGGGAATACTTAATTTGTTTCATCTACCATTAGCGGATACCTGCTGAATGACTCAGTTCATGCATGTTAATAGCTGAGTTTAGACGAGTGTTACATTATTCATAAAACATGTCTAGGGGTGGTGACATCCAGATTAGTTGCCATAAAGTTATTTTACTAGTTAAAAGTTAGTAAAGCTAAAATTTATACAACAAAACTGTTTGTGGTTATAGAGGAATGTATTATATCTGTATATACAAATGTTTCAATGAATTTACAATGTTATGCATATGATTTGTGTTGTTGCTGAGGGTATGTCTGAATGTTTGCCTCTGACTTTGTCGACACCGACCTCGACTTCACGTCCCACCTTCTCTCCTGTAGTATTGTTATTTCGTTTGTAACTTGGAGCTTTTTTGATATCATTTTGAAAACTAGCATGCTACTTATTAGTAATAAATATAAATAATGAAAATTAGTGAAGAAGAATACATAATACATACAAGTTGAACTAGTGGCTATGTAATTGAGAGTGTTCTGACTAAGAGGATCATAGTATATATGATATGTGTAGAAGGGTTGGTAATACACATCTGGCATATGATAGCGAGGATAAGACAAGTGAAGGGGGGGATATATATATATATATGTGTGCTTGGCGCTCGTCATCTATTGGTGTCATCCGCCATACTGGATTGGCAGCTCCCGCGAGACAACTTCCGGCTCACGTTGTATCTCCTTGTGTCACTACTGACTCCACAAGTCCTGTGGGACTCCTGTGTATCGCTCAAGCATGTCTGAGAGCAACAGCGCGCCAGACTCGTGGGAGGCGGCAGCTGACGAAAGCATGGCTACACTCTCTACTAACTTCACCACACTCAACGTGAACGCCCCGGTCTTCATCCCCAACGTGAATGCGCCAGAGTTCGTGCCTAGCTTTATGAAGGAAGGAGGAAGTCAGACCCAACCTGCGGCGCCAGGTTAGTCCACACACCGCCAGGCACGGCCTACACCATGGCCTGACGACACAGCTATTGGGGATAAGCCATGGAGGGGGAAGTAGGTCACGTGTGATGTGATATTGTGGTGGTGACCAGCTGGTGATGTGATCACCAACCTTAACACAACTCCTCCTCTCATCTCCTTGGATTTCTCAAACTATCAACACCTACAGTCTCTGCAGGACAGTAATACTCCGTCGTGTGTGATTTATCCATTGAAATTAACGTAGTGTTCAGGTTGTGACTCTGGGAGTGGTAATTGTCTTGTTTCACACAGTTTCTAAGTTTAGTTCTCAGGAAATAACTCGGGGATTAAATGCAGATTACTGCCAAATGATGAAATGCAGAAACAAACATAAAATAGTCGAAAATGAATGAAACCTGCAGAAATCCAGCCAGGGTTTTGATGTATAAAATTTTGAACTGCTGAGTGAATTTTGTGACCATAGCTGTGGAAGAAGTGGTAATGCTGCCACAAGTGTGTGTGGAGGGTTCCCTCAAGGGAGGTTCTTTGATGCTGGTGAGGGACTCTTGATCCGAGTAATTGGATTTATCCTCCCCTTAGATCAGCAGTGGGCAAACTACATCCCGCGGGCCGCGTGTGGCCTGTCAAAGGTTTTCATGTGGCCTGCCAAGATCAAGTCATATACTCGCGTTATTTGGGGACAAAATGTTGGTAAATTTAAAAAAAAACAAAAGTTGCCACACAATGCAAGTAATATTGTGGAACATTAACGTGTTACCTGCAGATTTCTGAATGTGGCCTTTGCACTGAAAAATTTGCCCACCCCTGCCTTAGATTGAACCTGATTCCTCAGGTGCAGTATGACCCCTAATAGTTTAGTTCTCCCTTGAATGTAATAATGCATTGAGGATTGTGGAGCATCATTGTATAAAATTTAGTGGTGGTCATGAATATGTGTAGGTATCAAGTATGTAATTTATTTTTTTGTGTAGCCAGTGAGAAAGTTTCTTGTACAGTGGAACCTCAAATATCGAACTTTCTTCAGTCCAGAGGGCTGTTCGAGTGCCTTTACCGAATGAATTTATTCCCATCAGGAATATTGTAAATTAGATTAGTCCATTTCAGACCCTCAAAAATACACTTATAAAAGCATTTACAAAAATACACTTACATAATTGGTCGTGTTGGGAGCAGTTCGATTTTTGAGGTTCCACTGTACTTTGTAAAAGTCCAAATCCTGCCTACATGTAGAAATCATGTGATATTTGTTTTCAAGGTTTCCAAATTAGAAACATTTGAACTCCAGTTGTGGGATTTAGAAAGTTGATAAAAAATTATTGTGCTTCTAAAGGTGAAAGTAGAAAAGAGAAATTCTTAGTGTTTTTAAGGAGTCATTCAGCACCTGAGGAATGTAAGGTAATCAGGGTTTGATTAAGGGAAACAGATGGTAGGTTTAATTCCTTAGTCCTTCACCACCATTAAGGGTGGGGAATTTTTACCTGAGTAAATAATTATTTTGAGACCTACACTCTTCAAAGCAGTAGGTGATAGATCTTCCTAAATGCTGCTTCCTTGGGCCGTTGTGATGGTTTGGGTGTTTTGCAAAGTATAAATGGTAAGCCACAAAAGTGGGGCTTTTGCATGTATGTTGCTGGTTATCTAATGTTAATAGATGGACAGTTTTATAAAGTGGGAGTTTTTTTTTTATAGCTGCTGGTTTGCATATGGTATAATGCTATTAGGTAATGAATGAGAAAGTTGCAAAGGTTGGTAAGAGATTGAAAGAATGTACCATATGAAAGATAGAAGTGTGACTATACTATAGTATAAATATTTCCATTGGAGTCCTTATTGTTAGAACTTCATTTTAGGTACATGTGTATGTCATAAAGAGCAAAAAGGCACAATACCATGACTTCATAAATGGTCAAAGTCAGACTGAAACATCATAAGGTCCTCTCTCCTATGTGCGGGTTATTTGTGTCATCTTTTTATCCAAATTGTAGCACCATGCTCAAGATATTACAAAATACAGAAGCAGAGTTATTCTAGTGGTGTTCCTTTTTCAGTAATTTTTATTTTCAAATTTCCAATAAAGGTTAATTCCTTTTATTTTAATTCATTCCATTGTTCCATTGCAGTTTGCAAGGAAGACTTAATGTCTCTTTTTAATTTACTATTGTTGCTTCTTGTTATCCCAAAAAGGCGCTTAAATATTTGTAATATACACAAATAATTTGCATTTAGGAGACTGAAAATTATGATGCTTCAGTCTAACTTGGACCATTAACTAGTCACACAGCTGTGACTATTGTGGCATTTTCTCTTAGAAAGTGGTTGTGGTAGAAGTGGTGGTGGTGGTGGTAGTAGTAGTAGTGGAATAATTAATGGTCCAAGTTGGATCAAAACAGTCATAAGTTTGTCTCTTGTGTGGATTGTATATATTGTTCGTCATGGTATTGTCTTTTTTATTCTGTAGTAATGTACGCCAGGTTGGTGATCCTTCCCTTGCAACAGCTTCCTTTATTATATATTTTTAAGCTTTAGTTTTGATTTGATTTACGTTCCCCCTTTGAGTTTTTATAATTAGATAAAAGGTATTTGATGCCTAGTATTCTATACGGTACTCCAGAATATGTTTATCAGTAATAACGATTAAGTGAAAAGCAGCGAATTATATAGCTTAAGTAAACCAGTGTTGGTAGATAGCATAAAAAAGGAGGAATAGTGCAGCTGGCCTATTGACACATGCTAGATAGGTCTAGCTCTCGCAACCTCACACCCACTCATGTAGTTGTGTAACCTATTTTCAAAGCTACCCAAGACTCGCTTCAATGGCATTATTCAGGAGTTTGTTCCACACATCTTCAGTGTTGCCAATTTAATGCTTTCCTATATCCTTTCTTAACCTGAATTTTTCCAGTTTGAATCCGTTGTTGCAAGTCGTCGTCTTGGTTAAATATTTTCAGCATTTTATTTACGTCCCCTATATTTATTTTGGTCCTCCATATGAACACTTCAGTCATGTGCCCCCCATCCCTCCTAATTCTTTGATTTTTCCATAGTGCAAATTCACTGTCCTTAGTCTATCCTCATACGAAGGGTTTCTGATACACAGTATCAACTTTGTCATCTTTCACTGTGTTTTCCAGTGCCTTTATGTCGTCTGTAATATGGAGACCAGAACTGTGCGGCATAATCTAAACGAGGCCTTACCAAGGATATATGAGGTTGAAATATAACCCAAGAACTCTTATTATTAATACCTCTTGATATAAAGTCAAGAATTCTATTAGCTTTATTGTGAACACTTGTGCACTGCTGTCTTGGCTTTAGATCATTGCTAACTAGAACTGTCTTTTTTTTTTTTTTTTTTTTTTTTTTGCATTCAGTTTGAGATCTTCTTTGTTTATAGGTGCCATAGTTATTTTCTTTTCCCCCAGAATAGAACCTTACATTTGTCTACATTAAACTGCATCTGCCATTTCTCCAGCCACAGTATCCACCTATAATGGTTATTTTGTAGATTTCCTGTGTCCTCTTCAGAATTTGACAGTATTTATTCTCTTGTCGAAGTTTGTTTATTGTGAACAGGAAGGGGCGATAGTGACACTGACCTCTGTAAAACACCAATGGTTATGGGCCCCCCCTTTCATTTCTCTCTATTTATGCCAACTCTGTTGTCTATAGGTCAGTAGTGTCTCAATTTAAGAGATAATTTCTCCACCTATTCTGTGTGCTGCTGATGCTTTCTTCAAGAACAGTCATATGTGTGGAAGTTTATATAATGCTATGTAACTGTTAAGAGGCTGTCATATCTTGCCAAGTGAACCATGTCAATGAGAGCAGACCTTATGGAAATGTCTCACAAGCTAGCTCCATTAAGTCTTAGAATAAGACATAGTATGCAATTTATGGTATTTACTGAGAAGGTGCTCAGTCCACTAGGGATAAGACATCTCAGTAAATACCATGCAAACTATCTTGTTTTCATACTTGTCGGTATATGTACATATTTTACCATTAATATTCTTTCTGTTAAGTCTTGTACAGGCTGAGAATCAACTTTTTAAGGAAATGCTGCCTGGTAAGGTTGAATGACCTACAAGTTTAAAGCTTTTGAATGAATTTAATAAAGCTGTACATAGGTTAAAATTGTTACAGCATGAAATAACTTTGGTAAAAGAGGTATCCAAATTCCTCTGGCATTGGCACAGCTTACCAGTGTAAAAACTTGACATGTACTCCTTAGGAAGGATGTGTACTGCTTAGTTCTTGTAGTTCCTTTATTATTATTATATATTGATTTTTCTGTATGCATTCTGATAATTATATTGATTTAAAAATTAACATGTTTAATCAGATGTTTACTCAGGTTAATAACTTGCCAGTGTAAAATGCAAGCGCAGTACTATACTGCAAGTATTTCTAAAAATATCCTTGCTATTAAAGAATACAGTGTGACTACTGTATATTGTCACAGTGCCAGATCCCTTAAACCCACTAATAGAATCACTAAATGCTCTGCAGACTTCTCCTTTGGAAATATAAACACATATGCAGTATAATGTGATCCTTTATTGACTACGTTTCGCCCACACAGTGGGCTTTTTCAAGTCACAAACAGATCTACCTGGGGTGGAAGGGACGTGAGTATTTATAGTCAGGTTCAGAATGCTGAAGTCAGGTGGAGAATGCTGCATCTGATGATGTACCGAGTGGGGTTATAGTGTCTAAAATCTTGGGTAGCTTGTAAATGAGATTGGATAAGTTTGTGAGCAGACCTTCTACGGTGTTCTTATGTGGGATAGCGATGAAGAAGTTTCTTGGCAAGTGGTTCAGCTATGTTATAGAAGCCACTATTCTGGTTGAAGTTGTCGGATATAGAAATAAGTGATGATTCCAGGATTCTTCGGTATTGAGTGTTGTCTTCTGTGGCGATGAGTCTTGAGTTTCTGTAGTTTATCAAGTGGGTGTGTGAATTACGGTGTTGTACACAGGCATTCCTTGTGTCGTCAGACCTGCTTGCGTATTGGTGTTCTGAAATACAATTTGGAGGTCCCTTGATGTTTCGCCCACGTATAACTTGTTGCAGTCATTACAAGGGATTATGTATACCCCTGCAGAGGGTGGAAGCTTGTCCTGTCTATCACTGGTAATGTCCTTGATGGTTGTGGTTGTGGAGGTAGATACTTGAAATGAGGTATTGAAAAAGATGTTGGAAACGTGTTTGGCAATGGAGTTGGTGGGGAGGACTATGTATCTCTTCTCGGCAGTGTCTTCTCTGGGTGTGTTGAAGATGTTTAATGCCCTGCCGAGAAGAGATACATAGTCCTCCCCACCAACTCCATTGCCAAACACGTTTCCAACATCTTTTCCAATACATGTACCTCATTTCAAGTATCTACCTCCACAACCATGACCATCAAGGACATTACCAGTGATAGACAGGACAAGCTTCCACCCTCTGCAGGGGTATACATAATCCCTTGTAATGACTGCAACAAGTTATACGTGGGCGAAACATCAAGGGACCTCCAAACACGTATTTCAGAACACCAATACGCAAGCAGGTCTGACGACACAAGGAATGCCTGTGTACAACACCGTAATTCACACAACCACTTGATAAACTACAGAAACTCAAGACTCATCGCCACAGAAGACAACACTCAATACCGAAGAATCCTGGAATCATCACTTATTTCTATTTCCGACAACTTCAACCAGAATAGTGGCTTCTATAACATAGCTGAACCACTTGATAAGAAACTTCATCGCTATCCCACATAAGAACACTATAGAAGGTCTGCTCACAAACTTATCCAATCTCATTTACAAGCTACCCAAGATTTTAGACTCTATAACCCCACTCGGTACATCATCAGATGCAGCATTCTCCACCTGACCTCAGCATTCTGAACCTGACTATAAATACTCGCGTCCCTTCCACCCCAGGTAGATCTGTTTGTGACTTGAAAAAGCCCACTGTGTGGGCGAAACGTAGTCAATAAAGGATCACATTATACTGCATATGTGTTTATATTTCCATTGTGTCGGTATTTTATACCATTTATTTCCAGACTTCTCCTTTATAATTTAGTCTTTGCTAAAAGGTGAAATATGATGCATCTTTAGGTATTTTATTAAATACTAACTGTAAGTCAAATGAGAAAGAGGAACCTTTATGGGAATGCTGTTAATGCCAGATGCATTTGGAGAATATATATACTGCATTTGCATAGTTTGGAACAAACAACTAGTATGTATGCTGTTTTCAGAATAGTCTTCAAGTTAATTGTATTCAGTTTATAGTAGTATACTATGAAAGTGAATAAGGTTTTATAGTGAGGTTAAGCCAGAGCTTTATTACTGTATGTCAAGAGATTAATCAGTAGGGAAAATGCATGGAGTGAATAAAGGAAATGTTCTTCACTTAGCATTCTTGCAAACTTGTTTTATTAAAAAAGTCACTGGGGAGGGATATAGAACATTGCTTTATCTTTTTCTGAATGTAGACTTGCATAAATAGGTTAGGATAATTTCATAGTTCATTTTTTCTTCTTTCAGATCCGCCTCCAGAGCCGGTAGCAGGTACCCCTGAAGAGCCGACAATAAATAACGATGGGGACATTCCAGCAGACTCTTGGGAAGAAGCAGCTGATGCTGCGACTCCCTCACCTTCCCGTGAGACCCCGCCTTCCCCTTCCACCCCAGGTACCCCCGATGATGAGGATGATGACGAGGACAGTGATGAAATAAAAAAGCCCAAGAAGAAACCATTAGATGAAGATGATTCTTTACCCAAAAAAGAACCTGTCAATGTAATATTCATAGGTCATGTTGGTATGTATTCACTAAATGAACCTTATCACGTATCCTAAGGCTTGTCTTTGCTTGTTCATAAATGCAGTTAAAATTAACATCTACTTGAACATAACTTTTAAAACAAAATTCACAACTTGTGTAAATCACAATTTTAAAAATTCTAACATAAAAATTATGTGGTACTGTAATTATAAAATTAATTTATAAAGGAGATTCTGTATAAGTTTAGATCATTATTTATTTCTTTGTGATGATGATATTAAAAACACTTATATTTAAAATTTACTCTAGTTAAAAAATACTAATGTACAATTTTTTGTGGCTGTGTACTATTTATTCCAGCATTTTTCTCTTGCTTTTGATTTACATTATACTGATGGAATCTCTGTTGGAATTCCTAAAAGTTACTCATATGCTTACATAAGTAGTTGTAAATTAATCTCTTGAATTTATTTCCATATCTCTAGAAAAGATGCAGTCAGATCTGATTCTAAGGAAAAGCCATCTGATGTTTCTTCCAGACTTGATGTCTACTCTACTCTGACTTCCTAAATTGTTTCCATAAGTATAAACCTTTTATTTTTTTTTTATCTTGCAGATGCGGGCAAATCAACGATTGGTGGTCAGATTATGTACTTGACTGGGATGGTGGAAAAGAGAACATTGGAGAAGTATGAGAGGGAGGCGAAAGAAAAGAACAGGGAGACGTGGTACCTATCTTGGGCACTAGATACAAATCTTGAAGGTCGGTTTTCTTTTTATACTAAAAAAAAAATAAACTAAGAGCATCACTCAAAGTAATGTGAACTTAGTACAACATGTAAGAAGCACAGTATTAATAAAAATTTGGTGTGGCTGGTGGTGTAAGAGGTAGCAGGGTGGGACCAATTATGTAGATATGGAGAACACAGATGGCCACATGAACACATTTACAGTGGATGACTAGTAAAATGGGGATAGTTATAATAAAGGTAATTGATGATAGCATAAGGATTTTTTATATAGTCGATGGTTGGGGAAACCCCATAGGTGGAAGGCATGTGTTTGCCCAGCATTTGAATTATTATTAGGAATGTTTCCATTGTTGCTTTTCACCTACACGAGTACCATACTCATAGAACTCTTATCACTCCTTATCACTATCCTCGGTATTAGTTTCATCCAAAGAACTAAGTAAGCAGTTTAATCCTCCTTGGGATGAGGGGTTTCACAATGGCGAGACATGATCAACAATATAATGGCTTCAACTAGTTCCCACAGTGTCCTACACCAGGAATTTTTTCTGTCCTTTGCATTCCCATGGCTCGTGTCCATTTTCTGATGTAGGCCTAACCTGTCTAATTGTGGCCATCTTGGAGGCTAGCATTTAGACAAATTTACAGGTACTTCTCAGCTGGGGTTATGTTCTGACAAATCCATCATAAGTCAAAAATATCATAAGTTGAATATGAATATATGCTAAATAAATAAGTAAATAAATAACTACTGTCTCTAAATAAGTAAATAAGCAAAAAATTACTAATTAAATACTAGTATATTGAAAAGTTATAGGTAGTAGGTTGGTAGACAGCAACCGCCCAGGGAGGTACTACCGTCCTGCCAAGTGAGTGTAAAACGAAAGCCTGTAATTGTTTTACATGATGGTAGGATTGCTGGTGTTCTTTTTTCTTTCTCATCAACATGCAAGATTTCAGATATGTCTTGCTACTTCTACTTACACTTAGGTCACACTACACATATATGTACAAGCACATATATACACACCCCTCTGGGTTTTCTTCTATTTTTTTTCTAGTTCTTATTCTTGTTTATTTCCTCTTATCTCCATGGGGAAGTGGAACAGAATTCTTCCTCCATAAGCCATGCGTGTTGTAAGAGGCGACTAAAATGCCGGGAGCAAGGGGCTAGTAACCTCTTCTCCTGTATATATTACTAAATGTAAAAGGAGAAACTTTCGTTTTTCCTTTGGGCCACTCCGCCTAGGTGGGATACGGCCGGTGTGTTGAAAGAAAGAAAGATATTGAAAAGTAAATGAATAAAAGTTAGACTTGCCACCTTCATGCTGGGCAATCATCTTAAGTTTTGTCTTTAAAGTAATTGGCTTGCACCATTGATTGGTGTTGAACAGATTCTGTGCAGCCTTAATGACCCTTGTGTAGTTGATAGGCTTCAAACCCCCATTAACAAACTATTAATTGAATGTGTTTATTTTCTTGAAAATAGGCAAATTATTCATTTAAAATGTTAAATATTTCTAGTTTCAACTAGTTACTGTTCTCAAACCAAGTGTTGATTTGTCAATGTTTTTCTTGCAAATAGAGCGTGACAAGGGTAAAACTGTAGAGGTGGGAAGAGCATATTTCGAAACAGAGCAGAAACACTTCACAATCCTGGATGCTCCTGGTCACAAGAGTTTTGTGCCTAATATGATTGGTGGTGCCTGCCAAGCTGACTTGGCTGTTTTGGTAAGTAACACTAGACGGCATTCCATCAGTATTCTTGATATATATTCACCTCATGATATTTATATTTCATAATGGGTAATTAAATTGTTTCCTATGAATTAATTTGATATTTTAGGTAATATCTGCAAGAAAAGGTGAATTTGAGACGGGATTTGAGAGAGGAGGTCAGACGAGAGAACATGCAATGTTAGCCAAGACAGCAGGCGTAAAACACCTTATTGTGTTAATCAACAAGATGGATGATTCAACAGTGTTATGGTCAGAAATTCGCTACAATGAATGTAAAGAGAAACTTGTTCCCTACCTCAAAAAGGTTAGTATATTAATTTTGGGCAATATCTAATGTCTGTGAATTGACTTCAGATACATTGCTTTTAATGAATAACCATAATGCAAAGCTTTCTGTTGTAATATTAAATTACAGTATAACACTCCTGAGATTGATCTTTTAATATTACTGCTGTCACCTTCTTTTTTTTTTCTAAAGCTCTAGTTCTCTGATACTTTTACTCCATTTACTCCTCCCTACTGAAATTTTCCTACCCTGTTTAACTTTATTTCACTTAGAACAAAGACTTTTCATTCATAACATTCTTGATAAATTCATTCTTCTCGTCAATAATACACCCATGCGTATTTAAACATTCCCACTTTCAAATTTCCTTTTTAAATTTAGTAATCTATTCAGAAGGATAACTAGACCCTTGCCCCTGGCAGTTTAGTCTCCTTTTACAACACTCATGGTTTATGGGGAAAACTTTCTTCACTTTCCCATGGAGATGAAAGGAAACACTATAAGAAAAAGAACTATTAAGAAATTAGTAAGACACTCAGACCAGTGTGTATCCATGTACATGCACAACTGCAAGTATAATATCACATAGGTACGAATAGTAGTAGCAATATGTGCTCTTCATCTTGTGTGTTTCAGACAATGAAAAGACACCAGCAGTCCTACTGTTAAATAAAACAATTTTTGGTTTCCATTTCATGATCATTTAGCAGAACAGTAGTACCTCCCTGGGTGGTTGCTGTCTACCAATCTACCACCAAATGTTTATTAGAATATGGTGAGGAAATGTGGCTGGCTGTGGCAGTAGCAGCTAATGCTGCCTCCCACATTTTCTAATTAATATTTTTTCATTGCTTTGGATTTATCATATGGATTTCTCTTTGGTTTATGTATGTTGATGTACAATAGACAGTTAGAATTTACATGGTTTAGGTTCCTGAAAATTGAGCTGCTAAGGATTTCCATGACTTACAGATTGAAAAACGTGGGAAAAATTAAGGTATTTCTAAGAGCTATAACAAATTAGTCCTAACCTTGCCAGTGATGATCTGTGAAATGCCTGAACTCTAGTGAGGCTTGGACAGTTAAAACAAGGAGTGTATTAGCTTAAAAGTGGTTATATTAATAAAGTACAGTATGTTATTTGTTACATGCCTTCAAGTTACATTCAGGATGCTTAATGTCTTTGAGTGGAGGTGGTGGTTGTGGCTTTGTGTCGAGGTTGAAGGTTGGGACTTTTGTGATTTTGACGCAGCTTCACCAGTTTACTGCTCCATTGGAGTGCTAAGGTACTCTGTCATATGCTGTTGGTTTGTTTTATCCTGAAGCTGTTAAGATGGCAGAAAAGGCCCAAGCACCTGCTCCAGATCATGCTTTACAGCCTTGCTTTAAGATGTGTTATGGTCCTTACAATAAATAAGTCTGCAACTTTACCAACAGTATGCAGTGACCTGCATCTCTTGCAGTGTCATCATTGCTCCTTCAGGCTCTGGTTCTTTATCCCCATTGTCACTCTTTGTTCACTGCAGTTGGGAATTTAATTCGTGCAACATTTCTCCTGCAGTTGGTTGTTGCAGTGGAGTTCTTATATTGTTATATGCCGTAGGTTTGTTTGACGCTGCAGTTGTTTATACAGCCCCCACTGCATTCTAAACCTGTTAAACCATACAGCACTAAATGTGCACTTGTTTAAGGCTGTCCTTCCTCCTCACACTATCATAGTATGATAAGTGTTTTTCCCTGATAATGAGGCCATCCGGCGGAACACTTTTTCGTTTACTTTTCAGTTCACACATTTATTATACATTTTTATTTAGCTGCAGTGGCCTAGTTTTCATTCTTTTCGCTGTTTCATTGAGGATTTGTTGTAGCACAAGCCTTTATTTTCATCTCATTGTCTTGAATTGAACAAATCATTGATTCTCTAACACCAAACATGTGCTGTCTTCATAACATGCCCCATTTTTTTTTTTTTTAATATGCATAGTTTCACACTTAATTTTTCCCTTGCTTTACCACCATTTAACAAGTCGGCCGTTTCCCAACGAGGCAGGGTGACCCAAAAAGAAAGAAAATCCCCAAAAAGAAAATACTTTCATCATTCAACACTTTCACCTGACTCATACATAATCACTGTTTTTGCGGAGGTGCTCAGAATGCAACAGTTTAGAAGCATATACGTATAAAGATACATCCCAAACCCCTCCTTTAAAGTGCAGGCATTGTACTTCCCATTTCCAGGACTCAAGTCCGGCTAGTATATAAAAGTAACCGGTTTCCCTGAATCCCTTCACTAAATATTAGCCTGCTCACACTCCAACAGCTCGTCAGGTCCCAAATACCATTCGTCTCCATTCACTCCTATCTAACACACGTATGCTGGAAATCCAAGCCCCTTGCCCACAAAACCACCTTTACCCCCTCCCTCCAACCTTTTCGAGGACGACCCCTACCCCGCCTTCCTTCCCCTACAGATTTATATGCTCTCCATGTCATTCTACTTTGATCCATTCTCTCTAAATGACCTGACCACCTCAACAACCCCTCTTCAGCCCTCTGACTAATACTTTTATTAACTCCACACCTTCTCCTAATTTCCACACTCCGAATTTTCTGCATAATATTTACACCACACATTGCCCTTAGACAGGACATCTCCACTGCCTCCAACCACTTCCTCGCTGCAGCATTTACAACCCAAGCTTTACACCCATATAAGAGTGTTGGTGCTACTATACTTTCATACATTCCCTTCTTTGCCTCCATAAATAATATCCAAAGACGAGATGTGGTGATGAAAACGAGAAACAGCAATAATATATGCTGACCAACGTGGGAGGCTGTTTGTTTACATCCATTCACTCTCCCTCACACCCTCTGCACTGCTAAAACAATTGAGTTGCCCAATTCATAATGATGGGTCTCCTGCCTGCCTGTCTCAGCACTCCTTAACAGAATTGTGCACCACCAGTGGAAATAAATTCCACACCTTAATGGAAATGGGTGTGCTTCTGTTGGAAATGTAAAACTAAATTTAAATAGCATAATGTTGAAAATTCAAGCTATGATTGCATTACTTAAGGTTTTCTGCTGTAGGTGGAGGGTGAGTTTCTGTGGGTTTTGTGCAATTTGGTAGTGAAATGTGGCTTATATTTGTAGACGCACATGCGAGTATGTCAGTGATAAACCTCGCTACATCCAACTTGGCCAAGTAGGCACACGTTACCATTCCCCACAATCTTCAAATACTTAAAGTAATGACTCAGTAATGTAAGGCTAGATAAAATATAGCAATTTTTACTTGATAGAATATAAAAGTTTAGCACATTTGGAGGTGTTCGAATAACCTCTGTGTTCATTGCTTTGTGTAATGCAATTTTAGGCTATGTGCCTTTTTTGAAGACTGTAATCTACACATTGAGGGTTTACTGTATCTGAAATGACTTTTTTAAATAAGAATGAAATGTGAATATATCACTTATTATTTGGAGTGTGACCATTTTTGCATGCAGTGCATTTGCTGTTACTCAGTAATGGCATTCAAGTGCTTGTTTTGGAAAGTGGTGGAGCTTATTAAGGGTACCATAGTTATCTGATTAGCTGAAAAATTATTTACCTGGATAGCTTGTGTATTAGACTCGGGTACAGTCTTTTGTTTTGAAATTGGACTGGATTTTAACAAAATTCTTTTTAAAAATTGTGTATAAAAAAAACTTTTCATTAATTCTTATTTAATGTGGTTTTTATTTTTTACACTACTGTTGTTACGGTGTGGTAATTTTTTGTTAATGATAAATGTTGAACTTTAGAAAAGTGCTCGTAACATATATACTGACCTAATTTCTCTGCTAACATTAAATTTTAATTACTTAGTTTTCCATTCATTGTTACCACAAAAAACAAAACTAAAAGGATAAAAATTGCTTTAATTTTGTACATTTACAGATAGTATACCTGCATTGCTCTTTTTAAGCTAATGGCTTATATTAATTTTGAATTATCATTTTGATTTGCATATCAATTGTCCTTATATTGAACTTTTGTTTTCTTAACAGGTTGGCTTCAATCCAAATAAAGATATAATGTTTATGCCATGTTCAGGACTCACCGGTGCTAACCTAAGAGAATCTATTGATGAAGCGGTATGTTCGTGGTATAAAGGCCCAGCATTTATACCATACATAAACGAATTACCAGCTCTAAATCGTAACGTTAGCGGACCTTTTATGATGCCTGTAGTAGATCGCTACAATGACAGAGGAACAATTGTTATGGGAAAAGTTGAATCAGGATGTTGCAAGAAAGGTGATAGCATCATTGTAATGCCAAATAAGGTTAGTTATGTTTGATCATGTATTTATGCATTTTGATGGGTGAGTGTATTTATGCATTTTGATGGGCAAGTGGATGTATGGGTTGAATTGCAGGCCTATTTACAATATCATAATATTAACTTAGGATGAAGCCCAAGAGGGAGATAATGCAATGTGTTAACTGTTTACTTATGGTGATTGCTGACACATAATGTTTATTCTTTATTCTTCTCCTTCCAGTGTCTCCCTCTCACTTGCTTTTGCTGTGGGATTTTCTGAGGAGCTATTAACCCATTAACTGTGGCATACCAAGAATTTAAATTTCCTGTGTGTTTGTTGTGGGGTAAGATTGAAAGAGTACAATTTTATGAATCAAATGAGACTAAAATGAATGGAATCTAATAAAAAAAAATTAGTTATAGGGTATGTTGAAATTGGAAAAAAATTCACACTTTTTGGCAGCAGTATGTAAATGAACCAGCAACATTTACGTTTTTCAAGTCGACATATAATTTTCTTTGTTTTTCTGTCTTTTTATTATTTTTTAATGTTTAACATTATTTTAGGGTATTTTTGTACATCAAACATGGGGAAATAAATAACCCAACATTGCTTCACTGGGAATGCACATTATAAATTGGTGCCATTTTTTTTTTTCTTGCTGCTTTGGTCTAATGCTATGTACAAGGGATGCTTACACTATTACTATTGTTTCAAGGTTTAATACTCCTCAGAACATGGAAATAAATCGGTGTTTGACTATATTGGGTTATCCTTGGTTAATCACAGAAGAGGTGGGGCCATCAACCCATGGCACACGAGTTCTAAAACTCAAACCAGCATGTTGTCCACTGGACTATACCAACTTAACAAGATTACTCCAACTTGGTGTATTTCTATGCACCATAGGGAAGTTAGCATGGGGTCCCATTGTAACTACAAATACAGGTTTTTGCAGGCAAATCTCTAGCAATTCTGTATGATTTCATGAGTCATCCTAGGTGGTAGGTTACTGAAAGCAATTAGGGTTTTTATGAGGATAGTGAGACTCAGGTTATGTAGGACAAAGGGTGATTATTTTACAGTAAAAGTAGGCGTTAGACAGGGATGTGTGATGTCACCATGGTTGTTTAATATTCATAGATAGGGGTTGCAAAAAAAGTGAATACAGAGATGTTGGAGAGAGGTGAGGGATTAAAATATGCAGAATCTAATACAAAATGGGAATTGTTACAGTTGCTTTTTGCCAATGACAGTGCTTTTGGGAGGTTCTGAAGAGAAGTTGCAAAGGTTAGTGGATGAATTTGGGAGGTCATGCCAAAGAAAATTAAAAATGAACATTGGAAAGAGCAAGGTGATGAAGGTCGCAAATAATTTAGGTAATGAAAAATTGGAAATCAGATTGGAAGGAGTATAGAGGAAATGAATGTGTTAAGTAAAAGGACACAAATACAACTAGTGTGATATTTTATTGTGGCAACGTTTTGCTCTCCAGGAGCTTTATCAAGCCATTTCTTAACATGTTGGTAATTCTACCAGTGTGAATACAGGAAATAATGTGTTCAGATATTTGGGAGTGGACTTTTCAGCTGATGGGTCTGTGAAAGACTGTGAACCATAGAATTGATGAGGGAAAAAAGGTGGGTGGCACATTTGAGGCATCTGTGGAAACTAAGAACATTATCCATGGAGGCAAAATGGGGAATACAGGTCTCCCTCCACGTTTGCAAGTTCCACTTTCGCGGGCTTCGAACATTCGTGAATGCCCAGCTGCCCAATCATATTTAAAGTATGTCATTATATATGTTAGAAATTGTGGTGGTGGCATAGGTTGTTTGGAGATAGGACAAGATAGTCCTTCAATATAACACTAGTATCAACTCTGCAGCTTATTTGTCTATCACAGTTCATCTGATATGACATAATAAGTTATTAATAACATAGAAACATGATATATACCCTAGAATGAATAAACTGTCTTTAAATATGTCACGAGTGTTGTGTTGTTTTTGGGTGTATAAGTGCACGTTATCTATGGAGGCAAAGAATGAAATGTACGAAAGTATAGTAGTACCAACACTCTTATATGGGTGTGAAGCTTGGATTGTGAATGCAGCAGCGAGGAGGCGGTTGGAGGCAGTGGAGATGTCCTGACTAAGGGCAATGTGTGGTGTAAATATGCAGAAAATTCGGAGTGTGGAAATTAGGAGAAGGTGTGTAGTTAATAAAAGTATTAGTCAGAGGGCTGAAGAGGGGTTGTTGAGGTGGTTTGGTCATTTAGAGAGAATGGATCAAAGTAGAATGACATGGAGAGCATTTAAATCTGTAGGGGAAGGAAGGTGGGGTAGGGGTCATCCTTGAAAAGCTTGGAAGGAAGGGGTAAGGGAGGTTTTGTGGGCGAGGTGCTTGGACTTCCAGCAGGCGTGCGTGAGCGTGTTCGATAGGAGTGAATGGAGACAAATGGTATTTGGAACCTGACGATCTGTTGGAGTGTGAGCAGGGTAATATTTAGTGAAGGGATTCAGGGAAACCGGTTATTTTTATATAGCCGGACTTGAGTCCTGGAAATGGTAAGTACAATGCCTGCACTCTAAAGGAAGGGTTCGGGATATTGACGGTTTGGAGGGATATGTTGGGTATCTTTATATGTATATGCTTCTAAGCTTTTGTGTTCTGAGCACCTCTGAAAAAACAGTGATTATGTGTGAGTGAGGTGAAAGACTTGAATGATGATGAATTTTCTTTTGGGGATTTTTTTTTCTTTCTTTTTGGGTCACCCTGCCTAGGTGGGAGATGGCCGACATAAAAAAAAAAAAAAATCTACATAGTGTGTTGTTTGGCAGAATTAATTTTTTTTTTTTTTTTTTACACCAAATGTTTCCCAACCAAGGTAGGGTGACCTGAAGAAAACTTTTAACATCACTTGCTCCATAACTGTCTTGTCAGAAGCATGCTAACATTACAGCTTAGGTGGCCCCCCAGAACTGCAGTATTCCTGCCCCTCCTTCAGAGTGCAGGCACTATACTTCCCATCTCTAGGACTAGTCCAGCTAACTGGTTTCTCTGAATTCCTTCATAAATGTTACCTTGCTCACATTCCAAAAGCACAAGTCATAAAAACCACTAGGTTGTCAGGCACATCCTTGTCACCTGCATACTAACTTCCTTCAATTGTCTTAAGTGCATGGGAGGAGGAAGTTTAGTCTAGTTTGACTTCGGCATTTGTGACTTGGGATGTTCTCTCCTTATCTCGTGCATATTAACCCCTAGTGTCATCTTTGCTGCTCTAATGATGCAGAAATAAACTGTGTTCAGTGTCATACTAGCACTCAAAGATTTTGTAGCTAAGTGTTTTTTGTTAAGATTAATGTAAATTTAAAAATCTCCTTAATGACTGTAATTAAATTTCTCAAGATTGATTACATATGTGAGTGAAAGATGGATGTAATGTAATATTAAGCCATTATTGAGAATATCGGCAACATAAATGGATTTTTTATGCCATAATTACACTTCATTTGTTCAAAATTCGTGAGATATTTGAAAGTTTTTCATGTGGGTTGCTTGACAGTTTTCTTTGAGTTTGAAGGTTATTCTTAGTATTTGGTATTTATTTTTCATTTATTGTTTTTCCTCTTCAGACTCCAGTCACTGTTGACTTGTTGTGGAGAGATGAAGATGAAACTGGTTCAGTCAATTGTGGTGAAAATGTTAAGGTAAAACTCAGAGGAGTAGAAGAAGCGGATGTTGCGCCAGGTTTTGTTCTCTGTGATCCTAATAATCCATGCAAAACAGGGAGGATATTTGATGCGCAGGTAATGTGAATGTAATTTTTTTTTTTTCCTGCTAAGGCATGATGACTCAAAGAAAACAGTAGCCAACATTCCTCAGTTGCTATCTTTCCAAAAGTGTTCTGATATAATCAGATTATCCTTCAACTGCAACATCCCGACCATCACCAGAGTCCAGGACTCATGTCCAATTAACCATTTTTCTGAATCCCTTCGTAAATAGTACCCTACTCCCATACCTACAGCAATCCATTAACTTTGTCACTTTCTTTTCTCTAACATGTCTCGCAGTCTCTTCTCTCGTGTCTAATCCTCTCAAAACTGATGATATCTTATCCTGTCATGTGACCATCTCAATGTCGCCTCTTCTTTTTCTTCCTGCCTAGCTCGTACTAGACACTCCCATCTCTAGCTTCTTCTTCTCTGTTCTGTCTCTCTTTCTCTCTACTCGTCGTCCTCTCCGTCTGTCTCTGTCTCTTCTATCTCTTCTCTCTGCTCTCTCTCTCTCTGCTCTCTCTCTCTTCTTCTGTCCTCTCTCTTCTCTCTCTCTTCTCTGTCTGCTCTCTCTCTCTGTCTGTCTCTCTTCTGTCTCCTCTCTCTGTCTCTCTCTCTCTCTTCTGTCTCTTCTCTCTGTCTTCTCTCTCTGTCTTCTCTCTCTCTCTGTCTCTCTCTCTCTCTGTCTGTCTCTCTCTCTCTGTCTCTCTCTCTGTCTGTCTCTCTCTGTCTCTCTCTTCTTCTCTCTGTTTTCTTCTCTCTGTCTCTCTCTCTCTGTCTCTCTCTCTTCTTCTCTTCTCTCTGTCTCTCTCTCTCTCTGTCTCTCTCTTGTCTCTCTCTTCTGTCTCTCTCTGTCTCTCTCTGTCTCTCTCTGTCTCTCTGTCTCTGTCTCTTGTCTCTCTTCTTGTCTCTGTCTCTCTCGTCTCTTCTCTTTTGTCTCTTCTCTGTCTCTCTGTCTCCTGCTCTGCTCTCTCTGTCTCTCTCTCTTCTCGTCTCTCTCTGTCTCTCTCTTTTCTGTCTCTCTTCTCTTCTCTCTGTCTCTCTGTCTCTCTGTCTCTCTCTCTCCCCTCTCTCTCTCCTCTTCTCTCTCTCTCTCTCTCTCTCTCTTTCTCTCCTCTCTCTCTCTCTCCCCCTCTCTCTCTCTCTCTCTCTCTCTCTCTCCCCCCCCCCCCCCCCCCCCAACAAGTTGGCCGTCTCCCATAGAGGCAGGGTGACCCAAAATGAAAGAAAATACTTTGATCATTATTCAACACTTTCACCTCACTCACACATAATCCCTGTCTTTGCAGAGGTACCGAGATACAGCAGTTTAGAAGCATATACAGTGGACCCCCGGTATTCGATATTAATCCGTTCCTGAGAGCTCATTGAATACCGATAATATCGAAAACCGAATCAATTTTCCTCAAGAAATAATGGAAATCAAATTAATCCGTGCAAGACGCCCAAAAGTATGAAAAAAAAATTTTACTACATGAAATATTAAGTTTAATACAATAGAATAATTACAATAACAATAAAATAATTGACACTTACCTTTAATGAAGATCTGGTGATGATTGATGGGATGGGAGGAGGGGAGAGGTGTTAGTGTTTAGAAGGGGAATCCCCTTCCATTAGGGCTTGAGGTAGCAAGTCCTTTTCCGGGGTTACTTCCCTTCTTCTTTTAATGCCACTAGGACCAGCTTGAGAGTCACTGGACTTCTGTTGCACAACATAACTGGCAGCCTCACCATGCCTAATCACACTATGTATGCCACTACGATTCTTAAATCTTCCAAACCAACCTTTGCTGGCCTTAAATTCACTCACATCACCACTAGTTGCAGGCAATTTCTTTACCAAATCGTCATGCAACTGCCTAACCTTTTCACAAATGATCGCTTGAGAGATGCTATCTCCTGCTATCTGTTTTTCATTTATCCACACCAATAACAGTCTCTCAACATTTTCTAACACTTGCGGTCGCTGTTTCGTAATCACAGTTGCACCTTTTGCAAGAACAGATTCCTTGATTGCCGTTTTCCTGGTCACTATAGTAGAGATGGTTGATTGGGGTTTATTATACAACCTGACTAGCTCCGACACATGCACTCCACATTCGTACTTTGCAATTATCTCTTTCTTCATTTCATAAGTCATTAGCGACTTTTTTCTCGAAGGGTTGGCACTAGTAGCTTTCTTGGGGCCCATGGTGACTTATTTTGCAGAAACAAGCACCAAACACAGTGATAATATGGATAATATGGAATGTACTGAATGTATCCTTAGATGCGCGCACACTGGCTGGCTTGTAAACACCGGCACACACGGGGCAGTTCAGGCCACACGTGGACAGGTCTCGTACGAATCGTATCGAATACCGGGTTTTCAGTCGAATACCGAGGAAAATTTTTTGCGATATAATGCATCGAAAACCGGATTTATCAAATACAAATGCCATCGAATACCGGGGGTCCAGTGTATAACGTCTCTCCAAACTTTCTTCATCGACATTTAAAAGTTCCTCGAAATATTCCCGCCATCTACCCAATACCTCCAGCTCCCCATCAACTAATTCCCCTACTCTGTTTTTAACTGACAAATCCATTCTTTCTCTAGGCTTTCTCAACTTGTTTATCTCACTCCAAAATTATTATTATTATTATTATTAATTTAGGAAATTGGATCTGTGCTCCAGTTCCCTAAAATAATAATAATAATAATAATAATAATAGTAATGAGCTTCAAAACACTGCCACCAGTTGGTGCAGTGAATGCCAAAACATTCACCGAGTGGTGAAAGCATTTCTCTCATGCTTTGTTTGCATTTTTTAGTTTTTTGACCAAATTCCTTTTTACTAACCATGGGTCCTAAGAAAGTAAGTGCAAAGGATAGTGCTGAGAAGAAAAAGAGGATGATTTCCATGGAATTACAACATGAAATCATAGATAAACAAGCAAGGTGTGCAAGTTGTGGGTTGAAGGGAAAAGGGGGGGAAGCTTGCTCATAACCCAGATTTTTTTTTTTTTTCCAACAAGTCGGCCGTCTCCCACCGAGGCAGGGTGACCCAAAAAAAAAAAAAAGAAAATACTTTCATCATCATTCAACACTTTCACCACACTCGCACATTATCACTGTTTTTGCAGAGGTGCTCAGAATACAACAGTTTAGAAGCATACACTATAAACATACACAACATATCCCTCCAAACTGCCAATATCCCAAACCCCTCCTTTAAAGTGCAGGCATTGTACTTCCCATTTCCAGGACTCAAGTCCGACTATATGAAAATAACCGGTTTCCCTGAATCCCTTCACTAAATATTACCCTGCTCACACTCCAACAGATCGTCAGGTCCCAAGTACCATTTGTCTCCATTCACTCATATCTAACACACTCATGCACGCTTGCTGGAAGTCCAAGCCCCTTGCCCACAAAATCTCCTTTACCCCCTCTCTCCAACCCTTTCGAGGACGACCCCTACCCCGCCTTCCTTCCCCTATAGATTTATATGCTTTCCATGTCATTCTACTTTGATCCATTCTCTCTAATGACCAAACCACCTCAACAACACCCTCTTCTGCCTCTGACTAATACTTTTATTAACTCCACAACCTTTTCCTAATTTCCACACTCCGAATTTTCTGCATAATATTTTACATCACACATTGCCCTTAAACAGGACATCTCCACTGCCTTCAACCGTCTCCTCGCTGCTGCATTTACCACCCAAGCTTCACACCCATATAAGAGTGTTGGTACTACTATACTTTCATACATTCCCTTCTTTGCCTCCATAGATAACGTTTTTTGACTCCACATATACCTCAATGCACCACTCCACCTTTTTTCCCTCATCAATTTATATGATTAACCTCATCCTTCATAAATCCATCCACCGACACGTCAACTCCCAAGTATCTGAAAACATTCACTTCTTCCATACTCCTCCCCAATTTGATATCCAATTTTTCTTCATCTAAATCATTTGACACCCTCATCACCTTACTCTTTTCTATGTTCACTTTCAACTTTCTACCTTTACACACATTCCCAAACTCATCCACTAACCTTTGCATTTTTTCTTTAGAATCTCCCATAAGCACAGTATCATCAGCAAAAAGTAACTGTGTCAATTCCCATTTTGAATTTGATTCCCCAAAATTTAATCCCACCCCTCCCCCGAACATCCTAGCATTTGCTTCCTTTACAACCCCATCTATAAATATATTAAACAACCATGGCGACATTACGCATCCCTGTCTAAGACCTACTTTTACCGGGAAGTAGTCTCCCTCTCTTCTACACACCCTAACCTGAGCCTCACTATCCTCATAAAAACTCTTTACAGCATTTAATAACTTACCACCTATTCCATATACTTGCAACATCTGCCACATTGCTCCCCTATCCACTCTATCATATGCCTTTTCTAAATCCATAATTGCAATAAAAACTTCCCTACCTTTATCTAAATACTGTTCACATATATGCTTCAATGTAAACACTTGATCTACACATCCCCTACCCACTCTGAAACCTCCTTGCTCATCCGCAATCCTACATTCTGTCTTACCTCTAATTCTTTCAATTATAACCCTACTGTACACTTTTCCTGGTATACTCAGTAAACTTATTCCTCTATAATTTTTACAGTCTCTTTTGTCCCCTTTCCCTTTATATAAAGGGACTATACATGCTCTCTGCCAATCCCTAGGTACCTTCCCTCTTTCATACATTTATTAAACAAAAGTACCAACCACTCCAACACTATATCCCCCCCTGCTTTTAACATTTCTGTCATGATCCCATCTGTTCCGGCTGCTTTACCCCCTTTCAATCTACGTAATGCCTCACGTACCTCCCCCACACTTACATTCTGCTCTTCTTCACTCCTAAAAGATGGTATACCTCCTGACCAGTGCATGAAATTACTGCCTCTGTTTCTTCCTTAATATTTAAAAGTTCCTCAAAATATTCTCGCCATCTACCTAATACCTCTATCTCCCCATCTACTAACTCCCCTACTCTGTTTTTAACTGACAAA